AGAGAAGATGCTACGTTCTTCGACTCGTCCTGCGCTTTAATTTGCTGGAGAATGTCGAAGCATTCCTCGATGAGGGATGTGCAAAGTGCTTGAGAAGCTGGCATAATTCCTCCTGGGCCAAGGAATTTCCCGTCGACACGTTTTCTGTGAAGGTGATAAAGACAAAAGATGTAGACTAGTTGATGGCGCACTCACGAATCGATCTTGCGCAGTTCCTCAGCCAGAGACTTTATTTCGGCTTTGTGTGAACCCTCTTTGGCAGCCAGCGCAACTAGTTGTCTCCGAATCGTGACGAGGCGTTCATGAATGGGAACCAGCTCTACTGAGAGCACCGACAGAGAACTTTCGAGTGATCGCATGATAACATCTTTAGAGCCGCAGCATTCATTAAGCGACTTCAGAAAGGATATTGGGAGATGAAAGCGCACCACATTCATTAAACTGGCGCTCCAGGAGCTTTATCATAGCTTCGGGGTGTTTACTACTCTCGGCATCTTGTTGTACTATGTGACGTAGCTCGCTTAGTCTCCGCTGGAAAGGGGCCAGGTCTGATTCATTGTAGACTCCTGATTCTTCCATATGACTGAGTAATTGCTGTGCGTGACAAATAACAATCAGTACGGATCTTCATACAGTAGACGCATGTGTGATGATATGGAGACAGAATGGAATGGAATGCGGTAGATAATAGCCGGCTGGATCTCCACAGCACAGGGCGCAAACCACCCATAACGAAATAGTGGAGAGATGGAGTACTGACCCTCATGGAGGCCAGCTGTGAGTAAACAGCGGGACATTCCTTCGTTCGTCCCAATGTAAGATAACACAAGGAAAGGAGGCTGAACACATCGGCCAGTGTTGTATCCACTCGATTGTTGTAAGTCGTGTTATCATCACGGACATCGTTGAGTTTTGTGACTATGGAAGAGAAATGTCCAAAATGAGATAAACAATACTTGGGAAGAAAGAAAGAATTATATCCACCTTGTTTCACGACGGCCTGGTAAAGGGCATTCACATCTGACGGCTTGATAAACTCGGCACGGTCCCTCTTCAAGGCAGTAAGCCGGTTCCGTATGCTGCGGTGGGCAAGGGTTGGTTACACGCGTAGCAATAAGAGCGCGCACTAGACTTACTTGATAACGGCCTCGAGGATCGGCAGTTCTGAAATATAAGAGATCAGTGAAGCTCAGGATCAAAAGTAGCACCTGCCACTTGCCCTCTTGCGCGACCGGTGCGCTCATCTGTAAGATTCACAGTTCTTGCTCGTCGTCGGGTACGTTAGATACTGATTGTATTTCTTCAAGGAACAGAGACGCCAGCAAACCAGCTTGGTTTCCAATTGCCAAGAATTGTCCTATCATGATTGGAAAAGGCAAGTGCTTATGGTCGAATTCATGTTTCCCACGGTATCATCCCATTTAAGCTGACTGTGGCTATTGGCAGTACCCAGCAAAGTGGCCGTTCAAGTCGGTTTTCCTCTTCGTTCACCACTACCATCGTCTATACCATCTGCACATCCATCAAACACAATGGAGAAGATCAAAGAGGTTGGCAGCGATCGTTTGCGTACATACGATCTTACTGAACATGCGCTTGTAGAAAATGAACCAGCTGCGGTTTGAGGCAGACAATGCAGTTACTCGCGCCGAAGATGCAGAAGCTAAGAACAAGAAATATGATCAACTTATCCTTGAAAAGGATCAGGAGATTACTTCAATGTCTCACAAGATCTCTGTTCTTGAAGCGGAGCTTGACAAGGTAGACGCGAAACTTGCAGAAGCCAAGGCTTCACAGGAGGAGGGAGAATCGCTGAAGAGCACGAACGAGAACCTTACGAGAAAGATTGCGCTACTGGAGGAGGAACTTGATGCCGCTGAGAAGAACGTGAAAGAAACGATGGAGAAGTACGTTGTAGCTACCATCTTTCTCTGTTATCAACGACTGATTACCTGTTCAGGCTGCGACAAGTGGACGTCAAGGCAGAACACTTCGAACGCCAAGTTCAACGGATCGAGCAAGAGCGTGATCAATGGGAGAAGAAGTTCGAGGTATCTCGATGTGCTCTATGCTGTTGAAAATGCCAACTGACGCTTTTGCACAGGAAATGCAACAGAAGTACAAGGCGTCGCAAGCAGAACTGGACAACATGGTTGCTAACATGGAGTCACTGTGATCTGTTTCTTTATGTCTCGTGCGCTCTCCGTATAGAGCTTCGATCTTGACTATCTCATACCACAGCCTGCACAGCGTGGTCACGACCTTTCTACACGACATTCTCATAATTCTCTTACCAGGAATATTGTTTGATTATTTAACCGAATAAATTCTTGTCCCAAATCTATTGGCTGATCTCGCGATCCGACATTCTTTGTTCTTCGTAAGTTCCTGCATGCTGAAGCGTTAGGGGGTTCGTAGTCATGATTACATAAGTTGTAAGCTGGCACCTGACTGCACGCCTCTTCTCAATGTATCACCAGCTGGCACTACCGTGTGGGGCTGCTCATGCAGTTGACCATTACAAATGGACTTTTTTCAGCTCGACATACAGAACTACGATGCAGGAACAGACGTATTATTTGCTACTTATCTTTTCATCAATCGCGTGACAACCGCGTGAAGCAATACTAGGCAGTCAGTGTCAAACCCTTTCCCCTCCTTTCCCGCAGAATTTCATCAACCAGATGAAGCCGGTACTAGCTTGATCACTCGCCTTACCAGTTATCGTTCCTTGTGCTTCTCGATTCTCAATCGCATCATTTATACAACGCTCGATCCCGTATACCCACCGCCCGGCCCCTTTCTGTTTCCTGTGGCTGACTCTATACTTAGGTCTTCATCTAGGGTCTCATTCGTCCATTTGCAGCAGTACTCCGAGATTGGCCTATCATCTCTAGGTTGTATTTGGGACCGTGTGGACGTTCTTATCGAGGTGTACAGCTCCTGTGCTTATCCATGCATTCTTATTATCAAAGTATGTCATAACTCAGCTGATCGTTATTCAGCTATGTTATCGAGATTAAGCTGTCCTTGAGGAGATTCGACTATTGTCGATGTCCTCTTCCTCAGGTGAGATACTGAATAAGCTCAATTTCGGAATCGACAGTGCATCACCGGCCATTAATGGTACACGTTGTATCTGCGTTCTAATGATATTCACGCAACCAAAATTTATTCCTCCTTAAAGTTCAGTGAGACCGAATTCACGCAGTGTCGTTCATCGGCTGTAAAGGTTGTAAGGCCCAAACCAAAAATACTCCAGATACAAAGGAGCGTACTTGGCGTGTCATATCCTTCTCCTTTGAACACATGCCCGAGGTGACCACCGCATGCGGTACAGGTAATCTCTGTCCTCGTCATAAACATCGACCGATCTTCATGCCTACTAACGGCACCAGGGATCGCTACGATGAACTATGAGAGAGAAGATGGATTTCCGGAAATGATAAGTTACCATCAAAGAAAGCAGGCCATCCGCAGCCGCTGTTAAACTTCGTACTGCTCTTGTATAGTGGTGTGCCACAGCCAGCACAGCTATACACGCCTGACGTGTCATGGTGATTGTATTCCCCTGTGTTGGGTCCCTCCGTTCCCTTCTGACGGAGAATTCTAAACTATCTCCGACGCGAAGAGTAAGCATATGTCCAAGGTGTAGATTGAAGCTTGAACATACCTGCTGTGGAGACAAAATAGCACGCCATTCATCTTCAGACTTGGAGTTAGTTCCCATGACGAAGGCGGATCGATGGAAACGAGATTTGAAAGTCAGAGGAAAGACTTGTCTGATGCTGGTGAAAGACGCAATATATTTGTGATACCGCAGTAGACTACCACTGGCAGACTTTGCGATCATATGGACATTGGACGTACGTCGTCTGGCAATATGCTGACAATGACGTCAGGTGACCAGCCGAAAAAGGGTCGTGAAACTTGTTCGTGTTGTTTACTACGGCGTAACGGGACTAGCAGAAGTCAATCAGAGGACCTCCATTATTATACCAGCAAATATTGAAACGCTAGGTTGAAGCCTGCGCGCGCATGGGCGGAGGATACGTGACTCTTTCATTCAACCGTCCATTTCGTTTTTACTTGTCTTTTTGTCCTCCAAGTATTGCTACTGGTGGTGCCAGACGAGCAAGTGTATGCTGCATCTTCCGCAGTTCCATGGAGGCTTTCCTATACATACCCAAACGGAGGGGCTCCATAATTACTGGCTTTGAACATACGTTACACTTGGTGGACCACGGCAGCCAACCAATCTGTTTCTCCAATTCAGTCCGCCTGATGTTGGATATGCAGCAGCATAAAGATGATCTGGATACCATTTTATTTCGTCCTTGTCGTTTTTCTCCTTTGACTCGGATGTCCAAAATTACATTGTATCCACGAACCTTTGGCTCCCCCCTTCCGCCGACCAACGCACTGGTTCGATTTCCAACCTGAACAGCATTCCTCGACTCGCTTATAACAGATTCATATGTGAGCTTATCTTCAAGTTATCGTATATACTCTACGGACACTTCCCTGTGTGCTTCCATGTGGTAAACTTGAGCCACAGACCAAGTCTGTGGTATCTGTGATGTGTAAGTGCTATGTCTCCAATGCTACATCATGTGTTCCATACTCCCCATGTCCCTTTGCAAATGTTACAGACTGCCCCGCATTTTGGTCCGAATATTCATTGAAACCGTCCATTGCGCAGGATCCGACAAGATAATTAAGGAGTGAATAGGCTCAGACTAGAAACGAGGGAGAGACAACTCAGTACTCAGTCTTGGTTGGAAGGACTGCGAGAAAGGAATGCTGAATATTAGAGGATTGTTGAAACGAAGAACGAAAATATGAACGCGGATGTTATAGTAGTATATAGGATACGTAGGTCAATTTGTGATTCACGTGTTCCTGCTTCGGAAGCCCAATACCTATTCATCTGCGCCCGACATATGGATCGCCAGTCACCGGTCACCAAGGACAATATTCGCCATTTCAAAAAAGAGTACGTAGAATTGACGAACACATGAAGCTGTTTCCTAGCCTCGCGGAATAGAAACTGGGATTAATGTGACAACTTGTGTGATACATCATTGCCGGAGTTTGAACTGACGTTGGAAGTACATACGGTGCCCGCGCTCATCAACATCTTCTAGCTGGAGACCCACGAATGCCTAATCAATAATATATTACTGTTACACTGCCGACTAGACATAATATAGAACGCATCAATCCAACAGAGACGTTAGCTTATTGATATCCAGAGCCAACCCCTATCATCGTCATTAAACATCATGGGTTGACATCAGCAGCGAACATGACAAACCTTCATTCGCCCCGGCAATCAATGTTGCTCCTGTCGATTCTGAATCAAAAGACACCACGCTTTTGTTGATATAAATATTGATTGTGCACAAGCTGGGGCGAGGAGATGGCGCTCTACTTTGTGAGTGCGAAGGTATAGCTGAGATATCAAGGATCCCGTTGAGTTATATCGTGGGTGATGATTTTGAAAACATACCAGTGGCACTACCATCATCATCATCATCATCACCACCACCACCACCATTATCATCGAGCTTGAGTCCAAGTCGATTCAATATCGCAAAGACTTCTTGTCCTTGTTCTGTATGTACATCTAGATGTATGTCTCGGGTGTCTTCGTTGGAAGAAAGATCTTCGACTGATCCGCTGTAGGTGAGATATGCCAGGGACAGAAACTTCACACCAACCTGAATGATTGCCTTGATCGGAGATGAGTTTGATGCTCTATCATAGGATATGACGATACGTACCTTCTACTACATCACACGGACTCCTGGTTGAACCATCCTCTTCATCTAAGAGAGAATCTTCACACCAACCAAGATTGTCTTGATCAGAGATATGTTGAGTGTTCTCTCAGAAGATGTGATGATACATACCTTCTACCACACTACGTGGCAGACTCTCCTTATTAACGGCCTCGTTGCCTTGTGCAGACAACCTGAGGTTTCCTGACACTAGGTAACAGATTGAAGTCAGTAAAGGTATTTTGGCTTTTGGCTTTTGGCATACCTAAGAGTGCATCAATCTCTGAAATCAATATTCTGTTCAGGTCATCCGAAGTTCTCTGTCGCAATTCAACTGCAATTCTAGGGGTCTATAACGCGACTAGTCAACTTACTCTAATAGACGAATAATTCTCATGTGCGACTTTGTAAAAATGCTTCGTACTTGACTGGCGGATGAAAAGGTTAACAAGAAACTTGCGAAAAGATTTCTTTTGTGTCAACAGTTTGTCTCTGATTTCTATCGTCCTGCGGATATTGATGAGTAACGCCATTTGGCTGAAGGAAAAGCTTACTCTTGGGATAGAATCTTGCCATCCCTGTAAGCTTCATCGAAGGAAGTTTTTTGATTTTCTGAAAGGCACTCGTGCTTCGACAAGCTGGCAAGCTCGTCCAAGGTTTCCAGCGATAATCGTAGATAATGCTCGCCCTTTTCATAATTTGTCTTCCGCCGCGTGGTGGTCGTTGGGGGATCCATTGCCACGCTGCCTGCCTTAGTTATGATATACAAGGGGTGAAAAGTTCAGAAAGCCAGGAGAACAGGTCAATTTATCCACAGAAAGGTTATGCGAACATGGCAACTGGCAGTGCCAGCCGTGGTGAACGAAGGTGACTGTTGGCGCTTGAGATCTGGGAGTGAGAGCTTGCTTGAGTTGTCAATCAAAAATATGTAATCCTCGATTTAAATATCGATGATATATAACTTGTCATTTAGGGAAGTATAAAGGTTTCCTATCGGGGGACTTTGCAGATATTGTGCTGGATGAATTATTGTGCCCGCTTTGATCAGCCTACGACATAAATATGTATATAGGTAAGTTTCTAACAAATTGAAGTCCGCGAGGTGCCGGGGTCCGAATTGCGTACTTGCTTTGACCATATTCTTCTGTTTGAATTGATACAGACAGTTTTCTGAGGATGGCCTTGACCTCCGCTGCTCATTCTCATCTTTCTGAATTTGAGATTTGGTGGAGGGACCACTATGACTTCCTCAAAGACAAGGGCTACAAGCTACGAAGCCGCTACAGTCCAGACTGGGTGCCCTCTTGGACGAACACCAAGAAGGTTGGCATAGAATGTGAGGATGGAATCAAGCCACGAGTAAGTGCTTCTCTAAAGCAATGCAAATAAACTACAATGCATCCTTTAGCACCGTTCTTTGCTAGATGCACGGCGCACTCAAGACGGCGCTCGCGTATCACTCAAGCGTATAGACGTATCGCGACACCCTTATGAAATAGAAATTGGTCGCCATTTCTGTAACGCTCCTCTTAGCGAAGATCCAGCCAACCATTGCGTGCCAATATACGATGTTTTGGAGGTGCCCGATGGCAATAATCTTGCGATAATTGTCATGCCGTTACTTCGAAAAGTTACGGATCCCTGTTTTGACACGGTCGGGGAAGTGGTAGACTGCATTCACCAGCTCTTGGAGGTAATGTCTCGATTTACTGACTTATCGTGACTCATCTTTTGTCTTTCCTTTGAAGGGGCTGCGCTTCATGCACAGACATCACGTCGCTCACCGGTACGTGACCTAGTTGCTCGAGTGACTTGGTCTGATTACCTGGGCAAAGGGACTGCATGCAGCTGAACATACTGATGGACGGCAGGATGTTCATAGACGCATGGCATCCAAGCGACCAATATATGTCCGAGGACTTCAAACGTCCGGCTAGGCATCGCACACGCACACAGTCTCCGCCACGATATTACTACATCGACTTTGGCATTTCCCGCAAATATGATGCATCCAATACCAATCCACTAGAAATCCCCATATATGGTGGAGATAAAGGAGTGCCAGAGTTCGCGGAAGCCTACACCAAACCTTGGAACCCTTTCCCAACTGATGTTTGGTATCTTGGGCACGCTATCCAAGAAACATTTCTCGACGTAAAGTGTAGCAGTTGCTTCTCATTTTCCACACTCTGATTTGGGCCAAACAGTGCTACTTAGGTGTGGATTTTTTGCGCGGTTTGGTAACGGATATGATGCACTCGGATCCAACGCAACGTCCGAACATGGACGATGTTTTTTCTCGGTTCCAGGTTCTGCGTCAGGGTCTCAGTAATTGGAAATTACGTTCGCGGGTGGCTCATGATGACGAGAGGTCTCTTTTTGATTTGCTGGCCCACTGGGCCCGTCGCATCCAATACATAGTACGTAGGATTCCCCCAACGCATACCTCGCCGTCATAGAGCGGACTTCTTTGTAACTAATCTCCTACCATGCACTGTGGAATGCAGCGACAGGACAGCCGTTGGGTGAGCCCTTGGAGGGGCACACTCACGCGGTCCAATCAGTCGCGTCTGGTTCATAGGATAACACTGTGTGGGTGTGGAATGCAGCGACGGGACAGCTATTGGGTGAGCCCTTGAAGTGGCACAGTAGCTCAGTTTTGTCAGTCTTGTTCTCGCCAGATGGTGCTCGCATCGCGTCTGGTTCATGGGATAACACTGTGGGTGTGGAATGCAACGACGGGACAGCTATTGTGTGAGCCCTTGAAGGGGCACACCAGCTTAGTTTTGTCAGTCCTATTCTTGCCGGATGGTGCTTGCATCACGTCTGGTTCGTGGGATAACACTGTGGGTGTGGAATGCAGCGACAGGACAGCCATTGCGTGAGCCCTTGAAGGGGCACACTAGCTTAGTTTTGTCGGTCTTGTTCTTGCCAGATGTGCTCGCATCGCGTCTGGTTCATGGGATAACACTGTGTGGGTGTGGAATGCAGCGACGGGACAGCCATTAGGTGAGCCCTTGAAGGGGCACACTAGCTTAGTTTTGTCGGTCTTGTTCTCACCGGATGGTACTCGCATCGCGTCTGGTTTTGCGGATTACGCTGTGCGGCTGTGGAACGTACCGAGATGCATTCAAATAAGTGAACTGGTGAGTTCTTGCTGGTGATTATGCTGATTGCCGTGCTTTTACATGCTCATGCATTGCTTTATATTTTAATGCTAACAGAGTCCTTTCCTATATATCACGATATATGACAATATCTTCTCACTGGTTCTTTAATCTTACTGACCGTCAAGGTGCTGACTGACATTCCCATCAATATTGCACTTACAACGATGTCAGCTGAGAAAAGTCAGGACGACCACAATAAGGTTCCTCAACGATTGTCTCACTTACACGAGTCCTGACTGGCTTGACTATGGGAGACCCATCAGCGCTCAGCTCTGACAATCACATCATTGAGCTTTCATTATCATGATTCGGGAGTACTGACAGCATTGAAATGCAAGAAATTCAACTCAAGCCTGCGCCGCGTGCCATGATGGATGCGCACATCCCGTGCCTATATAGGTGGAAGATTGCAATGATCTTTCGTTCGTCTATTTTGTCCCTACAGGCCTTTTACCTTCCAAATGCTGTGCACATGTCCAAGCTACATCTTCCGCAAGTGTATCAAAGCTTCCCTACGCCCAAATTGAAGGACCCGTCAGAACTGGCCCGAAAGCACAATGACACCAACCCATTTCAGTCGAGAAAAGTCACGACAGCCGCAAGAGATTCTATGGCTCCATCAACATCATGTCATTATCCTCAAATAGGCCATCACTGTGAAACACTCCCGACCGTGGAATGATGTATGCACTCTTTGACCTTTCATTGATTTCCCATCTCTCATTGCAACTCATGGGGCAGGAGGGCCCCCCACATAGCGGCACAAGTGATAGGTCGGTATTCTGAATCAGCCTCAAGAAGCCAGATGTGAGTTTCCGTACGTGATTTCATGCGGCTTCCTCACCGACGTTTTCTGGAACTCTAGGACTAGAATCATCTTGCATCAACGACGTTGGACCAGGGTCTCAGGCAAGGACTACGGGCCTGTCGGCTCTTTCCATAGTTTAGTCAGAGATTCCGGCCCGCCGATCCACTGTGTACCAATGTTAGGTAGATCATCATATCATGCATGACCCATCGTGCCATAGCCTTCGCTCCACCCTGCTCCAATGTCAGGTGACCCACAAAATTCAGAAAAGCGGCAAGCCGCACAACTGCGATAGCTCTGCGAAAAAAATCCACCACTGTCTCCAAGCCTCACTATGGGAGACCACATCGATCATATAATCATGATGTCCCTTCATTCAAGAGTACTGACAGCATTGAAACGCAAGACGTTCTACTCAAGCACATGTAGGCAATGATGGATGCGCGCATCTCGTGCCTAGTAGTATAGGTGAAGGATGCTCTTTTATTCGTCCATTTCGTCCCGACTGCCCTTTTGCCCCCAAAATGCTGGTACTTAACGCACATGTTCATGCTATATCTTCCGCAGTTGCATCAATGCTTCCACATATCCAATCAAGGGACCTTATGAGAATTGACCCGAAAGCCCGATTGTTGACAGCAGCCGTTGCAACCAATGTGCTTCCCCGATCCAGTCCATGTTAGGCTGGATTGCGCCAGCACAATGGGGATCAATTCAGTTGAGCTGGATACATGTCAGCACAAAGGGGGTTCGGATAATATTCTCATTCACCCTCAGTCATTTTTTTATGTTCAAAATCACGGTTTGTCCGCGGACCTTGGTCCCCCATGTCCGTCGACCAACTCGCTGATCCGATTTCTAACCTGAACGGCCTTCATTGACTCATTTTTTTGCAGATCCACCTATTGATTTTCATCACCGGAAATTGACAATAGAGGCTGTCACTATCTTATCACGTACAGTTTCCTCATGTGCTGCTCAGAGTGTGCTCGAACCACAGACCTAGTCCGCACTATCGAGCCTGGAACCCGAGAATTGCCATTGTTTTGAGGTTCGCAGGTTGGCCTAGGCTTCAGATGCTGTGTTACCTTGCGAAGCAAGGTCGATTGGCATGGTCGATTTTCTGATATTGCCTCGATGGTGGTGAAATTTATGATGCAACGTGATGAATTTCAACTGTTCTGACTCCATGATCCGACGATACAGATCCAGAAGAACCGTAACCGTAACAATATTTGCTGAAAGAGACAGTGGCAGAATGGAGACAACTGCATTAGAAATCTGCTGGGTCAAAGAACAAATGTAGAGGTAATTTGGTCGGAGCAAACAAGAAACGAGCGTCGATGAAATCGAACACTCATAACCAGTCTGGTGTGCAGAACGGTAGACCACTGGACAATATGATAAACAAAATACACATGGGAAGGAAGCAGATGCAGCCGACAGAACCTCACATGACCATATGTGCATGATGGTGTACAAGATTATCCGCCGAACCTTAAGACCCATGACAGGCAACGCCGCCCCTGGTAGCGAAAATGTGATCAACAAATTGCAACTCCACTCAAGGAACATAGCCGTCGCCGAAACATCGGGCTTCTCCATGGCTTTCATGAGAACTTGTCTGGGAATGGCCCAGGGCAAGATTCAATGATAGGGATGATAATGCCCGGGTGCTTGTCAGCGGACATTCATTACGTTAGGCGTAGCCCCTGTACTTGAACATGCGTATTAAGCTAGCTGCTTATCACTGGGTGCAACTTCGTCGATAGCCGAGTAAATTAGAGGCTCGAAGGCGATATTCTGTGAGCCAGCTATGAAACGCAGGGACAAGCTTCCGCTAATGGCCTAGCCATGGCATGATCGTGGGTAACATGATGATGTGATGACTCATTGTCACTTCATATGATCAAATTAAAGTTGTCATTACGCGGGGTACATATAGTTCCTTTGTTTGTCTTTACACCCAACTCACACCTATTCCTATGATATCATCCAATCATCTATCAACGATAGCGGTGCTAGCCTGCATAAAATAGACTAACCCAAGTGCCATGTTTCACAGGTAGAATGTCTGCACCACTCACTCGACCCACTTGGACCCCTGCCCAAGCAGCAGCTGTTCATGACATCCGAACAAAAATCAGTTCTTCCAGGCCTACCCTCGGCCAGGCGCAATCCCTTGCTGAGCGCGCACAGGTCCCCACCAGAGGAATTCCCGAAGGAATGTATATCTCCTGCGAATTAGCTTCCCCTTCCTCTCAGATACCTCCTGCCATTCATTCAGCCTCCATCCAACCGGGCCAAGTTCCCGTCTTCTTCTATGCCGATGCCCCTCCCCAGTCATTTACTCAGCCGAAGAAAGACATTAAAGTCATATTTCATATTCCTGGAGGCGGTAACATCTTCGGACATCCAACGGAGCAGAGGTATATAGCATTCTTCTCTCGTGTGCTTCGTGCATTTGGCAAGAAACCTGGCGCACAAGGTCCCAGTGCACCCGTCATCGCAGTCCCTTCCCGCAGACTCGCCACAGCCCGCGAGAACCTCTTTCCAGCGGGCTTACAAGATATATTCTCTGCATACCATCACTTGATCTTGAAAGGCTTTGCCCCCAAGAATATCACTTTCACAGGCGATGGTTCAGGCGGAAACATGGGTGCGTAATTATTTATAAAATTCTTCTCGTGTTCATATCTCACTTTCATCCAGCTCTTATCCTCACGTACCTTCTCTCCCAATCCTCTCTCCCGGCGCCAGGACGCATCGTAATGTTCTCCCCAGACGCAGACCTCACTTACGCCTCTTACGCTTCCGTACCTCAAGACGTCATATCTCAATCAAGCTTCCAAACCTGCGCTTCCCAATATCTAGGCAATTTCCCTGCCAATCACCCTCTAGCATCAGGCGTCCTAATTCCATTCACTGCAAGTTGGCCGAAGACTTTGGTCCTGACCGGTACAGCTGATAGTGTTGTCGAGTGCGGGCGGAGAGTTGTGCGTGGTATCCAGAAGGCGGGCGGAGTCGCTGAGATTGTGGAATATGCGGATTTGCCCCATGCGTGTTGGACCTTTGCTCATATCTTCCCACAGTTGGACGATGGGTTCAGCAGGTTTGCAGCTTTTATATACAAATAAGCGAATCGTAAATAGTGTGTATGTAACTTGATGCCGATTGCACCTTCTGCTGCTGGTCGTGCATAGTGGAGCGCACTTTCGGTTGTACTTAGTAGTAGTAGCAGCACCTATGCTAGTCTGTCTCAGTGAAACATTGGTGAAACACCCCGCAAGTTAATCACACATCCACGAAATTCAAAGACGCATCCATATATATGCATCTACAGACATCACAAAAACAAAAGCGCACTCATACCAGAGTACGAATATGACTACCACCCAAATAACAGATCCCCAACCTGCCCAAGCACGCCCTTCGCAGGACTCTGTTGCGCATTAACAACCGGTATAGGCATGGCGTGCGCAGATTTCTGGGGTACCGGCGCAGGAGCTTTACGGAACGCAGCCACAGACGGTGCAAGTTTGATCGGCGTCCCAACAGTAGCAGCGCTATCCACCACCATCGCATTTCCGTCCGTATGCGCTTGTACTTGTGAAGTCTGGATTTGCGCCCGTGGTGGGGAAGTAGACGCCGAGAAATCAGGTCCGCGGGGGTCCTGAGTAGAGTCCTTCATGCATCGTAGGAGTCAGCACGCCGCCCGACATCGAAAAAAAAACATCTTACAGCCCATTTAACGCCCACCATCCAAGTCCCCCCCAAGACCTCCCCATTTCTCCTGACTGCACGCATAGCTTCTCCAGGGTCACGGAATCCGATTCTGAACGCGTTCACAATCTCCGTATTAGGCTCTGGTTCGGTGCTTGCGCCAAGCGAGCGGAAATATTCTACGGTGAGGGAATATCTGTCTGGTGGATAGCCAAAAACAATTATATAGGTCGGTTGGTTTGGGGTGCTCGATTGGGTATGGGTTTTAGACTGGGAGATGTTCAACGTAGAGGAAGAGTTTGAGAGGGAGAAGGGCTGCGAATACGAGAACAATCAATTGAAGGGAATCATAAATAAGGACGGGACGTACGCGCGAAGGGGGAAGAACTGCCCGTTGGGACTCGCCAAAAGAAGATCCCTCACGGAATATATCATTGACTGAACTGGTCGGTGGCGCGTCCATGTCTGTGAACGCTTGCCTTTGCCTTGCGACAAATCGACTTCCAACATAATAGAATAAGAATAAAAGGTAAACGTACGTGCTCGAACTCTCAAACATCGACTCGGCACCAAAATGCGAGGCTCCACGGGATAGACCCTTGTTTATTTTTGCCTTGGTCTGCACGACGGGAATTTCGTCTGTATTTTGTGCACTGGGGGACATGACCTATGCTCCTGATGCGTCAGTCCTGTTGCTGAACACTGTGAACGGCGACCTACATTATGTTGCGCCACGGACTGCATGAATCATGTTGAGAAGTTAAGGTGGTAGGAGGTAGGACAAGCGTACCATCATGTAGCCTGGCTGGTAATGCGTCCTGGACTGCCCGAAGGTGTCAGTAAGAGACGTACCGAGGGGACCTGTGCCACTTGTGTTTCCCCAGGGATTATGACTCGTGCTTTGAGCATGCTGATGTGGGTGAGCATGGGGGCTTGTACTCGTTGACATGATCAATTTTCCAAATTCTCTTAACAAACAGTTACAACACGAATTAGGATGCTAGCAGGAGAGCAAGGGTAAACAATTTGAGCACAAATTCGGGTTCGGCTCTTGTAATGCTAGTTTTCCCACACGGGTCCACATATCTATGAGCACTACCACCACCCGCTTCGCCCACTTTCTTCGTGCAGGAACATTCAGACCTGCTAATCGCTCGGTTCCATCATACAACTCTACGCTCTTTTTTCGCATCAATGCATCTGGTCCGTCGAACTTCAGGTTCTCTCGCTCCGAGCCATCCGCCTTTGCCCGATCCTTCCATGCATCGCACTCGGTACACGACTTTCATTTCGACACCCACCACTTCGTGCAGCGGCTCGAGCGCGAAGGTCTCAACCGTGCGCAAGCAGAAGGCATAATGGGTGCCATGGCAGAGGTCATCGACGAGAGCATTCGAAACATGACAAGCAACATGGTCACGAAAGCTCAACAGGAGAAGGTGAGCGCACCACTGCCTTTCGCGGTACTGCGAGACTCAACAAATGGGGAAATTCGACCGCCTATTTCTCATTCGTCGTATCATACGCTTTCCATTCCAGCATCAATACACCCAACAAGTCGATTTCGCACAGCTGAAATCCGAGCTGCAGCTTATTGAGAAGAACGACCTCGCTTCTTTGAAGTCTGATAATGACCGTTTGGTTGCGGATATGGAGAAGCTGAAGCAGCGACTGCGCGAGGAGATCACGCGTACGCAGGCTGGCGTTCGACTGGACCTTAATTTGGAGAAGGGACGGATGCGGGATGAGAGCAGCGGGCAAGAGCTCAAGATTAAGGAGGTGGATGCGAGAATCGAACAGGAGATTGCAAACTTGAGGACGACGATCCAGCAATCGAAGGTATTTTTCTTAATTGTTTTTGGCGAAGCTTGGATTACTGAACCCTTGGGTGTTTAGGCAACGACGCTGCAGTATCTTGTTGGATTCGGTATGTGCAGATTTAAATGCTTAGCTTTAGGCTGGGACGCTGATGTTTTGCGTTTAGTGACCGGTTGTTCTGCGCTTCTAATGGCATACCTGAGATTCAGAGTATAGAGCTTTGCATCATGCATCGATGTCGTTCATTACATTTGAACTCGGAGGACCCTTCGATTGTATCATGATCTAATTTATTATCGCACTTACATAATTGTACAACTGTGAGTAGATACTACGTCATATATAGATTCACATTTAAACAGACATATAGTTGTTGAACCTAAGCCTAGTGAAATGTCCGTGATCTCGAAAGCTTGTGCACCAGCCACTTATGAGTCTGACTAACACACGCCCCATGACAACATGAGCATATCATTTCAACTAGCAGTGTTTAGCATTGCTCATTGACCGCTTGTCGCGCCTCTGCTCCCAACACATCCAGCACCTTGTTCCTGGATCGCAATGCTCTCCTCTCCATTGTTTGCTCTTCGGCTTCGTCCTGTGCAATCAAAAAATCGACGTAAGCCCGTTCCGCCGGACGAAGCATGTAGTCAAACGAGCCGTCAGGGGAGAGTGCCAGACTTTCTTCTTCGGATGATACCTCGAAATTAATTGGAGATGCAACCGGTGAAACACGTCGATCAAGGGCCGGACTCGCCAACAGGTTTTCGACGTCCCGAACAAGGCCCATTGGAGAACCGCCGAATGGATCGTCTTCCCCCTCTTCATTTCGCTCTAGAAACTCGGCTCCAAGAGGCGCTTCTGTGTTTTCATTCTCGTCTAGCTCCGCAAGCGAACGGGCACAAATTTCGTCGCTAACGCCAGTCGGTAGTTCTTCCATACCTTCCTTGCCAGGTAATTCATTGGACCGCAAGAGGCCCAAGACAATGCGTGGCGGATATCCTCCAGCGGCCATGCGCCCCTTGTTCCGCTTCTCTACCATCTTCATACCTGAAGCGAGTATACGGCCAAGCCTGTCCTTGAGTGGCCCAATGATGGTGGCGGTGCTCGCATTGCAGGTAAATGAACGCTTTGCACCTATAACCGCACCTTCCTCGTTATCACCTTGGGAATTCTCTTGATCTTGTGATAGGCACAAAGAAAGTCTCTTATCCTGTCCCACGTGGTTGCGCGTGAGTGTGACGCCGAGGACCTTGCCAGCTTTATGATCTGATCTACCGAACGCCTTTCGTTCGGCGGGGGTGAGTCTGTTATTAGGAGACAGGACCTGAGCATTGGTGATGCTCATCGAAGTAGCGCTATTGCAGCACGTCATGGCTGTGGTGGTGGTCATCTTTTCCATGATAATGCAGAGTATGATTGGGGTCAAGGAAGAGCGAACGATTTGTGGTGGCCTCGACGGACGTTGTGAGGTGCATCTTTATACCCGAGTACTGTAGAAAGCTTGGACCACCGCCCACAGTGTCAGAGTGGATCGGTGTGGCAGGTCAGCTGTGGACCCGGGTGCATCTTTTGTTTATTGTACTCTACTAGTGGCGTGTTGTCACGAGCCGAATTCGACTGTTGCTGTGAAGGCGAGAAGGTTGAGTGCGAAGGCATCATGAGGTTGAGCTGTGTCCGAGCGTTAGCTCGGGCTGGACGCTGAAGGATTGAGCCGCCGGGTGAGCGGGCAAGCGAACAGCGATTTTAGTGTGACACATTGTGCAAATGATATTGAATAATAGACATGTAAAGATAGCCGTCGCACGAACAAAAGCGGTAGAACGAACGCAGCTAGATGCTATGCTAACTTGAATGAGAATAAGCAAACGAATAGTAGCAACTTGAAGAGTGTTGGCAGGTAAAAAGACTCATCAGCTGTGAGGTATTACCTCTGGAAAATACTCAACTCTCCAAGTAAACGAACAATGATTTCAATTGCGGGAATAAAACTGTGAACATGTTACTTTTATCGGCTGGCCATTGCGGTTGGAAGGCGGCTTCATAATGTCTAGATATAGTAGCCTTCCAAGGCACCTCTGTTATTCAACTTTTTGCTTGAGGACGAGCAATCGAGTAACTGGAGCAACGGATACAAAGCAGATCTCCCATTTTGGAAATATTGTGTTCTGCAGATTGTGCATGGATGGTACTACATATGTAAGTAGTACTAGTACTTGACATTTGTCACAGGTACCATCACACCGGTCTTCAACTCAAGCATGCTATCCGGGTCAAAGACGCCTTTTATGAGGCGAACTGTCAAACATATCTTGGGCTTGACCATAATCAATCCCTCGCCATGCTCTCCACTCATATTCTAGCTTCAGGAATATCGTGCATTGTTACCCTGGTTGTCGTTTCGCGTCTGACTCGCAGATGTATCTACCCTTTACCTTTGCCGCCTGGCCCTCCTCCGTTACCATTTTTCGGTAACGCGCTGCAATTGGATACTAAACGACCTTGGCTCACATACACCGCGTGGGGAAAGACATATGGTTGGTGGCAGACCAATGGCCTCTTTGCCAAGCTCTCAGATTCAATTTCATCTTTGATTGTAGGAAAAATCATTCACTCCTCCATATTTGGGATCGACTTGATTATCATAAACTCTGAGACGGTCGCGCGGGAGCTGCTCGACAGGCGTTCTGCGAATTACTCTACTCGCCCCGTTATTCGCACCAACGAATTGTATGCATTGTCACGTTTCATTCAGTTTGTCATTCATTCACTGACCATACAGAGCTGGATTGGGTTTCAATACTGTGTTCCTGCCATATGGCGAGACTTTACGGCGACATCGCAAGATATTCCATCAAGTCCTCAGGGCCGAAGTCTCGGTCTCATACTACGAGATGTACTCTCGCCACGCAAACGAACTGGTCGTCAATCTCTTGGATGCAATTAGTGACCCGCAGCATCAGACTGAAACGTTCGTACCTGATCCAGCGATATCGTAGTGATGTATGGTCCAGTTGACTATGAATCTTTGTGACAGATACGCGGCATCCCTAATCATGGCTGTGACATATGGATACAATGCTCACGGACATGAGGACCCATTTCTTTCCCGCGCGCGCGAACTTTTTGATATGGGCAAGTATATTGTCTCTCCCGAGAGGTCTGCCATGTTCACAGCCTTTCCTTTCCGTGAGTGCCTTTATCGACGGCATAATTTTGAACATTCAACACAAGGTTGCAGTCGAAAAGTTGCCGTTCTGGTGCTTCGGTGGAGCATTTTCCCTGATGGGACGCTGTAGAGAATTAGCTCAACAGCTTTTGAACGAGCCCTTCAATGAAGTGAAGGCACAGATGGTGCGTTTGCGCAGAGCTGTGGATGGAAATTTTACCTGATCTGATTGCGTGAAGGCAAATGGGACTGCTTCACACTCATTGGTCGCTGACTTTCTCAGTCAAGCTCACGACGACGCTGATGAAGACACCATGAAGGCTGTTGCGTTGACGGGGTACGTAGGTAAGAGTTTTTTTACGAGGACCAAATTTATCGATTGACGGGAATCCGGCATCTTAGTTGGCATGGACACAGTGAGTCGCTACTTAAGCAGTCTTCATTCTGACTTTGATATCCCACAGAATGCAGCCGCATTGCAGATGTTCCTGCTGACCATGGTGCTCTACCCTGACATTCAAGCCCACGCTCGTGCAGAAATTGACCGAGTTGTGAAACATGATAAAATGCCGTGCCTTGATGACAGGGCGTCAATGCCCTACCTTGATGCCATCCTCCGAGAGGTCCTGAGATGGTATCCTGTCGTTCCCCTAGGTCAGTCAGTCCACAGTAATATAATTCTGTTTGAATATTCGACCACTTGCACAGGAGTTCCACATGCGACATCAAATGATGATGTTTACGACGGGTACTTCATACCCAAAGGTTTGAAGTCGTATGTGTCGAGGTCGTCGTTGACTGATCTGTAGTTCGGTCAGGTGCGATGGTAATGGTTAATCAGTGGTATGTTATGGTGAAGTGCATGTAACGGCGGCTGAGCTGAGCGTGACTCAGGGCACTGTCTCGTGATGATGACGTATTTCCCGATGCATCGCGCTTCGACCCAAGTCGCCATCTGACAGTCGACGGGAAGCTGAAGGACCCTTTCGTCAACCATTTTGCCTTTGGTCATGGCAGGTGAATATTCTGCACTTGCTATAATTTTCAATCATTCGCTGACCCTTATTTCAAGGCGTATTTGTCCTGGTAGGATTATTCGTGGTTGATCTGGCAGTGCTGAGGATGACAAATTTCCTTGGCAGGTCGTTGGTTTGCAGAAAATAGTCTGTGGACCGCAGCTGCTGCCATACTCGCCGTCTTGCGCATCGATCATGCCAAAGACTCGAACGGAAACAAGATTGAGGTGAAGCCGGAGTTCACCACTGGCTTGGCGATGTAAGTGACCTAGTACGTACTCGAGAACCTGCAGCTAACTCTACCGAAGTCACCCTGAACCATTTCAGTGTTCGTTTGAGGTTGTGAACGGAGCGCGAGAAAGACACCTCCGAGCGATGATGAATTCGAATTAGACTTCGTTTGTACTCGAGGTGGTGTGTCATGTAATAGTACCACAGCGTAGAGTGCGACCTCTGTCTCTGATGAACGAGATAATTGCTTTCGAATTCGTTGAGTCTTCAAAAACGTTTCCAAAATCTTGTAACGTGGCGCAACTAGACTGAACACCGTTGATTGGTTCACAGGTCCCTCCCCGTTGCAACATTGGCCTGCCTGAATATCGGTCGACCCACCCATGCACTCGTTTGAGATTGGGTTATGCAGCCGTAGATGCTATAGAAAGTCGTACGATTAGATGTAAGATGCCATCCCCGATAATCTACAGAATGTAAAAAGACTCATCAGCTCTGAAAATTAGTAGGTATCACCTCTCAACTCGCATATCCTCCAAGTAGCTCTACTATAGTTCTTCGATAAACGAACAATGATTTCAACAATAAAACTATGAACATGTTAATTTTATCATGACTGCGGCATGCGCCATCTCGGATGCATTACCGTTCATGATGTCTAAATATAGTATCCTTCCAATGCACCTTCAACTTTTTGCTTGAGGAAGAGCAATCGACTCGGAGTAACCGGGAGGATACATACAGAACGTGCAAAGCAGATCTCCCATTTTCTTCTGCAGATTGTGCATGGTGGTACTGGTTACATATGTAAGTAGTACTAGTACTTGACATTGGTCACAGGTACAATCACACCGGTCTTCAACTCAAGCATGCTATTTGGGTCAAAGACGCCTTTTATCAGGCGAACTGCCATCACACATGACTTGAGCTCGACCATAACTAATCCATCGCCATGCTCTCCACTGATATTCTAGCTTTAGGGATATCGTGCATTGTTACCCTGGTTGTCGTTTCGCGTCTGACCCGCAGACGTGTCTACCCTTCACCTTTGCTGCCTGGCCCTCCTCCGTTACCATTTTTTGGTAACGTGCTGCAATTGGATACTAAACGACCTTGGCTCACATACACTGCGTGGGGAAAGATATATGGTTGGTAGCAGTCCCATGCCCTCTTTTTCAAGCTCTTAGATTCAATTTCATAGGAAAAATCATTCGCTCTCGCATATTTGGAATCGACTTGATCATCATCAACTCTGAAACGATCGCGCGGGAGTTGTTGGACAGGCGTTCTGGGAATTACTCTTCTCGTCCTGTTATTCGCACCAACGAATTGTATGTATTGCCGGTTTTCATTCATTTTGTTCTTTATCAACTGACGATGCAGAGTTGGAGGGTCTTTCAATACTGTATTCCTTCCGTATGGAGAAACCTTACGACAACATCGCAAGATCTTTCATCAAGTCCTCAGGGCTGAAGTCTCGGTCTCATACCGCGAGTTGTACTCTCGCCACGCAAATGAACTAGTCATCAATCTCTTAGGTGCCACTAGTGACCTACTACAGCATCAAACTGAAGCGTATGCACCTAATCGTGTCGTTGTGATGTATGGTCCAGTTGACTATCAATCTTTGTGACAGATACGCGGCGTCCCTAATCATGGCTGTGACATACGGACACCATGCTCACGGACATGAAGACCCATTTCTTTTCCGCGCGCGCGAACTTTTTGATATTGGCAATTATATTATTTCTCCCGAGAGGTCTGCCATATTCACAGCCTTTCCTTTCCGTGAGTGCCTTTATCGACGACATAATTTTGAACATTCAACGCAAGGTTGCAGTCGAAAAGTTACCGCTCTGGTGCTTCGGTGAAGCATTTTCCCTGATCGGACGCTGTAGAGAATTAGTTCAACAGCTTTTGAACGAGCCCTTCAATGAAGTGAAGGCGCAGATGGTGCGTTTGCGCAGAGCTGTGGATGGAAATTTTACCTGATCTGATTGCGTGAAGGCAAATGGGACTGCTTCACACTCATTGGTCGCTGATTTTCTCAGTCAAGCTCACGACGACGCTGACGAAGGCACCATGAAGGCTGTTGCGTTGACGGGGTACATGGGTAAGAGTTTTTTTTTTGAGGACCAAATTTATCGATTGACGGGAATCCGGCATCTTAGTTGGCATGGACACTGTGAGTCTCCACTTAAGCAGTCCTGATTCTTACTTTGATGTCCCGCAGACTGCATCTGCATTACAGACATTTCTGCTGGCCATGGTGCTCTATCCTGACGTCCAAGCCCGGGCTCGTGCAGAAATCGACCAAGCTGTAAAGCATGATAAAATGCCGTGCCTTGATGACAGGGCGTCAATGCCCTACCTTGATGCCATCCTCCGCGAGGTCCTGAGATGGTATCCTATCGTCCCCCTAGGTCAGTCCGCAGTAATATAATTCTGTTTGAATGTTCGACCCCTTGCACAGGAGTTCCCCATTCGATATCAAACGATGATGTTTACAATGGGTACTTCATACCCAAAGGTTCGAAGTCGTATATGTCGAGGTTGTCGTTGACTCATCTGTAGTGCAATCAGGTGCGATGGTAATGGTTAATCAGTGGTATGTCATGGTGGAGTGCATGTAACGGCGGCTTGAGCTGAGCGTGACTCAGGGCACACTCTCGGGATGAAGACATATTTCCCGATGCATCGCGCTTTGATCCTAGTCGTCATCTGACAGTTGACGGGAAGCTGAAGGATCCTTTCGTCAACCATTTTGCCTTTGGTCATGGCAGGTGAGTATTCCGCACTTGCTATCATTTTCAATCATTCGCTGACTTTTATTGCAAGGCGTATTTGTCCTGGTAGGATTATTCGTGCTTGATCTGGCAGTGCTGAGGATGATAAATTTCCTTGGCAGGTCGTTGGTTCGCGGAGAATAGTCTGTGGACCGCAACTGCTGCCATACTCGCCGTCTTGCGCATCGATCATGCCAAAGACTCGAACGGAAACAAGATTGAGGTGAAGCCGGAGTTCACCGCCGGCATGACGGTGTAAGTGACCTAGTATGTACTCAAGAACCTGCAGCTAACTCTACCGAAGTCACCCTAAACCATTTCAGTGTTCGTTTGGAATCGTGAACACAGCGAGAGAAAGACACCTCAGAGCAATGATGGATTCGAAGTAATCTTCGTTTGTGCTGCTGTGTGATCACTATACATATGACATCAATCTTGTGGCCGAAAGCTCAAATGAGTGCCCGTGGAAGAGCGAAAAAGTTACAAACGTGCTTCCACTTATGACCCGTTGTTTAGGATCCAAAGTTCTATGCGATGAGCGCGTTTGTATTTCCGATTTGGGGTTGCGCTTCTAGTGTAGTTGACTCATTCTTCAGCATATTCTTTGCTGCAGCATTGTTTATTGTGATTTTATGAACATTATAGCATATCCAGTTTGGGCTGTAATCATTCTTGCGATACGGTTCACTGGGTACCCACATTAACACTCTGAATAATTGGCAATATCTCAGGCCATACGTCTGGACTGGTCTCTCTGTGGATTGTCGGGGATCCCATCTTACATCTAATCTTACGACTTTTTATAGCATCTACAGCTGCGTAACCCAATCTCAAACGAGTGCATGGGTCGACCGATATTCAGGTAGGCCAATGTTGCAACGGGGAGGGACCTGCGAACCGGTCAACGGTGTTCAGCCTAGTTGCGCCGTGTTACAAGATTTTGGAAACGTTTTTGAAAATTCAACAAATTCGAAAGCAATTATCTCGTTCACCAGAGACAGAAGTCGCAAGACCGTGCCATCCAGTGCACTCTACGCCGTGGTACTATTACATGACACACCACCTCAAGTACAAACGAAGACTACTTCGAATCCATCATTGCTCGGAGGTGTCTTTCTCTCGCTGTGTTCACGCTTTCAAACAAGCAATGAAATGGTTCAGGGCGACTTCCGCAGAGTCAGCCACATGTTCTTGAATACATACTAGGTCACTTACATCGCCAAGCCGGTGGTGAACTCCGGCTTCACCTCAATCCTGTCTCCGTTTGAGTCTTTAGCATGATCGATGCGTAAGACGGCGAGTATGGTAGCAGCTGCAGTCCACAGAACGTTCTCTGCAAACCAACGACCTGCCAAGAACATTTGTCGTCCTCAACACTGCTGGATCCACCATGAATCAGCCTACCAGGACATATCCGCCTTGCAGCAAGCCTGGTCAGTGAATAATTGAAAATGATAGCAAGTGTAAAATATCCATCTGCCATGACCGAAGGCCATATGATTGACAAAAGGGTCCTTCAACTTCCCATCAACTGTTAGATGGCGACTAGGATTGAAGCATGATGCGTCGGGAAACATGTCTTCATCCCGGGACAATGCCCTGGATCATGTTCAGCTCAAGCAGTCGTTACACTCCAACGTGACATACCACTGATAAATCATCACTATCGCACCTGATCGAACTACAGATAAGTTGTTTGGGTATAAAGTACCCGTTGTAAACATCATTATTTGAGCCCACATGTGGAATTCCTGTGCAAGGGGTCGACGATTGAAACACAGTTATATTACTGCGGACTTACCTAGGGGGACGTGAGGATACCATCTCAGGACCTCGCGGAGAATGGCATCAAGGTAGAGCAGTGACGCCTTATCATCAAAGCACGGCATTTTATCACGCTTCACAACTTTGGTCAATTTCTGCACGGGCCCTGCTTTGGACGTCAGGATAGAGCAGCATGGCTAGCAGGAATGTCTCTGTTGCTGTGAAGCCGAGAAGGTGGAGTGCGAAGGCGTCGTGAGGTTGGCTGTGTCCTAGCGTTAACTCGGGGTGGACGGGCAAACGAACAACGAAGTTTCAGTGTGACGCATTGTGAAAATGATATTACATAAATGATAGACATGTAAAGATAGCCGTCGCACCAACAAAAGCGGTGGGGCGGAGAACAAGGGACGAAAGCAGCTAGATGCTATGCTAATGAGAATAAGCAAACGAATAGTAGCAACTTGAGGAGTACTAGTGTGGTGACCACTCCCGGAGCTAAAGTGCAGACTAGTGTAATATTAAAAAGACCTCGGAAACTTCATCAGCTCTGAAATTAGTAAGTATTACCTCTGGAAAATACTCAACTCACATATCCTCCAAGCTTAGCTCTACTATAGAGCTAAACAATGATTTCAATAGCGGGAATAAAACTATGAACATGTCATATAATTTTATCGCCCGAAACTTGAAATTGCCCGAAGCGGCCACTACCGCCCAAAAGATATCCTGGTTTGGTAGTTCAAAAAATTTCTGGCCAGCCCAAGCCCATCTGCTCCTCCCTGTAGAACTGATATATGTGCTACCGATTTCAGAGGGAGTACATACTTGCCATAATGCATTGTATCTCATTTACAAGAAAAGAGCGAAAGCTTCTTATGTAAGGTCCATGCTTGCTGAGCGGTGAATGAGGTCCTCACCTTTTTGCTCGTACCTTGGAGTGATGAGTGCCCTGTTACTGTTCCGACGTAGATCGGTTCCCAAAAGCTTCCACAAACAAGGTACGTGCAAGCATCAAATTATATAACATACCAGGACTCCAGTCACCAGTGTTTGACATGTAAGGTAAAAATTTTAGGAAACCATACCACAGACTATATAAGCTTCAACTCTGCGGGCAGGTGAGGATGTGCGCCTGCAATGCGCTGGCTGCGAACGTTCTCTGACAGCCTTCACACAGTTCCAATAGTCCAATATGCTCGTTAGTGATGTGCCAGGCCTGGCTTGGCCTGAAAGCCATGGCCTGGGCCTGGTAAAAACCCAGGCCAGGCCCAACCAGAGGGCTTTGGCCTGGCCTGGGCTTGGCTTTGGCCTAGGCCAGGGCCTCTCAATAAAAATGATGAAAATGATGCGAAAGTTATGTTTATTTATTTGTATACTAGTCAGATGGTATATCAGATAGCTCCAAATCCCAGGCAGTCCTCTCTCGAATACCAGAATCAACTTCCTCACCAACTTCTGGCTCTTCCAATGCTAGCTCTAAAGTGGATGAAGGGGGAGGCTCATGAAACATAAGGTTACAATTGTACAACATGCGTAAGACTTGGATAGCCTCCACAATATCCCCCTTTAGGCGATTTCGCCGCTTGGTAATAGTTAGAGCGGCAGCTGAAAAAGCACGCTCACTAGAGACCGATGTAGCCATGATAGATAAGTAGTCACAGGCAAGAGATGCCCTCAATCTCGCGCAGGTGTGCACTAGAGTAAGAAGTTAGTAGTAGCATTAGAATTTAATAGTGAAATGATTTGTGTGCTTACCTGTGTGTGTGCTTAATGAATGAGTTGAACAAGCATCATCTGTGAAGGATGGCTCGCCGGCTCGATGAAGGTGCTTGGCTATCGAAATAAAACAGTGAGCATACCAGCACAAAGATTGATAGTACTTACCCTTGGATACTGATTTGTTGGCATCTTCATTGTCCAAATTCTCGTCCTGATTTGAGAGACTTGAACTCCAGCCAGCATCATCTGCATTTCATTTGGTGTCGCGCGGATTTGTCGTGGGAGTAGTGTTTGGTTGGACCGGCCGCTGTACCTGCTTGTGGCTAGTTAACTCGGGTGTTGCATTATTATTGGAATCGAGAAGCCAAGAAGAAGGTATAATTGTTTGTTTAGAACGGACTATGATGGCAGCAACTGCGTCATCATCAGAAACGACTGTGAGAGTCATCCTCGGGTTGGGTATGTTGTTTAGCTGACTTCTTCCAGTGGATGTGGTTGTTGCAAAGTTTATGTAATTTAAGTATTGTACAGTACATCCTGGAAATTTCCTTCACTATGTAGAAGCCCTGGCCTGAGCCCTAGGCCATGGCCTATGAGACACCCAGGCCAGGTTCAAGCCCTCATGAGGCCCATCAAGTAGGCCTGGCTTGGGCCTGGCCTATGGGGGCCTGTGGGCCAGGGCCTGAGGGCCCGAGGCCAGGCCCAGCACATCACTAATGCTCGTACTTGGTGATACCATTGCCATCAGCCAGCGAATGCAGTACTTTCTGTTCTGTCAGTGCCGGACTTGCGAGCTCATTGATGAGAGGGCCGGCCTGTCTGCGGAGATAGTGGGTGATTCATTGTTGATGCATATCTAGAATGATAGAATTAGTACCTGTAATATGTATTAACAATGTTTAAAGTTTTTTCTTACCTGGAACTCGACAACAATAAGATGCAACATTATGAACAGCGCCACCTCGCTGTGACAGCGCTAATGCTGAACCAGGGGTGCCACAGTAACCCTCGAAGTAGGGGAAAAGGTCAGCGTGTCCGCTGGGCATTGCTGCGAGTCGGTCGTGGTGGACTCGCAGTACCAAATCACGCAAATTTGCAAGGTGTGGGTGATTAAGATACACTATGAATGATTTATTTGAAAGATGAGTATACAATCAGAGTAGACTGCAGGCAACTTGGATGAACCTCAAGTAAGGGCATCTGTATATACTGATTCATATAGGGCAGTCTCTCGTGCCTCGCTAAGATTCACTGAGGAAAGCATCAAGATATGTCCAATACACAAGTAGAGGGTACATACATGAGAAACCACACATGCTAGGAGACTGGTGGCAATAAGCCATTGCATGACCGCGACAGTTGGTTTCGAAGCGGACTGGGGTGCAGTGCTCTGTCAAAAGTCCACAAAAGCATTCCCATGCTATATTGCGACATCGGGTCCAATCCTTGAGGTTATGAGAGATGATGCGCTCCCCAGTAGCCTGGTTGACTGGGCTAATACAAGTCAGCGACAAAGGGGCAAAACATGGTGTGTGTGGCACTACACATACTATGCTATCACAACTGTCTCACCCAGCTCGCGGGAGAAAATGGTGAGTTCTGTGCTGGCACATTGGAGCGCACGAACGACATGAAATTTTTTGGGATATGTGGGCATGGTGTTGGTTGTAGTAAAGCGGTAGAACACTATGGGGGAAGACGAAAGGATACTACTAGTGAGTGAGTGAATTATTGCACATACTAGCTTTTATATACCTGGCTCACTGGCAGCATCACTCGAAAAAAAACTTAGATATTTCCCACTCCTGGATCATTCTCAATTCGACATGGATAACCGATCCTTCTGAGACACTGCTAATGTTAGTTTGCATCTTGGCAAGGACTTAGGCTGTGATTTGGTGAAATAGAAACTCTTAGCGAGGATAAGGCATGTGGATTGAGGGACAATCGGTGTGCTTGAGCGTTCAGAAGCAGAGGGTAAACGACAGTTGCACAGGTCAACACTGTGAAATCTGTGACAATCAAAATGTAGGCTACTTAGAAGCAAAAAAAAGCTTGGGATTAGTGACAGTTGCTCACCTGGTGGATATTTTAGAACAAAAGGCAAGCTTAGACTCAGTGACGGTAGGTCCTGCTTGGTTTAAGCTAACTGAAAGCGCTGATGTTTTCCCAAACCAGGCAATACAACTTAGGTGTTGCGCTCAAGCGTCATAGATCTCAGCATTGATTAATGTCCAACCTAGCCGATATTGACAGTATATGAAGAGGTCTGTAGAACAGCTAAATATTGTAGCTATGTCTTTTCTTACTGACTTTCAGCGCTCTGCGGTTCAGAGTGCACAGATCCTCCTTGAAAATGCTGGTCTGTCTCCACGAGACCTGGATTCATTCTCGTCATCGTCATCATCGCCATCACCACCATCATCATCACCGTCACCACCACCATCACCTTCATCACCTCCTCCTAGTACTCTGCCTAAATTCTGCCCCGCTTCTCTATCTACTCGTAATACCTGTCTAGCTGTTGCTGGCACCCGTTATACCCCACCTCCTGCACAACCTTTTACAGTGGAAGATCGTCTGCAAGGACGGCATTGTGTCACGCGCAAGACTTCTGCACATGCCATCATCGAGCACCCAATTGGTGCCACAGTTGAGTACCCACAGACCAGACGCCATGCCGACGAATCCATCGCCCATATCTTTCATATAAACCCTTCCATGTTTACTTCTACCTTGCATCTTAAGTCGAGCTTCCAGTATTCCTTGGGTGACAGGCACGGTGGTCAAATCATTGGGAAATGTCTAATGCTCCATGATGCTGGAGGGCAACCAGTTTCGTGCGCAAAGCTCAGAACATCATGTAAGTAATTTATACATCGTCTTTGGGTGATTCTCAAATGTTCTTGCAGGCAAGGGCCTCAAAATTTGTTCAGGACGTCAGCATGATATCTCTGCACACCATTTCACCAATGTTTCTGAAGTTTTAGCTCACCATCCATCTACCTTGCGACGACGAGGTCCTGCTGGCACTGCTGACCAAGAACTTTTCGAGAAAACTCTTGCGTTTTTTGTTGCTCTTAGTCTTCGTGGCTGCTCGCCTCATTCTCCTACTGATGGACAGAACAACACAGACGTAGTAGGAGATAGTAGCATAGATATTGATGATGATTTTGAGGGTCTGACAGCTGACCAGTATCTCGACAGCATCTCTACCAGTTCTGATACCGATCTCCATATTGGCTGCATACCATCAAGTCGTCGACCAGTCAAAAAAAAATGTAATGGAAGACTTGTCATGCATTTTGATGCATATAATCAACCATTTATTCGGTAAGTTTTTATTTATCTACTATTGCTCACATTTATCTCACATTCTGCATCACAGATGCAGCCTGCATTCTCGCACTGCATGCTCGCATTTATTCATACGAAATTTGCAGGAGAGTGATACCTGCTACTTGCAGGCACTACTGGATGACGACCACCACATGATTATGAAGTGCGAGCAACTTGCAAAGTCACAGGGATATGGTCCCCTGATGCTGTGTAGTTTTGTTACTGGTCCATCATCACAAAAACAAGTGTGCCATATGTTTTTTTCCTGTTTTGTAGCTTGTTATTTTCAATCATATCCTTGTGCTTCAGCACATTGGCATCGCCGGGCTGATGGTACATTGAAGCAAGGTGTTCTACGAAAATGGGCACACAACTGCGCAGCATCATTTGACATATATGTTCCCGAAGATCTATTTGCCTGCCCTCGAATACTTGTCCTTTGCACCAACCCTCATTCACATCCCCCTCCTCTACCTGTCAAAACTCCGCCTCCCCTCATTGATGTATTTCATAAATTAGTTTCCCTCATGAAGTGGAAACTTGCAGATGCAACACCACGACGAATATACCTGGATACGGCCTTTGTTGAGGGTCTTCATCGAGTGCTCGACTGGCAATTTCCTGATGGCCGCGATGCAATGCTTCAAGACCTCCATCCATCACTCGCTAATCTTGACCATGTGTGTTGCCTTATTAACATAACGAGGTCTATGAAGTACCCAAGTGGAACAGGATTTGAAGGTATGTTCATACAATATTTGAACCACCTAGTACAATCCCTGATTATCATTTTTTTTCTGTTTAGGTGCACGTCGTCTTGCAAACGAACATGCATCCCTGCCTCTGGAGCAGCGCTATGTCCGCTGTGCAGAAACACACGTCATTGAACGTGGTGTGGAGTTCAAACTGGTTGTGTGTATGACATCACAAATGTCATCACATCTCATACAAGCCAAGCGTTTGTCTATTGACACCTCATTCAAACGAGCACAAGGATGGCAGGAGTTTGAGATTGAATCATGGGATAGTGAACATTGTCGCTGTGAGTGAAATAGATCACTACTTGTACCCTTAGGTATTAATGGTTCTTCAGCTGTTGTCAGCGCTCGTGCCTTCACCACATCACAAAGCGCGAAGGCACACTTAATTCTCTTTCAGCAAATTTTTGACATTGCATCTGCAGACACTGGCCAGTCTTTTTCATTTCACCACATTCATGGCTTTGGGTGCGAAATTGTTATTGCTGACAGCCACAAAGGCCAAGGACTTGGTATGTTTGATTATCCTCATCCGTGCATTCACTGATGCATGAGACATAGGCTTAGGAATGTACTGTGTGCAGCTTTCACGTTCCATCTCAACATCATGCACACATGAACCTCACCGACGTGTGTCCGACTTGGGCCCATATGATCATCTTCGCCGTTTTTACCGGCTATGTGTAGCTCACTTTAAGAGAAATGTTCATGCTCTTCGCACACATGTTTTGGATGAAGTTTACTCGGCAATGCTTAGTTTAGCGACATGTGAGGAACACCCAGACATCCAGAGAACATTCAATACTATTCGTCGTGGTGGGCCAAAGGCTGCAGGTAATTATTTACAATCACAGGAACCATTAATTTTCACTGACATTTTTACTAGCATGGTTGAAAGACAAACTCGAAGGAACAAAATTCGCACTTCCGGCACTGTACCAACCTATGAGCTTGATTCCTCTTGCATTATGGAAAGCATCACCTTCTACGACCAATGGGAAAGAGCAAGCTCACCACAATGCGTACCGTGAAGGTGTACACTTGACTCTGTTAGCTGGAATCATGAAGGGCATGAAGTTCGATCAAGGAGCAACGAGTAGCATGAATGTCCATGCTACATTTGGAGTCTCAACACGAGACCAAGAGGCAACTCAAGTTTATCGTGCAACAAGATGTATTGTGCGGCAAAGTACGAGCTTTATCTTGAATATTGAATATAACTGAACATTATTTTAGCTTTGGCACAAAAAAAACGCTACAAGTCCTCACAACCTACAGCCACACCACAACCTCTGCAACTTCTTACTGTTCGCAACGTCACGATGCCAATACAACCAGCCACCAGACACACTGCCACCACATGCGCCATCACAATGCCACCATATGACACGGTTGACGAGGATTCCGTCCTGACCACTTTCAATGAGCCACCATCAGTCTCGCTTCACCAACCACTGATGTCATCACAAATCAGCACATTCAACAGCCTGTCATTTGCACTACAGCCAGGTGCACGAATCATAGACTACTCACTGACCAGTGTTCCGTCTCCGTCATTAATTATCATAGACAACTCAAAATGGCGCATCTCGACATATAGCTCCCTGGCAGGAGCACTTGATGAACACTTTCAGCACACTGAAGGGCGCAGTTGACGAGGCACGATGGCGCTGGATCTGTTGAATTATTAGATAAAAGATTGTTAGACAAGGTCATAGCACCATAGATGTAGTACTTACTTGCCACCCGATCGGTCTTAGCATTCGTGTGGTTGACGTTCGCCTTCGAGTAATCCAACACACGTTGTTCGAGGAAGTTGGTCTTCCCCTGTAGTGAGATCATGTCCATGAAGTCGAATGGATTTGTGTCATTGCGCACCTCATCAATGCCTAGCGACACCAACAAACGGTCTGTGACAAACTCGATGTACTGGCACATGAGCTTGGCATTCATACCAATGAGGCCAACTAGTGCTGCCGCGGTCCGGTCCAGAACCATGGTTCGAACCGGACTTTTGGTCCGGTTCTCTGCAGTTCGGTCCATGGTTCTCGCGCCAGCCAGAACCGGACCGGAAAACGGTTCTCAGTTCTAGATCTTCCCAAACGGTCCAGTTCTGGTTCGACCTTCCCAAACCATTCCAAACCCCAAACCCATTGTCAACTTCGACTTCGACTTCGACTTCAACTACGACAACGTCAGTCTCTATGTCGACGTCAAAGTGTCGTCTTCGGGAGTTGCACTATTGGTTAATTAGGCTACTTTTAGCCTTTTTGAAGGTTAGTACTAATCAATCAACTCTCAAGACTCTGTCCTCAAGGTAGTTATTTGTATATCCGTTTTCATTTTATTTACTGATTGAGTTAACCGTGCCGCTGTAGGGATTCATTTCTGGCTGGGCTTGCAGAGACTGTTTTTACCTTAGTGTTATGTTTGCACTTTTGTAGCTTACATAATCAAGTTACCTTTTCACCAGTTCTACTATGAGTCTGAGTATTCAGCAAGTTTCTATCATATTTCCTCTTCTCTGAGCCTTGAGCCTGGTCCAGAAACCCTTTAGGGTCGAATAGCAGCTAGGTTCTGCAAGACCCAACATTGTTCAGACTCACCATCTGAATTGTTGTACCTTCAACTGGAGCCCACCGCGAGGGGAACAGTCAGCAAGATCTAGTTCCGTGCACCTTTGCACTTAGCGCCATTTAGCACATATAGGTCAATCTCTTTGCATTTTCACAAGCTAACCATCCTTAGTCACGCATTCTCGCGCCTCGCGCGCGCGCCTTTCTCGCGCTTCAATGCCTTATAGAATGCCCATCCGTGGCACAACAAACGCGCCCAAATTTGACGGCACTACAGACAACCTCGCCAAGTTCATTGATGAATATGAGCAGCTCGCTGATGAAGCAGGACTCCAAGGACTCGACCGCATCAAAGGTATTATTCGCTACCTTGAACGCGATGACCGAGAACTATGGGGAGGCATGCCTGAAGCGCAAGTAAGCGATTACGACGCCTTCTTAGATGAGGTGAAGGTAATGTATCCAGGATGGGATGGCAAGAGACGCTATGCACTCGCGGACTTACGCGCCATCGCGCGAGAATACGCTAACAAACCTATGCCCTCTTGCACTGAACTAAGCAATTACTTGCGCGCATTCAGGAAGGTTATGCAGCCACTTATGGATGAAGACCGTATTGGAAAGGCCGAACGCGACCGCTTATTCATGGAAGGAATCCCTAGAGATGCTCAGCCGCAAATTCGCTTGCGCCTTATGATCAAGTTCCCCGACCACTATCCACACGACCCATATCCGTTCATGGACGTCTTTGCAGCCGCACAGTTCCTATTACCTGCGCGCGCTTTTCCCGCGCCAAGCGCGCCAGTTAACGCGCCTGTAGTAGTGCCATTTGCGAACTTAGTCACAGCGACCGCGCCAGCACAAGCACCGGTGCAAGCCATGGTAACTAAGCGCAAAGATCAATACTACACGAGCCGCGCAACACAGGATACGTCCACTAGCGCTAGTGTGACAGCTGGACTCTTCTATCGCGCATCCTCAGATGTTGTACTTGACAAAAGGCCACCAGTTCCTATCCTTGCGCCTCCTGCGCACGATTTTCCCACGCCTTCGCGCGATTCACGCTCGCCTGAACCATCAACTGCGCCAGCACACAAAGCTATACCAGACTGCATCGCTTTAGATCACGAACTCGAGCGCGCGCCTGCGAAGCGCAACCAGAAGCGCACTGCAGGCGCCTCTTTGCCCCCATCATCATCTCTTTCTTCACCTGTTTTGCACACTGACAATTCTCATTTGCTGCCCATGTCAGCATCAATCGCATCGCCCGTAGTCAGGGATGACTCTAAATATCTATTGCACAATAACGCACTGCTCAAATCACGCTCGCCTATCGCTATCGCATTGCCTATAGTCAGGGATGACTCTAAACATCTATTGCACAATAACGCGCCCATTGTGGAAGTTATTACGCCATCGCTTGAAACACACTCGCCTATCGCTATTGCATCGCTTAAGGAAGAAATCTTGCCAATCACGCCTTCACTGTCACCGCTATCGCCGTTCACATCGCCAGAGGTCAGGGATGACCCTAAACATCTATTGCACCTTAGCGCGCCTATAGAGGAGCCTTCTACCGCATCAGAGGCACAAGTTGCACCTCGCATCAACCAGACTTTGCCTCTGGTAATTCCATCTGTCACTAACGATCATGCGCATGTCGTGCTTTTTGCTTCTAGTGACTATCCCTTGCCAGTAAAGCATCCGTGCATCACACTGCCCAACCACCAAGCAGAGCATGTCTCAGGCGACCCTGGGATGACTCAGGCGCACCATATTGCGCCTGAGAACGCGCAATGTGTGCGCCTAGAGGCATTGTATAGTTTCCCTCATCTCATTTCGCGTTTTTTGTCCCTTTCATGTTTAAAGCTCTTAAGGAGCTATATGAGAATTCCAAACACTTTAATTTCATCTTCGCACCAACCCTTGTTCACGTGCCATGATCGCGCGCATCGCGCGGTAATTCCCGCGCCTCGCGCATTCATAATTTTAGCAGAGTTTTCACACTATCGCATTTCTATTGTTTCTCCCCTTTTAAATCACATTTCTGTTATTCAACACAAAATATATTCCAATCAGCCATCCAGGCGCGACTTAGGCGCGCACCTGACACATACATATGCGCCTAATTCCCCCATCATCACCTTTAACTTCACACTTTCCACATTTATTCGCATTCTTCACATTCTTGCTTACCATGTCAAATTTGTTCCTGCACACCCTGACGTGCACTATTCTCTTTCACCTATGCGCCTATTGCGCCTTGATAAACCACCCTTACAGCCCATTCGCGCAACATTTGCGCCTAATTTCAAACTATATATGTCTCTCGCTAACACATTTGCAGAGAAATGGCCGTTCCTTGCATGTTCGGCCAATATAATCAAATTCGCGCGAAATCGCCCCAAGGCGCGCACATCGCGCGCATCCTATCAGCTTGTAGAGCACCTCTACACCCCTTGCAGCGCCTCCCATTGGCGCGCCTTCAACCTGCAGCGCGTTGTGCAGGAATTCATTCTGCCAGTTACTAGCCCACCTCGGAGTCACAATCAAAAAGGCTTGATGAAGAGGAACCAAGCACCCCAAGCGCGCCAGCCTTGCGCCTTCTGACCCTCGCCTATGCCACACACACCACGCGCTTCAAGCGCTTCAGCTGCGCACCAAAGAAAAACACATACCATTGCTGTTTCATAGGATACCGTTCGTTTTACCCTGGGTTTCGTCCAGTGCTCTTTCATTTTTATTTTCTCTCATTATAACACCATCCAAAGGACTAATAACACACAGATATATATGCATATAGGGATCGCCTAGAAGAATATAGAAGAAAAAACACCAGAACAACCTTAGATTGTGCCCGCCTAGCTCAATAGGATATTATTTTCTCTTCGCACGCATGACGCGGCACCATGCTCTTTTTACCTTAGAACGCGCACATATGCGCGCAATCTTCCCGCACCCATGCGCCTCACGTGCGCGCGCGCTTCCCACGCCTTGCTCATAGGAAGGTGTAGATGTCGACAGCCGCACGAAGAAGACAAGTCGGATAGGACATCCGCAAAGTTTACTGTTTTCTCTTCATATTTTCGCATAAAGTTTTACTCATGCTGTTCAAACCTTTAGCACCTAATATTTAGCGCACCTAGCAGGACTTGGTTTGGACATGGATTGGATCGCTCTTGGACCGCGCCACTTCGCATCATGCTCATGCACGCATATTGGACTCAGAGATCATTGTGCAACAGCCCCTTGCGCCCCCACAGAATGCAGCGCATGCAACACTCACGCATGTTCTCGCGCCTTATGCGCGCGCACTCTCCCACGCTTCGCACACCACAGCCATATCACTCTCACATCATCGCCTCACACCCATGGTGCATTATTCACACCAGAGTCACCCTTGCAATTCGCCATGCTATGCTGCATTCCCACGCCTCGAGCGCATATGCGCCCGCACTTTCCCGCACCTTCGCGCCTCGCGCGCACCTGCGCATTCCCGCGCTTCGTGCATATCATGTGATACATTCCTATGCGTGCGCATTCATCGCCCAACAACCCAAGCATCGTACATGCATCGTACTCGCATACTATCACTTGAGATCCTCACCACACACGCGCTGAGTGGGGACACTCAGAATTTAAGTCCCTGGGAGATGTAGAGACTCATGCCTCTCATTGTGCAATATGGCAGTTTTCACTGGGGAGTACATGGCACGAACTTGTAGCATCACTCTGTGTGCTACCTGCAGCTATCTCTATATGAGGCGCAGCTTTCCCGCGCAACGCGCGCCATGCGCGCGTACCTTTCCCGCGCTTCACGATGTATATGCGCGCGCGCTTTCCCGCGCTGTAGCGCCCTATAGCGCCAGCCATCCAGAAGCATCCATCCACTGTCCACCAAGTTCCCTAGTGCGTATATTTCCATTTCTCACATTTGCATATCGTTCCATCTTTATTTTTATCATGGACCCTTACTTACATATATCTTACATACCTTACTCGGTAGCGCTTCGGCTCCGCATGACAGCGCTTAGGCGCCATACTTAAGCGCCAGCAGTACATACTTACTTACGAACTTACTCTCCCACCAGAACGACAGAGGACTTACTGGTTACTACCCACTATTTACCTAGCAGAACATAGTAGAAATCTATTTGTTTACACCTCGCATCTCTCTTCTCTTGTCTTACATCATATCATCACCTAAGCAAACTCACTCTTACTCTCTCTTGATTCCGCATACACGCACGCGCATTCCCGCGCTTCGCATTGGCCAACCAGTAGCGCTTTCAGCGCATACCTCTAGATCCTTGCTGCACTCGCTTCCCCTTTAGGGTCGAACGCACTTGTCGTCTCAAGTATAGCAGACTAGGCAACGCGCGACCTTACAACATTTATAGATACAACCAGGAGCATTGTTCGTGCCTCGCTGTATCGTTGAACCTTCACCGCCACCACCACCACCACTTGCTGCAACCACTACCCCACTCCAGCAACAACCAGTGTCTAGCCCATGTGCCCAGCACACGCCAGCAAATGCTGGTGTGGCTAAGGCGAATGCGGACGACACTTTGGTGAAGGAGAAAGGAAGACGCCGGGGGAAAGAGAAAGGAGAAGAGGAATGGGAGAAAGAAAGTTGTCGAGGAGACAAACAAGGTGCGCTGCCCACTCCCAACATACCTCAATGACCTCTCACATCTGGCTCGTGATATTCTCGCTATTCCAGGCTCAGCTGTTGCTGTCGAACGCATTTTTTCTGGTGGCCGTGATACTATCTCTCTTCGGCGTGCTAGCTGTATCTCGCCCACCGTCTCTCACCCCGCTGTCTCTCACCCGCCGCCTCTCACTCGAGACGTGCAGGTGTTTTCTCCCTGTTCTGTGTATAAAAAAAGGTGACGGCAACATCTGAGAATGGAGGCGCGACTCAAACCGCACGTACCTCTCTCATTGTCCTGAATGTCTTCCTTCGCTGACGACGGAGGTAAAATGATTTCAATTCTAACAAACACTCTCACTGATGTGTGCCTTACAAGGCAGCTTACTTCAAATTGCTTGTCTGGATCAGACGCCGCAGGTTCACATTACCCACTAACATCGACGGTAAGCATTGGTTGTTATTGTGTTTTATTTCATTCTCACCATTTGTATAGATCGAATCAGTTAGCTCTTGGATCAGTGGCTACAGAGGCATAGAGTCATATGTAGCCATGTCATTGGAGTAGCTACTTGATGTGTAAACTAGTCTTTCAATGATTTTTTTTTCACGCTCACCACTGAAAATTTTCGGGTTCGGTTCGAGTTCAGACCAGAAAAAAACCGAACCGGACCACAGAGAACCGTTCTCTGTGGTCCGGTGTAGGGATTCATTTCTGGCTGGGCTTGCAGAGACTGTTTTTACCTTAGTGTTATGTTTGCACTTTTGTAGCTTACATAATCAAGTTACCTTTTCACCAGTTCTACTATGAGTCTGAGTATTCAGCAAGTTTCTATCATATTTCCTCTTCTCTGAGCCTTGAGCCTGGTCCAGAAACCCTTTAGGGTCGAATAGCAGCTAGGTTCTGCAAGACCCAACATTGTTCAGACTCACCATCTGAATTGTTGTACCTTCACCGGTTCGGGGTTCGAAGATTTTGCAGAACTGGACCGAACCGGACCACGGCAGCACTAAGGCCAACAGGGAGAGCATCTAGCGAGACAGTCAGCATAAGATAGCATAATGAAGAGCAAGCAAAATCGGTGTGCATACCTTCATCACGACTGATGAGCTCATTGGAGAACGTAAGACCAGGTATGAGACCGCTGAAGGTTCAACGATACAGCGAGGCACAAACAGTGCTCCTGACTGTATCTATAAATGTTGTAAGGTCACGCGTTGCCTAGTCTGCTATACTTGAGACGACAAGTGCATTCGACCCTAAAGGGGAAGCGAGTGCAGCAAGGATCTAGTAGTAGGCGCCGAAGGCACTATTGGTTGGCGAATGCGAAGCGCAGGAAAGTGCTGGTGCGCGCGAAGCGCAGGAATGTGCGCGCGTGTATGCGGAAACAAGTGAGAGTAAGAGTGAGTTTGCTTAAGTGATGATTAGACACTAGACAAGAGGTGAGAGATGCAAGCTGAGAGATGTTATATGTGAGGTGCCAAGTAATAGATTTCAACTATGCTCTGCTGGGTAGTAAATGGGTATTGTTGTGGTTCAGTCCTCTGTCGTTCTGGTGGGAGAGTAAGTGAGTAATAGTATGTACTGCTGGCGCTTAAGTATGGCACCTAAGTGCTGTCATGCGGAGCCGAAGCGCTACTGAGTAAGGTATGTAAGGATATATGTAAGTAAGGGTCCATGATAAAAATAAAGATGGAACAATATGCAAATGTGAGAAATGGAAATATACGCACTAGGGAACTTGGTGGACAGTGGATGGATGCTTCCAGATGGCTGGCGCTATAGGGCACTCAAGCGCGGGAAAGTGCGCGCGCATATACATCGTGAAGCGCGGGAAAGGTACGCGTGCGAGTTGCGCGTTGTGCAGGAAAGCTGCGCCTCATGTAGGAATAGCTGTGGATAGCATACAGAGTGATGCTACAAGTTCGTGCCATGTACTCCCTAGTGAAAACTGCAATATTGCACAATGAGAGGCACGAGTCTCTACACCGCGCTTCTTGAGCCAGGAGATGGACGCGAAAGAATCCAAGATATCCATAGTACTGGGCAGAGGGTGTCGATGGGAAGGTGAAGCAAAGTGACGTCCGTTGTCATTAAGACGGTTGGTCCAGCTGGTGAATTGTTGAGACAACGTTAAGTTGAAGATGAATTCACAAATGAAATTAAGCCACTCACTTTCAGGTAGGTCAATTTCACCGACAAGCCTCTGGCAAAGCTCTTCAAGCTCGTCTTCAGCGTCCTCAGAGTCCGGCGAGATTGAACGCTTGCGATCATCGAGCAAAACAGGATCGGGTACGAGAACAACAAGCCTCGAGGAAACCTGGCTAGCACGTATCTGATGAGGGAGGACGATATGGAACATAAGACCGCAACCGAGAGACGACTTACTAAGATTTACTCGGCTTAGGAATACTTTGGGAGGAGTTGCTGGGGTCCATGGATGACAAAGGAACGTCACCTTGCACGTACCTTGTTTGCGGAAGCTTTTGGGAGCCGATCTACGTCGGAACAGTAACAGGGCACCTACGACTCCTATGATATTGGTGAACATATTGCTTCTCCCGAGAAGGCTGCCATGCTCATAGCCTTTCCTTTCCATGAGTACCTTTGCCGGTGACATAATTTTGAGCATTTAGCATGAGGTTACAGTCAAAAAGCTGCCATTGTGGTGCTTCGGTGGAGCATTTTCCCTGATGGGACGCAGTAGAGAATTAGCTCAACAGCTTTTGATCGAGCCCTTCAATGAAGTGAAGGCACAGATGGTACGTTTGCGCAGAGCTGTGGATGGAAATTTTGCCTGATCTGTTTGGATGAAGGCAAATGGGACTGCTTCACACTCATTGGTCGCTGACTTTCTCAGTCAAGCTCACGACGACACTGACGAGGACACCATGAAGGCTGTTGCGTTGACGGGATATTTAGGTAAGGGTTTTTTTTTTACCAGGACAAAATTCATCCATTGACGAGAGTACGGGATCTTAGTTGGCATGGACACAGTGAGTCGCTACTTACCTAGTCCTGATTCTTATTTCGACATTCCACAGACTGCATCTGCATTACAGACATTTCTGCTGGCCATGGTGCTCTATCCTGACGTCCAAGCACGAGCTCGTGCAGAACTTGATCAAGCTGTGAAACACGATAGAGTGCCATGCCTTGATGACAGGGCGTCAATGCCCTACCTTGATGCCATTCTTCGCGAGGTCCTGAGATGGTATCCTGTCGTCCCCCTAGGTCAGTCCGCAGTAATATAACTCTGTTTCAAAAGTTGACCCCTTGCACAGGAATTCCACATGTGGCCTCAAATGATGATGTTTACGACGGGTACTTTATACCAAAAGGTTCGAAGTCGTGTGTGTCGAGGTTGTCGTTGACTCATCTGTAGTTCGTTCAGGTGCGATGGTAATGGTTAATCAGTGGTATGTCATGGTGAAGTGCATGTAACGGCGGCTTGAGCTGAGCGTGACTCAGGGCACTCTCTCGGGATGAAGACATATTTCCCGATGCATCGCGCTTCGACCCAAGTCGCCATCTGACAGTCGACGGGAAGCTGAAGGATCCTTTCGTGAACCATTTTGCCTTTGGTCATGGCAGGTGAGTATTCTGCACTTGCTATCATTTTCAATCATTCGCTGACTTTTATTGCAAGGCGTATTTGTCCTGGTAGGATCATTCGTGGTTGATCTGGCAGTGCTTAGGATGACAAATCTCCTTGGCAGGCCGTTGGTTCGCAGAGAATAGCCTGTGGACCGCAGCTGCTGCCATACTCGCTGTCTTGCGCATCGATCATGCCAAAGACTCGAACGGAAACAAGATTGAGGTGAAGCCGGAGTTCACCACCGGCTTGGCGATGTAAGTGACCTAGTACGTACTCGAGAACCTGCAGCTAACTCTACCGAAGTCACCCCGAACCATTTCAGTGTTCGTTTGAGATTGTGAACGCAGCGAGAGAAAGACACCTCCGAGCGATGGTGAATTCGAATTAGACTTTGTTTGTACTTAAGATGGTGTGTCATGTAATAGTACCACGGCGCAGAGTGCACTGGATGGCACGGTTTTGCGACCTCTCTCTGATGAACGAGAATTCATTGAGTCTTCAGAAACCAGATCCGTTTCCAAAATCTCGTGACCTGGTGCAACCAGGCTGCAAAACTGTTGATAGGTTCACGGGCCCTTCCCTGTTGCAACGCTCGTACTACGACTTATAGATTGAGATTGCGTTATACAGCTGTGGACGCTATAGAAAGTCGTACGATTAGATGTAAGATGCGCCTCGATAGAACATTGGATTCCAAACAACGATGCCTGGTGGATGTAAAGAATAGAATTCAATTAGGAGAACTTACCACACGTCCAACAGAGTACTCATCATTAATCTATCTAGCAAAGACTAGTGTGACCACCAACGAGCCCATGGCACACAGTGTGGACAGATATTTTATAGACGTCTCTGAGTCTGGACGAATGGGACGGCAAGAAAGTGGATATCGACAACAAGTAGTACCCTAGACTAGCTAGCATAGATATTAATCGCATCGATGATATCATCACTCACGAATATCGTGTATCCATTTTATCCAATGTTGAGCTTGCCGGTAAAATTCCTATACCGCCCCAATTGGATGGAACCAATATCTCGTGAAGAACCTTGTTATGGGTTCCGGAAAGTTCGTGATTCTAGAAAAAAGGTTTTTGAGTGCGTGTTCCAACTTGGAATGTTCATACACCGAGCTGTTTGGGGCGCCTGGTTGTGAAAGTTGACGATGGCTAGCAACTTGATCAGGCAGGCTCGCCCTAGCAAACATGTTGAACAGCCTCAAATTTAAAACAATGCATGCTAAGATTTGGCAGGAGAAACTACACAAGATGGTGTCGGGCGTCGTCGGGAATTGGCGCGTACGCGGCGTTACGATACACTTACTAAGAGCAGAAGTTTACAGAATCGGGCTGAAATCGTCAAAGTCCGGTGAGTACTTGACATAGCGACTCGGACCACTTGAACATTAATGTCACAGTTTAGACTCGTGACCAGTCTGACGTACGTCAGGGAGTATAATATGGAGCAAATGATATCATTTGAAGTATCCTATTTCAATTTTAGTGATGCAATGCAAAAGTGAGAAAGATGCGGTACTCTATGCAGTGCGCGAATGAAAGTGTCTGACCACTCGACTCGTCCGTGGTTATATAAGCCAGGCTGGTCCCGCCGAGCCTAGTCACAGTTACCATCAACTCCGAAACCTGTCAGCATGCTATTCGGGTCAAAGACGCCTTCAAGTATGAGCCGAACTATCAAACATGTCTTGGGCTCGACCATAATCCCTCGCCATGCTCTCCACTCATATTCTAGCTTCAGGGATATCGTGCATTGTTGCCCTGGTTGTCCTTTCGCGTCTGACTCGTGGTAGACGTGTGTACCCTTTGCCTTTGCCGCCTGGCCCCCCTCCGTTACCATTGTTCGGTAATGCGCTGCAACTGGATACCAAACGACCTTGGCTCACATATACTGCTTGGGGAAAGACATATGGTTAGTAGCAGACCACTGGCCTCTCTACCAAGCTCTTAAACCTCATGTCTGATCATAGGGAAAATCATTCACTCCTCCATATTTGGGATCGACTTGATTATCATAAACTCTGAGACGGTCGCGCGGGAGCTGCTCGACAGGCGTTCTGCGAATTACTCTACTCGCCCCGTTATTCGCACCAACGAATTGTATGCATTGGCGGATTTCATTCAGTTTGTTATTCATTCACTGACCATACAGAGCCGGAGTCGATTTCAATACTGTGCTCCTGCCATATGGCGAGACTTTACGGCGACATCGCAAGATCTTTCATCAAGTCCTCAGGGCCGAAGTCTCGGTCTCACACTATGAGATGTACTCTCGCCACGCAAATGAGCTAGTGATTAATCTCTTGGATGCCGTTAGTGACCCGCAGCATCAGACTGAAACGTTCGTACCTGATCCAGCGATATCGTAGTGATATATGGTCCAGTTGACTTATCAATCTTTGTGACAGATACGCGGCATCCCTAATCATGGCTGTGACATATGGATATAATGCTCACGGACATGAAGACCCATTTCTTTCCCGCGCGCGCGAACTCTTTGATATTGGCCAGCGTATTGTTTCTCCCGAGAAGGGTGCCTTGTTCACAGCCTTTCCTTTCCGTGAGTGCCTTTATCGACGACATAATGTTGAACATTCAACACAAGGTTGCAGTCGAAAAGTTACCGCTTTGGTGCTTCGGTGGAGCATTTTCCCTGATCGGACGCTGTAGAGAATTAGCTCAACAGCTTTTGAACGAGCCCTTCAATGAAGTGAAGGCACAGATGGTGCGTCTGCGCAGAGCTGTGGATGCCTGATCTGATTGCGTGAAGGCAAATGGTATTGCTTCACACTCATTGGTCGCTGACTTTCTCAGTCAAGCTCACGACGACGCTGATGAAGACACCATGAAGGCTGTTGCGTTGACGGGGTATATGGGTAAGAGTTTTCTTTACGAGGACCAAATTTATCGATTGACGGGAATCCGGCATCTTAGTTGGCATGGACACTGTGAGTCGCTACTTAAGCAATCCTGCTTCTTACTTTGACGTCCCGCAGAGTGCAGCCGCATTGCAGATATTCCTGCTGGCCATGGTGCTCTATCCCGACATCCAAGTCCGGGCTCGTGCAGAAATCGACCAAGCTGTAAAACATGATAAAATGCCGTGCCTTGATGACAGGGCGTCAATGCCCTACCTTGATGCCATCCTCCGCGAGGTCCTGAGATGGTATCCTATCGTCCCCCTAGGTCAGTCCGCAGTAATATAACTCTGTTTGAATGTTCGACCACTTGCACAGGAATTCCACATGCGACATCAAATGATGATGTTTACGACGGGTACTTTATACCCAAAGGTTTGAAGTCGTATGTGTCGAGGTCGTCGTTGACTGATCTGTAGTTCGTTCAGGTGCGATGGTAATGGTTAATCAGTGGTATGTCATGGTGAAGTGCATGTAAGCTTGAGCTGAGCGTGGCTCAGGGCACTCTCGCGGGATGAAGACATATTTCCCGATGCATCGCGCTTCGACCCAAGTCGCCATCTGACAGTCGACGGAACGCTGAAGGACCCTTTCGTCAACCATTTTGCCTTTGGTCATGGCAGGTGAATATTCCGCACTTGCTATCATTTTCAATCATTCACTGACCCTTATTCTAAGGCGTATTTGTCCTGGTAGGATTGTTCGTGGTTGATCTGGTAGTGCTGAGGATGATAAATTTCCTTGGCAGGTCGTTGGTTTGCAGAAAGTAGTCTGTGGACCGCAGCTGCTGCCATACTCGCCGTCTTGCGCATCGATCATGCCAAAGACTCGAACGGAAACAAGTTTGAGGTGAAGCCGGAGTTCACCACCGGCACGGCAATGTAAGTGGCCTAGTATGTATTCGAGAACCTGCAGCTAACTCTACCGAAGTCACCCCGAACCATTTCAGTGTTCATTTGAGATTGTGAACGCAGCGAGAGAAAGACGCCTCCGAGCGACGATGAATTCGAATTAGACTTCGTCTGTACTTAGGTGGTCTGTCATGTAATAGTACCACGGCACAGAGTGACTGGAAGGCACGGTCTTGCGACTTCTGTCTCTGATGAATGAGATCATTACTTTCGAATTCGTTGAGTCTTCAAAAACGTTTCCACAATCTTGTAATGCGGCGCAACTAGGCTGAACACCGTTGATCGGTTCACAGGTCTCTCCCCGTTGCAACATTGGCCTACCTGAATATCGGTCGACCCATGCACTCGTCTGAGATTGGGTTATGCAGCTGTAGAAGCTACAGAAGTCGTAAGACCAGATGCAAGATGGGATCCCCGACAATCCACAGAGAGACCAGTCCAGATGTATGGCCTGAGATATTGCCAATTATTCAGAGTGCTAAGCACCCAAGTGAACCGTATCGCAAGAATGATTACCGCAGCCCAAACTGGATATGCGATAATGTTCATAAAATCACAATAAACAATGCTGCAGCAAAGAATATGCTGAAGAATGCATTTGAGCTTTCGGCCACGAGATTGATGTCATATATATATTGATCACACACAGCGGCACAAACGAAGACTACTTCGAATCCATCATTGCTCGGAGGTGTCTTTCTCTCGCTGTGTTTACGCTTTCAAACGAGCAATGAAATGGTTCAGGACGACTTCCGCAGAGTCAGCCATACATTCTTGAATACATACTAGGCCACTTACACCGCCAAACCGGTGGTGAACTCTGGCTTCACCTCAATTCTGTCTCCGTTCGAGTCTTTAGCATGATCGATGCGTGAGACAGCGAGTATGGTAGCAGCTGCAGTCCACAGAGCGTTCTCTGCAAACCAACGACCTGCCAAGAACATTTGTATCTTCAGCGCTGCTAGATCAATTGTAAATCAGCCCACCAGGACAAACACGCCTGCGAAGATCGGTGAATGATTGAACATGATAGCAAGTGTAGAATATTCACCTGCCATGGCCGAAGGCAAAATGGTTGGCAAAAGGGTCCTTCAGCTTCCCGTCGACTGTCAGATGGCGACTTGGATCGAAGCGCGATGCATCGGGAAATATGTCTTCATCCCGAGAGAGTGCCCTGAGTCACGCTCAGCTCAAGCCGCCGTTTTTTTTTTACATGCACTCCAACGTGACATACCACTGATTAACTATCACCACCGCACCTGATTAAACTACAGATAAGTCGACGACAACTCGACATATATAACTTCGAACCTTTGGGTATAAAGTACCCGTCGTAAACATCATCACTTAGTGTCGCATGTGGAATTCCTGTGCAAGGAGTCGACTATTTTAACACAGTTATATTAGTGCAGACTAACCTAGGGGGACGACAGGATGCCATCTCAGGACCTCGCGGAGAATGGCATCAAGGTAGGGCAGTGACACCTTATCATCAAGGCACGGCATTTTATCGTGCTTCGCGACTTGATCAATTTCTGCGCGAGCCCGTGCTTGGACGTCAGGATAGAGCACCATGGCCAGCAGGAATGTGTCCAATGCGGATGCAACCTGCGGGACATCAAATCAAGAATCAGCATTGCTGAAGTAGCGACTTACAGTATCCATGCCAGCTAAGATGTCGTATTCCTGTCAATGGATGAATTCAGTCCTGGTAGAAAAATTACTTGCCTATGAATCCCATCAATGCAACAGCCTTCATCGTATCTTCGTCAGCGTCATCGTGAGGTTGACTGAGAAAGTCAGCGACCAACGAGTGTGAAGCGGTACCATTTGCCTTCACGCAAACAGATCAGGTTAAATTCCCATCCACAACTCTGCACAGACGTACTAGCTGTGCCTTCACTTCGTTATCGGGCTCGTTCAAAAGTTGTTGGGATAATTCTCTACCGCGTCCCATCAGGGCAAATATTCCACCAAAGCACCAAATTGGCAACTTTTCGACTGTAACCTTATATTGAATGTTTAAAATCATGTCGTTGACAAAGGTACTCACGGAAAGGAAAGGCTGTGAAAATGGCAGCCCTCTCGGGAGAAGTAATATGTTTGCCAATATCAAAGAGTTCGAGCGCGCGGGAATGAAACGAGTCTTCATGTCCGTGAGCAAGATGTCCGTATGTCACAGCCATGATTAGGGATGCCGCGTATCTGTCACAAGGATTTATCGTCAACTAGACCATACATCACAATGACACCACTGGACTAGGTACATACGCTTCAGTGTGATGCTGTAGTAGGTCACTAGTGGCACCTAAGAGATTGATGACTAGTTCATTTGCGTGACGAGAGTACAACTCGCGGTATGAGACCGAGATTTCGGCCCTGAGGACTTGATGGAAGATCTTGCGATGTTGTCGTAAGGTTTCTCCATACGGAAGGAATGCAGTATTGAAAGACCCTCCAGCTCTGCATCATCAGTTGATAAAGAACAAAATGAATGAAAATCGGCAATATATACAATTCGTTGGTGCGAATAACAGGGCGAGTAGAGTAAGTCCCAGAACGCCTGTCCAACAACTCCCGCGCGATCGTTTCAGAGTTGATGATGATCAAGTCGACTCCAAACATACGAGAGCGAATGATTTTTCCTATGAAATTGAATCTAAGAGCTTGGAAAAGAGGGCATGGGTCTGCTACTAACCATATGTCTTTCCCCACGCAGTGTATGTGAGCCAGGGTCGTTTAGTATTCAATCGCAGCGCGTTACCAAAAAAATGGTAAGGGCTGAGGGCCAGGCGGCAGAGGTAAAGGGTAGACGCGTCTGCGAGTCAAACCCGAAGCGACAACAAGGGCAATAATGCACGATATACCTAAAGCGATATTATTAGCGAAGACCATGGGGAAATATTGTAATTGAGCCCAAGACATGCTAGTTCACCTTATAATATCAGTGAATCGATGAGTTGGCAGCTTCGTGTGAGAAATTGACGATCTAATGGACTGAGTATTTGATTAGAAACGTACCTTAGTATAATCAGAAATGAAATGATGAGTGTTTCGTGTGAGAAGTTGACGGTGCAATAGTCCATAGGCCGCATCTGATTAGAAGCACACCCAAATCAGGGATGCAAATGGTAGACTGAGCATCAAAGTATGGCGCCCAGAAGAACATAGTATCTCAAGCATGAAGCTTTGAAGAGCCGAGTCTGGCGGAATAATCAAGAACAAAAGTCAACGCTTGAAGAGGATGCTTACCGAACGTCTCTGAGGGTATCGCTGACTGTCCTTGACTTGTCTAGCAAAGACTAGTGTAACCACCAACGAGCCTGTGGCACAAAGGGCAGACAGATAAGATATAAGGATTGCAGACGTTTGAGTCTGGACGAATGGGACCATGAGGAAGCTGATATGGACAATAAGTATCACAGTACTAGACTAGCATGGACATCGATTTCGTTAACAAGAAGCACAACTTGCGGAAATTGTGTATCTACTATCCCATTCACAGTTAATCCTGTCAATTAGATTAGCACGACACACCATTCGAAAACGCTATCGTCGACCTGTATCGTGTCAAGAGCCTTGCGATGGGCATCGGGAGATCCAGACCTAAGGAGATTTATGACTTGAACAAAAAGGCTTTCCATCTAGCGCTGGAATCTTGGGAAAATGGTGGTCCTGATTCAAACCGGACACCTGGTTGTCCAGATGCTAAAAAATTGGTGTCAGCTAACAGAGTTATCAGGAGATGGGGTGCGCTCACTACCAGCATGAGCTCACAGATTCGGTTCGTATATCGAATTGGAATCAACGAATATAGTATCAGAAGCAATTAGATAACTAGACTTTCGTACTTGGACTTAGCAGAGTACTACACAAGGAATCTTGTTAGCACTGCCTGAAAAGATTATCAACGACTTCTGCTATCCTGGATTTGGGAAATTATTTATTCATAAGGGGCTCTATAAGGTGGAGCAGCTTTGCAACATCGCCAGAAGAAAAGGGTGGTGATATACTACTCTATCACTGCGAATCGTTTTTGGCGCTGGCTAGACCGCCAACTAGTCGTTGCTTACCTGCCTGAGCATGTCAATATGATTTGTTTAAGTCTCACAACAACATCCTCCGGAAGAGAGCGTCTATTTTGAAACAGGCAAACGTGTTATCAATGACAATCATTCATGAATGGGAGATAGGGAAAGGCGTGAGAAAGTGTGTGTGAGAACGATGAGATATATCATCCTAAAGAAAAAACCGCCTGACGTGGCGGTTGTGTTCCTACACGTTATCCACCTATGAATTTTGGCCTTGTGTTATCCACCGAGTTATCCACGTGGATAACTAGATAGATTTCCACGGAACACCAGTCTCTATGATCCAGCGTTTGTCGTGTCATGGTAGTAGCCGAACTCTTTGACATCCTTCATGAGCTTCAACGCTAGCTGTCTGCTCTGCGCACACCGGAAGCCTTGTGGACGAGATACCGCCGGCATCGGTGTCTACCACGTCATGGTGTGTTCATACAGATACTGTTCTTTATTCACTACTGTTCATTACCATGGCCTCATTTCACGGCGTCGTTTGTCTTCAAAAAGGAAACAGGTATCAAATTGATAAGAATAATTTTTGGCGATACAACGAATTTATTGCCACTCCAGAAATTGCAGATATTCGTGTCGATGTCTTGACATTCGGTGCCAAAACTGCTTCTGCTGACGACGGAATCTATCTATTGGATGCGCGAACGACTATTGGACCTATCGTTGATGATGAAGGAAAATCTGTACACTCCCTTGGCTTATTGGCTAACGATGTATTGTGACCTCTTTTGTGTCGTCTTTTTGCTCATTCATGTATCAAAATCACAATTCAGGGCACACCTTCAATATTGTACAATACTTTTCATGAAGCCGCGTGTGACCTTGGATTATTCGATAATTAAAATGAAGGTCAGCTTGCACTCCGAGAAGCCGTCAATTCCCTTCGTACATCAGCCCAATTACGATTTATGTTCTCACAGATCGTACTGGGAGGTTATGCAGCTATGTCACCGTGGATGGAATTTTGGGAGATGTTATCCATTGACCACATTCAGAGGCTCGGACACGAGGTCAATGGTTATAAATTCTCGCTGCAAATCATCGATGATATGCTCTCTCATTCTGGAAGACATCTTAGAAGTCTACAATGAATAAAATTACCTGCGCAACAACCGCATTTGAAGCTCAAAGCGATAACATGGGCCAACGACTGTACGCTGAGCAACAGCATATTCTCGACTGCATTTTAGAGAGCGTTGTATAGCGCAGAAACAACTTCTTTTGGTCGAGGGAAAACGATTTTAGTCAAGGCATATACGGCGTCATCGAATGCGAAGAGACACAAACGAAGGATTGTCCAAGACTTGCCACTGTAAACACAATTGATTGGAAAAAAGAGGACCGAAGGTGTGTCCTTGTTGGTACTGAAAACTCATGGGACCATGCAAAAGGGCAGTTGACGTACTTCGTGTAGGTGATTGAAAAACGAAGAACCTTCTAGGTGCTTGAGTGGCTCCCAACCCGCTATCGGAGCAGGCTTTGCACTACACGATTTCAATCTCGTAGCTGGCTCTCCCAATAGAATGCTTACTCTGAATTGTCAAAAAGGCCTTCCTCGACTTCGTCAGACCTGACGTACTGTGGATATGATTATCAACAATTTGTCTGATTCTATTGGGTAAAGACTCAACGCTAAACCTCGCCGCGGCTCTTGACAAGTTCTCTCTTTTGTGTTGATGACATCTTGCCACCGCTGGATAAGTCGCAGGAAGACAGAGAGGAATTTCGTATGAGCCAGATGCAGTCTTTTTGACAATGAGCCGCAACCAGGCGATGAAGATGCGAATGCGTCGTCAAGGCGTGACCACACTATGGTAATTTGAGCAGATTATAATGACTGAAGCTAGCTGCGTAGTGGTAGCAGGTCTGCCTCCTGCGCTGCCGACGGACATCGACCAGGGCGGTCTGTACGATCAATACGCTGAACAGAAGATAGCGGACAGGGCAACACCTGCGACATGGACTTCAGCTAAGCGCTCTGCCAGTTATTCCAGCATAAAGTCATCAGATTAGTGAATGAGTGCCACTGCCTAGTATTTCTGCCCTCCATCTCTTGGATGCGTGGACCATTACTGATGCGTTCATGTCGGACGCACTAAGACTGAGAGAGTTTTTCGTTCTCGAGGTTGTCATGCTTGGTTGTTGTGAAAAAGTTGCGACTAACGAAAGCTTAGTGATGCGTGCTGAATGCACGTTGTCGGGCAGCCTCGGGCTGGTGTCCAATCAGAATGCATGCAGTGCCTTCGTTGTCAGTGGAGTTGGCATGGGCGAGATAGTAGATGACACCGAGAGAAAGCAAACACCGTTGGCGTCGGCTTTTGAATACCACGGGCGACTATGTGACAGTAAACGGGATGGAAGTGAAGAGAAACGTGCAGAGCCACTATTTACGGCATCTGTAAACTCGTCCCAGTAAGGACTGCCTTGGGATACAGCGATTCCTCAACATTAAGTATTTGAAGGCGGTATAACGGAAGATAAAAAATTTATATGATATAGTACATCCAGTGTAAATATTGATGAGATCATCCCCGCACAGATAAGGTTAGGGTCACGGTATAAATAGAAGAATCTAATCATCCAATGGAGGCATCCGATCCCCACTCACATCTAACTCTGCGTTTGCGATTCTCTTTAACAATTGATATGCTGCATCAAGATCATCATTGACGATAACGTAGTCGACTGAGCCAGGTTCACGAGCATAGTCGATCTCTCTACGTGCGATTGCCAGACGACGTTGGATGGCGTCTTCAGAATCTGTGGCGCGACCACGCAACCGCTTATTTAGCACGGTCATGGAGGGTGGGGAGACGAAGACAACTGTGGCATGCAGGGGCGTTTGCTTGATCTGTTGGACACCCTAGGATATGGTATTGTGAAGATCGGTCTAGAAGGGGAAGTCAAGGAAACGTACTTGAACTTCAATATCGAGGATGCACCGCTTGCCTGTTGCTGCGACATCTTGTACAGCTTGTATGGTAGTGCCATAAAAGTTGCCCGAAAATTGGGCGTGCTCGATGAAGGCGGCCTCAGAGATGAGTTTCTTGAAGTTATCGGTTGTGGTAAAGTGGTATGCTTTCCCGTCTATCTCACCAGGACGTGGAGCGCGGGTAGTATCTTTGGGATGGGAACTAGTTAAATGACAGTGTGAGAGGGTTGAGAAGGAAAGCCTCCGTACGAGATACACTGAACCCAAAAGAGTTTGGAAATTCTTTGATGAGACGGTTGATGAGAGTGCCCTTGCCTACTCCCGAGGGCCCAAATACGACTAGAGGAGGTATTGTCATGGAAGAAGTAATGAATGCCTAAAATAAGTCTGTGACAGAAATTAAATAACTACGCATCAAACAACGTCACACGAAGCGTGACAGGAATATCTGCCTGAGACGACCACGACGGACACAACGCACAACCAAGCTTACTTCTCTTCTTTACCCTTCATATAATACCCTATGGGCGCCCTTTGCTGTCGACCTCAGGTATCCTTGCCTTAACTCTACCTCGAACTAACTCATTCATCCTTATAGCCGGTCGATTTTGAAGGCGACGTTAATCTCTTTCACTTTGTTCTCTTGAGATGTGTCGGAAAGGGCGCCTTTGGAAAGGTCGGTATCTGTCATACCTCAATTTTCGCTGACAAAGCGAACAAGGCTCCAGGTCCGAATGGTCCAACACAAACAGACCAGAGAGTTGTATGCCCTGAAATATATCAACAAGACAAAGTGTGTAAAGATGAAAGCAGTTGCAAATATCATTCAGGAGCGAAAATTACTCGAGGAGGTCAGTATCTTGCCATATCGTCTTTACTTCCCACTTATCCCACCCAAAGATCGACCATCCATTTGTCGTTAACCTTCGTTATGCATTCCAAGATGATGAAAACTGTTTCTTCGTCTTGGATCTCATGCTTGGTGGTGACCTTAGATGTACGTTGCGCTCGCTTTCTTCGCCCTCTTCGCTTAGCCCGTTTCAACCCAGTCCACCTCGAACGGTTAGGCTCGTTGCCAGAGGATACAGTACGCTTCTACGTTGCAGAAATAGCTTCAGCTCTAGCCTTCCTTCATGAGCACAGAATCATGCACCGGTATGTATAGTCCGATCCCGGATCTATTTACCCTTTCATAATTACCTCACCAGCGATCTCAAACCGGATAACATCCTCCTCGATGAACGAGGGCATGCCCATCTCACAGATTTCAATATTGCTGTTCACTTTAGCGAGCGCCGCATGCTTACTGGCATTGCAGGTAGCATGGCTTACATGGCTCCCGAAATTCTCGCTAAACGCGGCTATACTTATCCGATCGACTGGTGGAGTCTGGGCGTCTGCGCATACGAGCTCCTCTTCGGTCGGAGACCCTTCCGCGGCAAGACAAACGCCGACTTAACCCATAGCATCAGCAAAGATAGCTTACGCTTTCCCGATGACGCCGATAAGAAGTGTTCGCGAGCAGGCATGATGGCGTTGAAAGGGGTGAGTTAGTCATACCGCCTACCCTCTTGTGCTGATTTCCCTCAGTTCTTGGACCGTGACCCTTCCAAAAGACTGACATGCAAGCAAAACGATGGTTATGAAGTAATGCAACGACACCCCTGGTTTCAACCGATAGACTGGGCGGCACTCGAAACCAAAGAATTACCACCACCGTTCACTCCCGATGTGGGTCCTTTTTTAGTCCGAATAGTATCCACTCACTAAGTCCCCCCGCAGTCAAAGAAGGCAAACTTTGATGCATCACACGAATTGGAAGAACTGTTGCTCGAAGACAATCCATTAAAGGCTAAAGCACGGAAGACACGAGATGTTAACACGCTGAGCACCGAAATGAGACAAATGGAAGAGCAGTGCGCACTTTCACTATGTTTTTCCTCGCATTCTCTTAATTTGACATAGGTTTGCATCATATGACTTCAAGAAGATGCTCCGGCGATCATATTATCCCCAGAATCAACAGATCGTATCAACCATCACTGCAACTTCCTCCACAGGCGGACTCGTATCAAGTCGACCTGTAACACCCGCAACAGACTCACCGGTCGAGGGCGTCAGCGTCGTACATGAGCATGACGAAAACGAGTTTGATGGCGATGATGTCCGAATGGAGAAGATGCCTCGGGTCCTGGAGAAGAACTACTCGTGATCCACACCCCACCCCAACCCCAATCCGCCAGACGAAATGACGACCGCTGACGATGTATCTGCAAATATTCCCCCATGTACCTTGTCGATATGTACGGCACCCGATTCCCACACATGCCCCATTCACTCATTTCGGGGACCTAATCTTGGTTGCTGTTGCTCACTTTCCTTATCAACTCACTTCAAGTGCGCTGCTCACCGGATACCTTCGATTTGTTCAACATGACACATAACAAGTTCGTTTCTGACACTCATCGCCATTTGTTCTATGAGCTTTCCGTTGTAGTTTATTGGATTTTCTTTGGCTCTTCTTGGTTTTTGAGGGGGTCGAGTCTTTCTTTCAATTCATTTTCTTTCTTTTCCAGTTTTTCGTCTATTTAGCGCTAGTTTGCTGGCTAGTCTGTGGTGGATTTACATGCTATACGACGCCTGGACTTGCGTATACTATCAACCCATTAATAAACGCGATTTGTTGCTGTAGGGTCCCGGGCCGTCACAAAGATAGCTTACTAAGCAAACACACATCAGGGCAATCGCTCCAGCGTAAACATGTTCCTTGCTGTTCACATCCACTGACCTGACCACGCTTTCCAAAAACCATGGCCATGGCGGGGCTCATCTCCCCCAAACCGCTCTCATACCTCCAGCATGCTGGACAGTTCAACCCATACCAGCAACAGCAACAGCAACAGCAGCAGCAGCAGCGCCTAGCGGGGTCTGCGCTATCCGGATACTCCGACACCCACACCCACACTCAGAGCCATACGCCATCCCTGCACCCACACCAACACATCATGGGTCTTCAAGAAGAGAGCAAAATATATAGTCTAGTTATTGACCTTACGGATCCTAATGCGCGCGAGGCTGCATTGCTGGAGTTGAGTAAGAAAAGAGAGCAGTATGAGGAGCTCGCGTTGGTGCTTTGGCATTCCTTTGGTGAGTTTTTTTGATTGAGTTTTGTTGGTTTACTGGCGCTCATTGATGTTTAATGTGGTGTCGCACGCTGATGATTGGAATGTACAGGTATCATGCCAGCGCTATTACAAGAAATAGTATCCGTCTACCCCCTCCTCTCCCCTCCGAACCTCACAGCACACGTATCGAACCGAGTGTGCAATGCCCTTGCGTTACTCCAGTGCGTGGCTTCGCATCCGGATACGAGACAGTTGTTCTTGAATGGTGGGCTTTGTGCTTGGGTTGGGTTGATAGGGTTTGGGCTGACTTTTTGTTTATGACAACAGCGCATATCCCGTTGTTTTTATACCCGTTCTTGAATACGACCTCGAAAACGCGGCCGTTTGAATACCTCAGACTCACTTCCCTAGGCGTTATTGGCGCCCTCGTCAAGGTTCGTCTCTTCCCCTCCCTCTACCCCCTCACCTCCCCATATCCCCCTTCGATTTCAAATTCAAATCCTAAACAAAATCTCACGTACCCCTAGCAAAACGACAATAACACAGTCATCCACTTTCTCCTCTCAACCGAAATCATTCCCCTCTGTCTCCGTATAATGGAAACGGGTTCCGAGCTCTCCAAAACAGTCGCCATCTTCATCGTCCAAAAGATCCTACTGGACGAAACGGGTCTTACGTACATTTGCCACACTTACGAGCGGTTTTATGCCGTGGGGACGGTTTTGAGTAATATGGTGAATCAGTTGGTGGAAACGCAGGCTGTTAGGCTGTTGAAGCATGTGGTGAGGTGTTATTTGAGGCTTAGTGACAATATGAGGTGGGTTTTGTTTTGTTTTGCGGGTAGGCGGGGCTGATTTAATTTACAGAGCGAGGGAAGCCCTGAGGGCTTGTCTCCCTGAACCGCTGCGTGATCAGACGTTCAGCGTGCTTCTCAAGGTTCGTGTGCACTCTTCAGCAGAGAGCATTGCTGATACCGATCAATAGGGAGACATGGTTACCAAACGATGTCTGACGACTCTTTTAAACAACCTCAACGAGCAGTGATGCCCACACCGAAATGGATCTATCAAAACGACCCACTTACGAATGCTAAAAATTCGGACTACTCCCATGAGATCTGATGCTTCTTTTTTTCCCGAACCATTACGAACTGTCGCCGCCTCTCAACCGACTGGTGATTGTATGCGCACTTTTGTGTCTCTTGTACCAACGCAGGCCCTTGCTATCTAAATCTCTTACTAATTGATTATCTGAGTAGAGCATTGCATTTGTATCTACCTTATGAATACCTGAAATCCACCGAGGTGCGGTTCTCGAACGAAAACGGTCGTCTTTGCTTGAGTGACGACGCACTGTGTGTGCACGTGAAAGCTGTGACTGGGTCCACGTCGGTGTTCTTTGTTCTCACCGTGCCCTGATAACATGCTCACGAGTGTTATTTAAACTCCATATATTAGGTCCGGACATGTTAAAATAAGTCCCCGGAAAGCACAACAGCATTTAAACCATATACTACTCAGAATCGTTAACGTTGCAGCTGTGGCAAAGACAACCACCGTCAGTGTCCGTTAACGCATCTTCATGCCTGTCCCAATTGACAAAAACCGTTGTCTGAAGTCGCTCCACATTATCGCACATCAGATTCCTGCACTTCGTCAGTCGGAGCGTGTGTATGCCGACACCACGGCCGGCTCGGAGCACAGTGAGAACCTGCTCAAAGAACAAACGTTCCTTACATCCTAAATTGATATTCTCAAGCTCTAAAACGCGAAGCGATGAATACGCTGCATGGCTCTGCTCACTTCTAACCAGGAGCGCAAGGAGCAAGCCTTGAATAGGGGTGTCGTCCAGATGGATACTTTCGAGCTCTGGAAGGTCTACTGACCCCGTGCGCCAGAACTCTTCTGTAGTATCCATGTCGGGGAATGACACAACCAGATGTTGAATTTTGCGATACGGGACCATACGACAAATGTCAAATAACATATCTGGTTTTGTGATCCATGAGTTGTGTAAGAATGCAATCGAGAGTCGTATATGACTGTCACGAGGGCCCCACGGATGCTCAGGTATTGACGTGCTGAACCGGAGTGTGAAAAGGTCGTGCAAAAGGCTGACACGTACGGACCAAATGACAGGAACAGATTCGTCATGATTCTTGTGTATAGCCGAAAATAGATCAGCAAAACTTTGAGCGCTTTCGATCTTCGTGAGGCTTAGGACAACCCTGACATCAACGGGAAGGACTAGATGTGAGCCTTGAAAAATGGTGTCCGATATGGGCTTAGCGAATGTTGCGTTCCCAAAGACCACGAATTTGAATGTATGAAGCAACGGTGCGGGTAGCGATGATAAGCAGTTCAAAATGCGATCAGCCTCAGGTGGAGATGGACACAACTGGAGAAATTTGATTCGAGGTAACTGTAAAAGAATTTTCTCAAAGCCACATTGTCGTAGCGGTTTGGGATCATTGTAAATGACGACCAGGACAGCTTTCTTCGACCTCTCCAGCATGATGGCTAGACACTGAGCAGAGACGCCATCGATAAATGCCCAAAGAGTCGAGCACCCGAGGGCGGTTTGGCGCCAGTGCCTGCAGACGTGCGTGACCGCCAGACACGTAGGAGCACCGCCAGGGTTGGATACACCCATATAACTCTCCTCCTCTGATACGATGTACATAAATATATCCGCAAGAATCTCAACTGGGAGATGGGCGAGAGTATTCTTTTGAAAGCGAAGGGCGGGCACGGACTCGGATGATGCAACCGTGTCTTCGCCAATGTGAGCGCCGCACTGCTCAATGAGGGCAGTCTCGCTTCCATCTGCAGAAGCAGAAAGTGCCATCGATGCTTGATGAGGACCTGTGAAAGTACTCAGTCTAGTTCTTACAAAATTTCACAGAGAAAGATTACCTGTCGTTGTCCCAGAGTGAGTCTCCATGTGATGTAAGAGTAACGAATTGAGTCGAGGGCGAGTGGGAGTAGTGATTGTTCCTGCAGCTGTCGAAAATGGGAGGAGCTATTCTATTCATCAAATCCTGTACAAGAACAAGTAACTAAATCTCGAAGGATAAAGGCGTCAGCGGTGGCATGACTCGGACAATGTACAAAAGGCGTACTAATAGTGACCCTGCCTGAATTGGTTCCAGGACAAAGAGGCTGGGTGCAAATTTCTCTGGTAAGCAAGGTCGGAGCCGGGTAAGGCTGCGAGCTTCGGCGTCAGTTGCAGACAACTAAAACCAACAGAGAACCGACTCGGATATCAACGGCAGTTTGGACATCGGTTGAGGTCCCAAACTCTTGGGAGAAACATATCTGAAAATGGTAGGCTATGCGTGGAACTGTGACTGAGTAGTATTTTCTGTGTCTATGTAAGTAATCAATCAAATGTATAGACGCGGTTTACTTACGTTGTTTTCGCTATCGCGTTATATTTGCACATTTATTATTTGCGCGTTGCGCACCTTGCGCACTGCGCATTTTGTCGATCGAGAGCTTGCGCGTTTTATTCAAAAGTTTCCGCGTGTGCGCACTGCGCATTTTTGTCGATGATGAGCCTCCACATTTGCGAGGACGAACCTGTAGGTGGTGTTTAAGTGTCAAAGTTTAACATTGTTTCAAATGCATCCCGTGAACACTTGCAATAGTAAGATTCAGGCTTGCCAATGCTAGCGACTTTCAGTTCGAGAACACCACGGTGATGATAAGGTAGATTTTGGTATGAATCACGCTCATAATAGTCTTTCTGCCAGTGGGGTCCAAACTAGCCTATCCAAACATCATCGGTATTCAAGTGGGATTGAGGGACCATCCAGACCACCATGAGTCACTACTGGCACCCGATCCCAACAACCGCCAGTGCTTAGCGCACATGCCCAGCGCATGTCAGCGAATGCTGACGTGGCTCGAACATATGCGAACGACACCGGAAGGCGCCAGAATGAGAGAAGGAGTGGAAGAGGGGGAGAAATAGATGAGGGAAGAGATAGGTTTATGTCTTGGGTGTCTATAGAAACGAGGTAGTTAGCAGCATAAAAACGCACAATACACGCACCTCTGCAGCTTAGAGAAAGATACCCACAATCCCTCGGCTGCGCTCGACACCATCAACCTCCAGTAGAATGTCACAGCTCATTCCAAGCATCACATCCCTTCGAGCTTTTGACAGACCGACAGTGCCTGTTCGAGAAGTCGGCTCAATGTCGAATAAGACATGTTAGGACCTCAGAAGCGAAGAAGGATGGCACTGACCATGTCTTGAGATGATGCCACGATTATTGTTGAATCAGAAGATATTTTGAAACAAGATGTAGTGAAATGACGACGGACGAGTAAGCAGCACATGTAACTTAAGCCATGGAGAACAAGTGTGACTCAGTGTGTATATAAGTCGAACACGATAGTCAACACAGATTTCGCCACTTATAAGGTACAAGCGGTCCGTTGACCTTCGGATATTTTCCGAGTCTACCGTGAATTATAAGAGATGGGCCTGTACGCTACGTTCTCCGTTGTCTTTTCCTCTTCGTTCTCTGTTGAAAACAGCGCTTCGAGTGTCTCAGCGACATCACGCTCTCGGAAGTCCGGTCTGCATCAGCATTCTTCATCGCAGATTCGTCGAGGGTCATAACGAGTTATCCGGTTTTCAGTAATGACTTCTCACTGTGGCCCAGCAACTTGAACACCGTCTCACGAGTGTTGTAATTAGGCTGATTCGGTCACTAGCACATGTGGACTTGAACTTGAGAGTAAACTTAGTACTTCATACTTGCTTGCAGAGTGAGTGAGTGTTTCTTTGTGAAAAACTCCGGAAGCAGTGCCGGTGATGACCTAGAGGCTAGGTATAACCTATATAAGGTTAATATGTCATATCACATCAGACTTTCGAACCCTCAAAAACACGTATTTCACCACATCTGTCGACTCGTGATGGGTGAACTCTTTTCGTACGGTTTCGAGGGACCGTCAACATTAAATTCAACATGCTCATCTTTCCTGACTGGAGAAACCGTATGTCTTCCACCAGTCAAAATCCCATTCTACTTCTCCCTCCGCCAAAACCTATTCGACGGCATTCCAGACACACACATCGCACTCGCTGCCCCCGTGCTCGCTTATTGGCTCCTGTCTTTTGTATTCTATTGCCTTGACATATCCGGCTGGCGATGGCTTGATAAGTATCGTATTCACGAGTCAGAGGAGGTTAAATCTAGGAATCTGGCTACTCCTTGGGAGGTCGCACGAGCTGTCCTATTCCAGCATGTGACGCAAACTGTGTTGGGTTTAGCATGGTTGGCAGAGTCTCCAGAGATCTCGGTTGCGCGGTGTCAGAGCGAGATGGAGGCATTGGGAAGAACACTGGTATGGGTTGTGCGACGTCTTTTGGGAGAGGAAACAGGAATGAAGTTTTTGGAGCTGAGGGGGCCTGGGATAACCCATTGGCTGTACTGGTGGGGAATTCCAGCTGCCCAGATCTTACTCGCGCTGTGGGTGTCATTCAGAATCTGGTTTGACTTCCCTCTAACGAGTCTCCTCAGGTTCATTGTCGATACCTGGCAGTACTTCCTCCATCGCTTGATGCACACGAACAGATATCTCTACAAGAAGATACACTCTGTGCATCACAGACTTTACGTTCCCTATGCCTTTGGGGCATTGTACAACCATCCTTTCGAGGGCTTCTTGTTAGACAGTGCAGGCGCGGCATTCGCAGAGAGCCTCTCGCATCTTTCCGTTCGACAAACTATTTTCCTCTTTGCGTTCAGCACTTGCAAGACTGTCGACGATCACTGCGGATACAGTCTCCCATTTGATCCATTCCAGATGATGAGCGGAAACAACGCAGACTACCATGACATACATCATCAGGTATGCTCCTTCACTACCGTCCGCTCCTGTACAGTGCTGACGACGAGTACAGGCCATCGGAATCAAATCAAATTTCTCACAGCCTTTCTTCGTCCATTGGGATGTTCTACTCGGGACGCGCATGACCAGAGAAAATATTCAACAACGCAGAAACAAGGTCAAGAAATCGTGATACACCGATGTTCCGAATTTTAGTTTTCTTTTCTTCGAATCATTCAATCAGGACTACACGGTTCGCTCACTCCTCACCAGATCCTATGAAGATCCTTAGTACATCCCTCGCGTGTCAGGATTTAATCGAGATCCATTAATTCTACACTGATTATTTATCACTCCTACACCCCAGTGAAAGTCGGACATACGGGTTTCCACCCGCAGCAACGCATATACTGTGGCTGTGACACTTCTTATTGCGTAGATGCGCGTCGGTATTGCGCTTTCCGTAGCTGCGAAAACGATGCGCTTCAACGCTGGTGTATGCTTCTCGATGCATTGACTACTGGATAGTAGATTTGAATATAACTGTGTATCCCTTTGATATTTTGCTGGCTTCGACGCAAATATACGGAAATCGATGCATTGCAACATAGCCTACAATACAAAACATGCCAATAAAATCTACCCGCGCTCGTTCGCGCTAACTCCTCCGTCCAGGATTCTCCTACCCCAGTGCCTGGCTAATGCAACGTGCCGCTAGAGAACTTTGTAGGGTGACCGTATTTGCGGACGACATGCAGTCAGCAACCTAGATGGAATACACAAATGAGCATACAACAGGAATAGGATCAGTACTTATCAGATTCGAAGCCTCGATATCGTAGTTCTGTAACAATAAGTCGTCGGTAGAGTTGAGCCGCACCCAGACCGATCTGCATGACCGACTGGGAGCAGAGCCAGTGGTACTGACTGAAGAAATAGAAACCAACTTCCAATTGTAATTTGATAATCTGATATCCTCACAGATTTTCGGTGTATCGAACGAATACGACAGCTCCAATTTACAACATAAATGATCATTCATCGCCTATATCTACTGGGTGAAGTGAGAAGTTATGCCAGGACACAGAGTAAGAGTGATATCGGTGTTCCCGCAAGTATATACGACAAAGTCAATAGGAACATAGCCATCTGAACGATAATTATCAGCCCACTGTACCGATGACAGTAAGATGAAAACACATACCCGCGCCGTTATTGTCAGGGAATGCGTAGGCATTATAACAAGTTTCATAGTAGAAAGGACTGTTGGGGCCAGGGCCCTCGTTGTTAAGGCAGCCTCCTCCGCCAGCGGAAAGGGTGCCGTTGCTGCACGCGCTCGCAGAGGAGCAGCATGGGGAGTAGCACGTATCGGATCCAGGTCCAGGAACGGGCTAAAACATTATGAACATGCATAATGTCAACAGATGGATCACTCACACAGCCAGATGAGATCGTGCAAGCGAAGGCATCACAACTAGGATCAGCTGAGGAAATCTCCATTCCAACGTTATACCCATAGATGAGCGAGATATCATATGTCACACTTCCGGGGAGCAAGTACTACGTTTTAAGTCAGTAATTATTTCAATGCCAGCAACGGGAACCCACAAAGTTAAATTCGGCTCTACTGAAGGGAGTGTTACCATCCCAGGTAGGCCCACCAGTAGTACATGTAGAACCGTCGCTGTTGCATCCAGTACCTAGTGGCGCGGTCAGTGAAAAGCTGAAGAGAAGAGTTACACACTTACTGACGTTGATAGCGCCATCCCAGTTGGAGGTAATGCCTAGGTTTGCACTCTGGCCTTGAGCAATGTTGACGTTGGTGTCGATAGAACCATAGCTAGTGCTCATGTACAAGAAAACAGATTCAGAGCAATTGTTTACAACGACGAGAGATCGGGCTCGAGCCACGGTCACAATAGTGGTTAAAACTAAAGCGGAGAGAATGGCCATTGAGCAATGATTGGACGACTTAGAAATGGGAGATAATAATACCGTTTAAACGCTTTATGGACCCAGAACTCTTTGGCCGTGAGCGCGTCAGCATTTTATTGGAAGTGGACACCAAAAATGAAGCCACAGGATTTTGTCACAAATAGTGCAAATTGGCAAGTAGTAGTATGCTGCGGGATGCACATTGTCGTTGACCTTTGACAGGAAACCCTGATCCGGGAGACGGTATGAATTGACGGAAAATGCGATGACAGCTCAACATTGCATGAAGGGTGCTAAAAGAGGACTGGATTCAAAATAAGTACTGTGTTCAACTTGAAACACACCAACAACAAAATAATACTTCTGTTAACAATACATATTGTGCAAGGCCCCAACAGACAACGAACAAAGTTTGTTTTAAGAAAGAAACTTCTGTCAGTCCATGACTGTTATAAGGTCACAAAACTATTTCCGATTCGGTTATTTGGAGACTCACTTGTGATTGACACACAGTTAAAAGGTTGTAGGCTTGTAGCGTGTTGTGGCCAAGCTTGAGTTGGCCACTAGCAAAATTTAATCCAACAAGCAAATGAATGTAAGCTGATGAAGGGTAGGTTGACGGTCTTGCAATCTACTTACTTGACTTGTGCACTGTATAGCTTGTTCAAACATTGTATATCGGGGTTTAAAGTATAAACGTTATAAACACCAGCCTCCATAATCTTGTTTTTCAACTCCGCAGCACATATACATACTCGAGTTGCCAAGGAGTCAAGGACCAATCAAGGTCAACACCAATCCTCATTTACAGATGAGCCAGAGTCTTGTGTACGGTCAAGGATGCTAGGCTGTTCAACGCTGCATCAGGCTTCACGACCAGAAGCGCAAGGTTAGGGATGCTAGGCCGTTCCAAAAAATGCTACATCAGGCCTCATGATGCATGATGACCCAACGCGCAAGGAAGACCCTTTCATTCTGTTATTGTGGCATCCAGTGTAGGAGCCGTGACTATTTTTACGAAGTGGCTTTTCGGATGTAAGTATGTATAACTTATGGTATGGCATATAGTATTGGTACTGGCATCTTCCTACTAGCACTGATCAGTGATCACTGCATTATCCCTGGTTCCACGCCACTTCACACCCATTGTGACAGGTTGCGATGCGATGAAAGATTGATATTTTTATTGCTGTGTTCCTATAGAATGCAAGTCTATGGTTGGACTAGGTTTATGGATTGATTCTGAATCTTCTCGAGGAAGTTCTCCGATGATTTTTTGCCTGCATATCCTACGCACCGGCATTTTTGTACATCGTGATTATTCACACAAATTGAACTTTAACACGAGCGTCTACAAGATTCATCATTCTGTTGCCCCACATCCTAGATTTCACTCACTCGGTCTCTTACACTTTCGGAAAATCAAGGGTTCACCGTGTTCACTACTGGCAATACATGGTCCCCAACTATCGCGCCGATTCATTGTGCCTTCAAAAATACTTGAACTTGTCAAAACTTGGTCCAGTTTTCCGAGCCAAACCACCCAGTTTTCCAGGCACGGAGAAGTGAGTCTCTGTCGCAAAACATAGCCTGTACTGCCTACATATCATAGCCGATGGAACGGGATATTAGGTCATGCTGATACAGTGAGTATTGTTTGGTCTCAGAGAAAAATTATCACTGCCCTCCCATGGAATGTTTCTGTGTAGAGATCGTGAAAATAGATTGTTCATATCATCCCCAGAGATGGTTGCATTTTCTGGGTGGAATTATTCTTCAGATTCTGATATGTCAATGGTGTAGTCAACGGATTCACAGCACTCTTTTCTGTGCCACAGGGAGCGCCACATCTACGAGCACAGGATACTACTTGAGGTGGATATTGCGACTGGATATCTCAATCAAGTTAATACTAAGGACGATCAGACACTCATAACCATGTTACCGCGGTGCCTGTGGTACCTTACACACCATCAGACATACTGGCTTCGGCTTCCTTCTTACAAGCTTCCATTACAGGATTCCTCTGACATGTGTAAAACTGCGTATGCAGTCTTCGCTGTCAGCAATGAACAGATGGGTTTCTTTTAATGGATTAGAGCCTGAGACAGATTTGAATCATCTTAGGACCACTAAGAGAAGCAAAGTTCTCGCTGCTTCCGCAATTCTTCACGACAATTCCTAGTGTTTGGGGCGAGATGCTGATAATTAATGCATGTAAGGAACTAGATCTACTGCCATTTTTTATAATAATGGTGAATCAGGTTTGCTACATAGAATGAACATCCAGATTCAATGTCTGATCAACCCGAGCACCGCGAACACCGATTCAGAAAATATAAATCGTGACAGCTGTTCAACCGGCTCCCTCGTCTTTTATATTTGGTGTGCTACCTAAATTTGACAATTATCAAGTACTATCATGGTCAGTCATATTCTCAGAAGCTATAGTATGCGGAAAACGAGACTTGCAACTTCACTGGCAAGTCTTCATTGCAATGTCACTCTCACTGTCCTTTGATGGCTACATTGACTCGTGAGCTAACTGTAATTATGATAATCATCAGCTGGGCGGTTGTTGATCATCACCACAATGGAAACTATGTAGTCTCCTGCACCCTCCATAGCAATCTAGACTCCAGCTTTTTGCAAGTTCCTTCAGAGATACACGGGATCAGCCTTCCGGTCAACGTCATCCATTCAGTCATGTTCATATGGAATCTCGTTGGTTTTAGACTTTAGTCCGCCCCACATGGCATGAAGGCATATGAGAAAACCAGATAGGATCAGCATTTAATGCAGCGACAACAGACGGATGCATGTCCGAAGGAACTGCGCTAGGATGATGGGCAAAGGGCTGGAACATAGTACGGTGCATGTATGACGCCAAATCGAAGTGAGCACATACAAGGGTATGAAATATGCCATGAGAATAATGAGTACTGAGCAGACTCTGTTGAGCTGTTTCTGCAATCATCAGGAAAACCCTCCCATGTAAACTTAGATAAAGCTGTTCGGATTAGATCTTTTTCGTGCAACTAATACATATTAGACATATTAGATGGGCTAGACATCCTAGCCAGACTTTATTGCTGATTTTTAATTAGCCATACCTTGCTGCTATTTAGAACAATTAGCCATACCTTGCTGTCATTTAAAAACAATTTGACGTGTCCTAGTAGACACCTAGGAAACACTAATAGGAAGACTTTCACACTTCGAGTACATGAAAAAATTAATATCATTAAAATTGGGTATCAGGCTGATGCAGTAATGTACGACTCATATGAGCAAAACAAGCACGAGAAAACATAGCGAGTGGTGAGATATAGCGAGCAGTGGGGTATCGAAGATTAAATCCTATGTCCTGCAAAATATGGCACAGCGTCAGTGAGGTATTCTACTCGTCATCCATTCCCTCAAGGTCCAAGAATGCTAGATTGGTATCTTTGTCATAGACTCCAATTGTGTCACGATGTAAATGCCTGTAAGCAACAGTAAGTCAGCAACGTGTATACCAAATTGGATGTGGACTTACTGGACCTCCTCGTAAATATCAGCCATCATTTTGTGAAACTTGACAGGAGCCGTCTTTCGGATTCTCTCCAACAACGCCACGTGGTATGTATAGATATCACAGAATTGGTTACCAGTGAACTTGAAATCTTCACCTGCCTTGTTCTTCTTTGCAACGAGAACAGCATGGATCTAACAACAAAGAAGTGAGTCAATGAACAGATGAGTGCGAACACAAACTTACAGCTGTGCTGACCATGGCCAACATGGGGATATGGATTTCTGGTCGACCAGTTTTGTTCTCCGCAATGTCAAGAAAGTGCTGAGCAAACTGCAAACCAACTGACTTCGTGTTTTTGAAGAATGTCTCGTATAGAGTGTCGACTATGGGCTGCCCTTGATATGGCTTCTGTCATTTTGGAGAAGGAAGACCCTCAGCCTTGATGCGAGGTGTCAGTGGGATGTCAAATTCTTGTGCGAAAAAACTAACATCAAATGTCTGCGGAAAAATGTAGGAATGACCTGCAAGGAGACGGTCAACGATAGCATTGCAGTCATGGCCGAGTCGAAAGTAGCCTGGGGCATATTTATAGGCGACGTCCTTGATTTCAGTGCGGAAGAGGCTCACACAAGCATCAATCTATAGCAGGTGTCAATATTAAATCAAAGTAAGACAGATTACTTACTAGATTGGCGAGTGCCGACAAATACTCATCATCAACATACATCCGTTTCTCAATTGGCGCTGTCTTGTGGTGCTTCGCAGCCTGAAGTAAGATTTCCCGCGCATATGAGTTCTTGGCCACAATTTCAGGGTACCCGTGCTTGAAGGCAATGTATGCCTTGACCTCGAGGATACCATGATGGATCACCTTGCGAAGCTCCGTGTTCTGGTCCATAAGTCGCACTGACCCAGTCTTTGTGTAGACAAGATCAGCCATGGTGTCAGCATGTGGGGGCACATCGGGCTCAGGTTTGATTTCGAGGATGGAAAGGTCTTCTGAGGTCTGCCAGACTTACTCTTTGCAGGCTTTTTCTGGCAGTCTGCCTGCGTATTGACAATTGCAGGAACCTTGAAAGTTCATGCAGATTACTTAAGCTTATTGAATGCAGTGCGAAGTGACTCACCTCTTCAAACAGAGCTTTTGCGATGCTCTTGACTGGCTCTGATCCTGAGTCCGACATTTCAATTTCGGAGCTGGAAGCTCTATCAGAGACACTCTGCTTGCTAGCAGTGTCCGAATCAATATCTGACGGTTCAACACTGACACGAGCTATAACTTTCAACCATTAGTAAGAGTGTCACGTGGCAACACGCAATGCTGACCCCTCTTCTTTAACCGCTGAGGTTGGCTAACCTCCACGTTGTCCTCAGAGTCTGATGCGAGAGGTGGCGGCCGCTCTAATCTTTCTGTGAGCAAGTTTGGCTTTTGTGTGGGCACTGATACTTACTGCAGCTTTTGCTTTTTCCAGTTCTGAGGGGAGGTTCTGGCGCCCTTGCTTTCGTTCCACCACCTGCATCCATCATGGTGGGTCATCACTACAGGTGAGCTACTACTAATCGCGACTTACTTTTGACTGACTTGACCCATTTTGGAATAGGTGCAATATCATCAGTGGGTGAGCGTTCGTGCTTGCGTGCCCGTTTGTTTCGGCGGAGTGGTCCCCAAACTGCCACAAAGTATCATTGTGAGTATGAATTTGTATGGTGACAATGTGCTTACCTGGATTGTCTAGAGCCTGATCTTTTGCCTTGCGTCATACTTGAACCAAGTGAGTTTTAACTTTGTTGTCATGAAAAATTTCTTATGCTGTGGATGCAAGTCCATTGAAGGGAAATTAAGGTCGGAAGGAGTAAAAAGTCTGAAAAACGAATGTGAGAGTGCCTTTCTGCTGGAGAAAGACCGCTTCAAAAAGGTGAGTGAGTGTTTTTATTTAAGTTGGGGTCAGGCATTTAATTTGAAACAGTCCGCTTATTATACTGAGCGCTGAGCCAGGGTTGACCCTTTCCTTGTCTGGCTTAGTTTGCTATTTGGTGAGTTTATGTTCAGAAACTTAAAACACAGCTTTACAAAGTAGTCCTAGTGTGCACACCATTCTCTTCTTAGTAATGGTCCTGTCAATCGGGAACTTTCTTATTGGTGGCATGCTAATCGGATGCAAGTCGTTTCCTCCGTTTATGGACTATCAAGAAGCATTTTCCTCTCCATTACCGCCCTCTATGTTCCACTACTGCGCTTGGCAAAAGCCATTTCCTTCATTTACGGACTATCAAGAAGCATTTTCCTCTCCATTACCACCCTCTATGTTCCACTACGGCACTTGGTGAAAGCCATTTCCTCCGTTTACGGACTATCAAGAAGCATTTTCCTCTCCATTACCACCCTCTATGTTTAGCATCTTCAACTAGTGTTCTTCCCTAGTAACGGCCCCATCGGCTGGGAACTTTTGGCATTCCCCCGTTTATGAACTATCAAGAAGCATTCTCCTCTCCATTACTACCCTCTATGTTTGTCGTGTTCAGCTACTGTGCTTCGCAAAAGTCATTTATCTGATGTGCTTAACGAGTCTGATATCTGGTTCCATCACTGCAAGACTTGAATTTACCAATCTCCGAGCATGCGGAATACCGTCATCACTTTACCCAATATTTCTTACTTCGGCAGAGCCTCACAGCCTCTACATGCTGCTGACACCACTTTTTTGCTCTGACTGTCAGACTCGCACACTTTATTTGTCCTTACTGTTGACTGACAAGTTGTAAGTGATTTTCAGGCGTTCAGTGTTCATGTTTTATTGAATCTACGCAGAACATGCCCGAAATAACATGTCCTTCCTGCAATAAAAAGCTTGCATCAATCACCAGTTATAGTCAGCATCTCGCAAAAACCACCAATCCTGCCTGTCGTACCCTCTACCTTTCCTCACGGCGATTCGCTCCAGACCCAGCAAATGATGTAGATATAGACGCACCTGATCCAAATCATCCGCTGCATTTTGAAGGTGATTTTTTTGGAACATACGCTGAGGATGAGTTTGCATGGCCAGGGTCAGATGACGAGGGGGAATGTTGGTCAAGCACCTATGGATGAAGATGACTCAGATAATGACATCAACGATCATGACGAATGGGAGCCTCCTGCAGCACCAGCACCCTCAAGTCATTCTGCGGAGCATCATGACACTAACAATCATGACGAATGGGAACCTCCTGTAGTGCCAGCACCTGCGCACAATGATGCCTTACACCCACCTACCGCAGATCAAGGCCAAGATGCTTTTCATATGGCGCAGCGGCGACTTCTTGAACACGAACAAGTACCTATAGTTGTCCATTACCCTGATCAACGAGCTGGACAGCCCATCGACTCAGCCATCAAGCAGCCAAGCAATATAACCTACCATGCACAGCTTAATGGCTCGAGTGCAGATAATATCTATGCCCCATTCGCCTCGAAGCTTGATTGGGAGATGGCTCGATGGGCAAAATTACAAGGTTCAAGCTCAACTGCGTTCTCAGAACTTGTTTCTATTGAAGGTGTAAGTCCGTGCTTTACTCGAACACTAGGATCAATCTAATTGTAGCACTTCCAGCTTAGCGAAAAGATTGGTCTTTCCTTCAAGAATACACGGGAACTGAACAAGATCATCGACGATGAACTTCCAGGCCGTCCGAAATTCAAATGCGATCAGATTGTCGTTGCTAATGAAGTGTTTGATGTCTACTATCGCGATATCATTGAATGCATCAAGGCTCTTTTCAGTGATCCAAGTTTTGCTGACTTTCTGGTCTTTGCGCCTGAACGCCATTATGCCGACGAAGATGAGACGATTCGTTTATATCATGAGATGCATACTGAAAATGGTGGTGGAATAGTCAGGTCGGTGTTTTCTACCTTTTGTGAGCTTCAACGTACTAATATTAATATTGTATTCTTCCTAGAAACACTTAGATCACGAGCGCCCTGGTGCTACAATAATTCCCATCATCATTTCATCAGACAAGACTCAAGTTACGATGTTTCGCAACAAGACAGCATACCCCGTCTACGTGACTATTGGAAACATCCCAAAGGATATTCGTCGGAAACCATCACGCCAGGCACATGTCCTCCTCGCATACCTTCCAACTACTCGCCTTGAACACATTACCAACAAAGCTGCTCGCCGACGGATGCTTGCCAATTTATATCATGCTTGTGTGGGACGTGTACTTGCACCACTCACAGCTGCCGGCATCAATGGCATTAATATGCGAAGTGGTGATGGAATAATGCGTCGAGGCCATCCTTTGTTTGCATGTTTTGCAGGAGACTACCCAGAGCAAGTTTTAGCTACCGGAGTCAAGACAACTCAATGTCCAAATTGCGATGTTCCCTTCCGACGAGCTTGGTCTAGCAACTGGTGTCGCAAATTGGCAACCTACGAGACCTTGGTGCAGTACTTGATGCCCTCTGCGCTCTTGACCAAGGTGGATTGGCCTTTGTGCGTGCATGCGCAGATGCTGGCATTAAGCCTATTGTCCACCCATTCTGGGAGGGACTACCCTTTGTCAATATATTCGAATCCATAACTCCTGATATTCTGCATCAACTATACCAAGGGCTCGTCAAGCATCTCCTCGCTTGGCTTTCTGATGCATGTGGCAGTACGGAGATTGATGCACGATGTCGACGCCTCCCCCCAAATCACCATATTCGACTATTTACGAAGGGCATCACAACTCTTTCACGTGTAAGCGGTACAGAACATAATCAAATTTGCCATTTCTTGCTCGGCATCATCATCGACATCAGTCTACCTAATAATATGTCTTCCGCTCGACTCCTCCATGCCGTTCGTGGTCTGCTAGACTTTTTATATTTTGCTCAGTACCCATGTCACAGCTCTGAGACGCTGGTTTTACTTGACGAGGCACTTAACCTTTTCCACGACAACAAGGACATCTTTATTGACCTTGGCATTCGGAATTCCTTCAACTTGCCAAAACTCCACTTCACAGCTCACTACACTCACATGATTCGAATGTATGGCACTACGGACAACTACAATACCGAATACACCGAACACCTTCACATTGACCTTGCGAAAGATGCTTATCGCTCTACGAACCACAAGAATGAGTTTGGTCAAATGACGACTTGGCTTAACGGAGGGAGAAAATTTCACGTCATGAGAAATACATTCAGTGGAGACTCGTCGAAAACACCACACGTCCGCATCATCAGCCCCGTCCCCCAGAAATGACATTTCGTTGTACTCAAACGATGACAAAGCATCCTACCATCAAGGCGGTCACATTGGACAAGGTCGCAAACGAATATGGTGCCACGCACTTTAATGAATGTCTCGCACGTTATGTTGCGAAAGCTACCCTTCCTGTCGACACTACTGTTACAGCCAGGCAGCTTGAAGATCGAGCAGCTGATATACACATCCCATTTTAAAGACTACCGGTCTTTCACAAGGTGAAATGGCTCTTGGATAATGTTCGTGGTGATGGGGATCCTCCGGTCACAGTCGATAGTGTCCATGCACGTCCTGGACGATCAGGAAAATTTACATCCGACAGTGTTGCGCCACGATTTGATACCGTGTTCGTTAATGATGGCACAGGCGGGTCACTTGGCATCAAAGGTGAGTGCTCTGAATTGTGCTGTTGACTGGTACTCAGCGGTTACTATTTAGGATATCGAATTGCGCAAGTCCGTATCATATTCTCGATACCTCCCAAAGCCATCCCCCAACTTTTCCCATCCACATTTCAGCCTCCAAAACATCTCGCATACGTCGAATGGTTCTCTGCCTTCTGTGTACCTGATCGAGATCACGGCCTGCACAAGGTCTCACGTGTCGTTAAAAATGGAGAATGAATGGCCAGCATCATACCAATCAGCAATATTCATTGTAGTGCCCATTTGATTCCGCATTTCGGCTCTGTAGCTCCTTGTGAATGGACCTCTGCTAACGTTCTTGACGAGTGTTCATCATTCTATGTAAATACATACTTAGATCGATACAGTTTTGCAACACTGCGCTAGTTGCCAATGATTATCATTAGCTTGCACTATACTATTGGTCTTAGAGCTAGCTACTATAAAATTTCACAGCTTGCGAAAATTTGTCTAAGAACGTCTAATCTATCTAAGTCTATATGGGAGGGTTTTCCTGATGTCATGCCAGTTGATCCAGAGAGCGAGTGCAAAGCCTTGTCTAGTAGGAATGCTATCTACCGCAAGCACCCGTGAGCATTTGAAAAGGTTACAGTGAGAAGGCATATTGCTTGGTGTGGGGGCAAATGACTTGTATCTTGTTGATGCACGTCGCATCCGGATCTAAGAAAGCTACAAGCTTAATTAAGCTTGTGGCTTTCTTCAACGAGTTAAGTATTTTGCACAGTATAATGACTTTGAAGTATCTGTCAGAGTCGTGAATGGACTGTTATGTACTATCACTTGCCCAGAGTTGCAAAACGTTCCGACCAGTTTTTCATAACACAACAACTACACAACATTAAAATAAAAAAAACACTAGGAGCATGTTGGAATTAGAGGAGTGTTAGAAGGCAATGCGAAATCACTAGTAAAATTCCTGAATTTTTTGGTGCATGTGATGGCTTCCCTACGATGGATTAGCGTGGAAAGTACATGTTCTGCGCAGTATTTTCGCTGCCTGCAAGTACCTCCAGCCCATTTTTCATGAAATAAAAAATACATACAGCAAGCTATGTACTAATTACCCTCTAGAATCATTGTGCTAAGAAAATGAGTGGAAAATGAGTGTGCTACATTGTGATTTGCAACTCCGGGCCATTTTGCAACTCTGGGCAAGTGATAGTACTCGCTACAAAGTGTGTGAACTTCACTTCTATTATATAAGTTGTGCAGGGCCACATCCGTGGCAGGGCCCGCTACCTCGTGTGTGGGAATGGACGTCTTGGTTCAATCCCAGTGAAAATGTGCTCTGATGGGAAAGGTCCAGAGATGTTCAAATACAAAATACCTGTTTTGTACTGCGTTGAAAAGTGCTTATTTGTGATATACATAGATCTCCTTCGCATAGCACATTGCTTATTGTTATCTTCTTACAACTTCGCATTGTAAGGTCGCATGCAACACAAACTTCGTATCATCGTGTTACATACAACGCACAACATTGCATCTTCACATCGTGTCGCAAAAAACACTTTGCCCACGCTCTGCTCAGCCTAGCCTCTGGAGCGCGAAAAGCATAATTACTAGTAGGTGGTGGAGGAGGAAAGCTCTCATTAATTCAGGTGAGTATCATATGTATTAGCCTTCTTGGCTGTTATTTCCCTATCTAACTTTGACCTAGAATGAATATTGACCAGGCTGGTGTTCGGTTTCTTTGTGTCTGCACCAAGTATAATCATGGGCAGCCTCACGAAGTCTCATACATGTCCTGGTACTGCCATCTCAATGAAGCAACCACCGAGGAAGAAAAGGAGAAGATGCAAACTGCAAAAGCATTTGGTTTGGGGGCACTAACTGTTTCAGATCCTCCTGCACAAGCCTCAGGCAGTTCTGGACACCCAGTGCCTAGTACTGATGGCTTGAAGGCTATTCCTTCAGATGATGCCTGCGAGATGTCCTTATCAGATGGTGCTCATCATGCTGCCACCTTACGAGCACTTGCAAAACGAGCACGCGAGAGCGCAGATTCTCAATGCTTTGTAGGTCGACGCAAGCAGGCCAAAACTGTGGAGCCTGAACAAGTGGTATGTATTTATATTCAAACACACACAAGTCTGACTATCGTTTTAAAGACTCATCCCGACAACGAACCTCTGCCCCCTCCTGACAACGAACCTCTGCCCCCTCCCGACAACGAACCTCTGCCCCCTCCCGACAATGAGCCTCTGCCCCCTCCCGACAACAAACCTCTGCCCCATCCTGACAACGAGCCTCTGCCCCCTCCCGACAACGAACCTCCACCCCCTCCTGACCATGAACACCCCCCAATTGAGTTGGTACTAGCCCGTAGGCCACAACCAAACATTGATATCAACAACCTGGCACAGCGTGCTGTGCTCCAGAAGATGAAAGAATCTATGGAGTTTGTTCTGGCACTGAAGAATGCGTCTTTGGATGATCCCCTTGCCAAGCTTAGTGACGATGCTCTACATAGACTGCGGAATCCGCCGCAAGGGCCCATCGTTATCGACAGCCCTGGTGTGCGTCAGAGCATCTCTATGTACCTGGTGCTTGAGCATGGCTCTCAAGAGGCCTATAATTGAATGCGGAGAGCCACAATGTGCAATTTTGAGGGTGCTAATGGTGTTGACAAGATCCTCAGTTTTTACAATGTCGAGAAGCTCATTTCCCAGCACACTGGTGTCGAATCAATTGAGCACGACATGTGCCCAGAGTCATGTTTAGCATTCATGGGCCCGTTTGCCCATCTGGAGAGCTGTCCAATGTGCGGCTCATCTCGATGGGATCAAGCAAAGTTACGAGCGAGTGGTGGACAAATCAAGGTTGCGGCACAAACATTTGTTACTATCCCACTTGGTCCGCAGCTACAGGCTCTCTATCGTGACCCGGAGAGTGTGCGTCATATGTGATACCTTTGGGAGCGAACTCAGGAGGTTCTAGATGGCCTGAGGCAGACAGGAAGGGTGCCTGTTGTTGATGATATCGCAATGGGGTTTGATATTCTTGGTGCTGTGCTTGATGGTGAGATCAAGCAGGATGGCATTCTTCTGATGGTCTCACTTGACAGTGCGCAGCTATACAAGAGCAAGACATCCGATTGTTGGATCTATATATGGGTCATTCTTAATCTATCTCCTGACAAGCGCTACCAAAAACTTCATGTTCGCCCTGGTGGCTTTATTCCAGGACCAAATAAACCAAAAAATGTCGACTCATTCATTATTGTTGGAATGCATCATCTCGCTGCACTCCAACGTAAAGCACTCACTATTTGGGATGCCTCTCGTAACCACGTTGTCAGGTCAGACCTCCATCTCATTTTTACGACAGCAGATGGCCCAGGGCTCGTGTATTGGGATGGGATGGTAGGGCACAGTGGCAAGAACGGATGTCGCATGTATTGTGGAGTGAGAGGAAGGCGTAAAACTCGTGGCACTCATTACTATCCAGCACTTCTGAAACTGCGTGATCGCTGTGTTGAAGGAAGTGACCACGCCAATATTGATGTATTCACTATCCCACTTGGTGGTGCCGATGACTATGCCAAAAATATCGAGCTTATCATGACTGCACCAAGCCAATGCCAATATGAACTCAAGAAGACGGACACCGGTCTCACAAAACCCCCATTAATCCTCGGCCTCAGCCCCCAGCACTGCCTCAGTGTTCCACTCTGTATGACAACTGATATAATGCATCTCGCAGGCAACCTCAGCGATCTCCTTCTTGCGCTCTGGCGCGGAACAATGGACTGTGCACCGACAGACAATGTCAACACATGGGACTGGGCTGTCCTTTGTGATGGGGATGGCTGAATTGCGCATGGAAAGGCAGTGGAGGCTGCAGGGCCATATCTTCCAGGCTCGTTTGATCGAAAACCTCGGAATATTGCTGAGAAGATCAATACCGACTACAAGACTTAGGAATTTCACCTATATACCTTTGGCCTTGGTCCTGTGCTACTCTACAACATTCTTCCTGAGCCCTATTGGCTCAACTACTGCAAGCTCATGCGCGGGTTTCAAATTATGAGTCAGCACAGTCTCACAGCAGAAGAACTTACCGATGCGTTTATTCTCCTTGGTACTTGGGAGTGAGAGTTCGAGACCCTCTATTATCAGCTCAGAGAGGATCGCTTGCATTTTGTACGCCCGTGTACCCACCAGACTAGTCATCTTGTGATGGAGACAGTTCAGAAGGGCCCACCAATCTGCTATGCCCAGTGGACGATGGAACGTACTATTGGGAACCTTGGTCAAGAGATTCGACAACCTTCTCGACCATATGCAAATTTGTCACAACAGGGACTACGACGCTGCATGATCAACACACTCCTATCTACAATGCCTGATCTTGATGAACCTCGCAAACATCTTTCAGACACTGCTGCTGATCTAGGAGATGGATATGCACTGCTTTGCAAGCAAGACAGATATGCAAAACTCCCCGTTGGAGAAGAAGCACAAGCTTTGTCTGATTTCCTTGGACTCAATCACCCACTCCCTCACATCAAAAAATGGTCACGACTTCTACTACCAAATGGACAAATTGCACGCTGACACGCACCAAACTTGTTTTGTGCATGGTCATGGCTACTTTTTAGCTTTGATGTTCTCTACTATACTTTACGAAATTACTAAGAATTTTCTATAACACATTATGATTTGATTTGAGTAATTTTCAGACATAACACACCCATAATACTACATAATAATTCAATTAACACTTATCCAATCTAAAGATAAGTTCCAAACATACCACAACACATTAGTCAGCATTCTCTCACAATCTTATGATTGTTTTTTACAATTCTTCACATATTTTCTGAATGTTCTGAAACATATTTACGGTAGCATCCAACATTTCAACAGTTCATGTGTGATCAATGGCTTAGTCAGATGAAATGGATTAGTAAGATGAGATGGATTCAGTCAGGAAACTGAAGGAAGAAAGTTGATAGATGGGAATATTTGAGAAGTGAACAAGTCATTATGAGACATTTCAACTATGACTCAGTATGAGTCATTATGAGTCATTTTCTGTCTGAGTCACTATGAGTCATCTTTAATATGACTCAGTATGAGTCAGGATGAGTCATATTTTCCTTAAATAGATAGTCACACAGCCACATTTAGAGTAGTATATAAGGGGCCCAGTTTCCCCTCTGAATAATGACAATCTCCCTTTTGAAATAAGCTTCCTTTGAGAGGACAGACATCCCCCTTTAAAGAGAGAGGGAGGAGGATTTGAGTATCTTCCTGAATTTCTCACCCTATATTTGTGTGAACATCTGAGTGAATATTAGTTTATTCCCTCCATTCTTTTGTCATCATTTCCCACAACATACTGATCTTCTGAGGCCTACCTTGAGCCAATCCTTGAATTACACTAGCTGGTACACGGTTATCAGTCTTCTAGTTGTAGTTTCGTCACATTCTCTTTGCAACACAGGATACCTTTTCTGTGGGGAGAATTTACATATTTTTAACGATTAGGAGGACGACAAATAAGACTAGCACTTTATTCAACAATATTAAGAGCTTGGCTGCTTTAAGACTACATCAAGAAGGTGTACTCTGTTCTGATTCTGCGTCATACTCATCGTGAGTGCCTGAGCAGCAGAGAAGTTAGTTTCAAAGCCACATATTTCAGTTGATTCAATTGTGTTAGAGGCTTAGTTTGATCTCCTCTAATTTTTGAGAATAGGGAGTGTTTACAAGATATTACTCTGATTCATTGTGTATTGTGTGATTCATATCTTCATCTTCATATTGCACACCTTTGCAATCCTCTTTTAGTAGCATCGTAGTACTGCATCAAGCCAGTTATCGATTCGGCTACACCATTTACGATCCTTATCTTCACCATCCTAAGTACTGCATCAAGCCAGTTAACGGACTATCGACCTTCAAGTACCTAAGCACTGCATCAAGCCAGTTAACGGTCACTGTCTCAACCCACCTAAAGTCATTAGAAGTTGTTTAGATTGACCCAGCTATTTACGCCTCCTCCCACGAACGACCACATTATCAACCGTTGGTATTTGTCTGAACCGTTGACCGTGGAGGATAGTGAGAACTGGTGATTTTATTGCCAATCACATCCTAGTAAGACAACGGATGGAAATTGGAGTATCTCGCCAGTACATCATACTCTGCTTGGCGTAGAATGTATCTTACTGATGACGGAAACTGGAAGTTGAAGAATCATGGCAATGAGGATGAGGACGAAAGTGACGATGGCAATGCTGGTAACTCACACACCTCAAGCTCAAATGGTAAAAAGCGCAAGAAGGTGAAATTCTCCATCAAGTCCGAAGTCCCTCAAAAGAAGATGAAAGGTGAGTTTTTTTTTCTGTCTACGTGTCATACTGACAATATTTCCTAGCTGATTCCAAGTCTGCTGATATTCTACCACAGTTATCAACTACATCATCAACTCCAAGTACTCAGTCTCTGGTAGTTTCGCCTCTACCTTCTGATTCCTCTCCAACACCGCAACCAGGGCCGATACCAGACTCTCCAACACCCTTTCCGACGATGGCACCGACCTCTCTGGCACCAGACCTTCCGGCACCAGAGTCTCTGACACCAGACCCTCTGATACCCTCTCCAATGGCACTGACCTCCCCGACACCATCTGTGATGGCACCAACCTCTCCAATGCCAGACCCTCCAACGCTCCCTCCAATGGCACTGGCCTCCTCGACTCCATCTGTGATGATGGCACCAACCTCTCCGATGCTGGTGGACCCTCTGACACTCCCTCTGATGGCACTGGCCTCCCCGACACCATCTGTGATGGCACCAACCTCTTCGATGCTGGTAGACCCTCCGATGCTCCCTCCAATGGCACTGGCCTCCCTGAGACTAGAGTCTCTAACGATAGCATCTCCGGCATCAGCTCCACCACCCAAACTTCTGCCAACTACTCCTGCACTGCTTTCTCCTGTGTTAGGCCTGGACTCGCATAGTAAAGAAAATATCCCTTCGAAGCTTCTTAGGCTCACTGCACTGACACATGTCAATGTTGTAGTTGCAAATCCACTGTAACTTAGTTGACCTTATTTCACCGGATGTCTTGAATAACTTTTCATTAGGGCAGCACTTGCTCTCGCAGCATCAAAAGTTCAGTTGCCACCTCTTCTGCTTGGACCCACTCCTCTCCCACCCCCTCCCGCACCTAATGGTACTGATTCTGCATCGACCACTCAAAATCACACTGGTCTCCCCACTGTCGATGATGTTAGGACTTCGAAGGCTGCAACAGGATCTACCAAAAGCAGCACCAAGGGTAAGATGCGTCCAAGCAGTACTAAAAATGGACGGTAAGTGTGCCCGCACGACAACAGCCTGTCAGTCTCAATGCTGATTTTGTTTATTTTAGCAACTTGTGTGCCCAACGATGGCTCAAGACATTGAAGACAAACGGAACGACCGAGGAGTTTTGTGCTTACTATGGAGATCTCACGCCAGCTCAGCGAAAGGTACATTGCTGCTTTATTCCAGATGTGCATGCTTTAATTTCTTTGGTATGACAGGTGTATGATGACGAGTCAGCATCACTGGTAAGTAGTTGTATTGCCCAATAACTACTACAAGGTTTGGTCTAATCTACTGCAGGTTGCCAATAAGTCCTGGAACAAGACCGCTTACGATGGAACGATGTACTAGATCCCGATCATTTCAGCCCGACTCGTACTCCTCACACATGGGCTTCAAGTTGTCGCAGACTCCGACTCCTCGCATATGGACCCCTCTCGGATTCTTATTACTTCCTATTTCTTTCCTAATGCTGTTGCTTTCTAGCCATGTTTTCAGTGTATTTGCGACTGCTGCTTTCTATTGGTATCACATTTGTATTAATACCCAGTGCAATGCATATCATTTATCGTCCCATCCGAGCACATTCACAAGGCAGCTGGTGTGCGCACACAGTCATATATGGCACTATCCGAGCATATTGCGAGATAGACCATGCATATATTCAAATGTGATTAGAAAATGTTCGCGCGAAGAAAAACATAAATGAACATCTGTGAGTTTGCCCCGTCTTATTCAAAATGTGATATAAGTTTCACACTCTATATAACATGTGATGAGATCTGTTTTTATTTTTGACCACCGTAAAAATCACATCTCAACATCTCTGGACCTTTCCCATCAGAGCACGTTTTCACTGGGGTTCAATACTCATTCTTCCTTTTTAAACTACTGCCATGTTTATCGGATGGCATCTGCAGCTCTGCCTTGTACTGCAGCGATTCTCTTAGCCATAGTCATTGATGTATCATCATTCAACTTTAACACAGTCAATAGCTCATGAACTACCAACCGACGGACCATATCCTGAGCAACAACCTGATCTGACGACAAAGTACCCGCTTGGGAAGCTTCATTAACAAGAGATTGACCATCATGTACACCAGAGCGTCCCAATTCTGATACATAAAATTCAGCACCCAGCATCTGATAATAATAATAATAATAATAGAGAGACATACCAGGATTCTCCGTCGACGTCCACTGGCACAATGGCAGGCGCACATCAGGATGACTGTGCAAAATATCGCAACAAAACAGCGAACCAATCGCGTCCCAAGACAACTGTGGTTGGCAAAGTGTCACGAATAATAAACAGAAACTCAGTAGACAACTGCACATCGTCTGCGACCAAAGTCACGAGCGCCCGAAACACGCCATCTTGAGAACGATCAAGGGGCACAAATGACATAGCAACCAGAGAATGAGCTAGAAGAGTCATCCCGCACAACTGATATGTTTTGACCATCGAGCATAAACGACATGATGAGGACTGAGTAAATAAAAGACTCAATTTTGAGCGTCAGATACACATATGCGCCCCAAAAAAACGTGAGAAAAGAATACTTCATCGAACCAAGACGAGAAAATATTGCCGTTTATGTAAGATTGAATTTGCAAATGTGCAAAATCTGTGTTATTTTCCATCTGAACGGTCGACAAAAACCCAGCTACCTAAAGGTAGCGGGAATAATACATAGCTCGAACTAAAGAAACACCTCAGGCTCAGGTGTGTTTGCCAATGCCAATGTCCTGGTGACAGACACGTTCGTCAGGGAGTAACACGAATAATCCTAAAGCATATCTATTCCATTCTTCGGGAAATGATTCAGGCATGACGCGTGATGAGTTTTCGTTGCCACGGGCCACGGTGGCACGACCATGGAAGATCACCCCACCAGGACAGTCATATTTGTCCGAATCACTACGAAGGCATCGAAAAATGTGGAGAATGATGCTGCAACTGGCCCAATTTCTGAGCATGGAAGGAAGATCCTTGATCCCATTACAAAGACTGAATCGGACCAAGGTAGAGACAACGCATTCCGCATACTTTAAGTGAGTGCATCGTTTCCTTTCCCCTGAGCTCTATGATATCCTGTCGGGTGAAACGACTGATCTTAGGACATCAATTTTGTTCTCCATCCCCATACAACAAGCCAGTTTCACGACTTCAGAAGGCATTTCAGATTAGCTGTGCGGAGACCGGGAGAATTCACCAACAAAAGTATTTCATACCGGGTCGCAGATGTTGGTGACGTGGCCGAATTCCCGGTGACTATATCCATCACGGGCTACAGTCCTACAAATTGACAACACATAAACTACTTCACGGTTCCTTCCGACGACTCTCTTCCTCGTCAACAATGAACTCGACCTGCCCATTTTTCGTGATAGGCAAAACCGTGTGCCTCTCCCCGGTCAGAATCCCATTCTACTTTTCTCTGCGCCAAAGTATATTCGATGACATTCCAGACACCTACGTCGCACTTGGTGCGCCAGTGCTCGCTTTTTGGCTCATGTCTCTCATGTTCTACTGTCTTGATATCTCTGGCTGGCGATGGCTGGATAAATATCGCATTCACGAGTCCGAGGAAGTCAAGTCCAGAAACTTGGCGACGCCTTGGGAGGTCGCACGTGCTATTATATTCCAAAATGTGATGCAGATTCTGGTAGGTTTTGCCTGGTTGACAGAGCCGCCAGCGATCTCGGTTGCGCGGTGTCAGAGCGAGATGGAGGGCTTGGGAAGAACGCTGGTCTTTGTCGTGCCAGGTCTCTTTGGGGAGGAGACAGGGATGAAAATATTGGAGCAGTGGGGGCCTGGGATGACCCATTGGCTGTACTGGTGGGGAATCCCAGCTGCACAGATATTCCTCGCGATGTGAGTGTCATTTAAAATATGGCTTGAGCTCCCTCCAATGAGTCTCCCCAGGTTCACCGTCGATACCTGGCAATACTTCATACATCGCTTGATGCACACAAACCAATATCTCTACAGAAAGATCCACTCAGTGCACCATAAGCTTTATGTTCCTTATGCCTTAGGGGCATTATATAACCATCCCTTCGAATTCCTTTTGATGGACACGCTAGCCATAATCATTGCAGAGCAAGTCGCCCATCTTTCTATACGACAAGCCATTTTCTGCGTCGTGTACGGTACGTGCCAGGGTGTCGACGTTCACTGCGGATACAATTTCCCATTTGATCCCTTCCGACTGATCAGCGGAAATAACTCAGACTATCACGACATACATCATCAGGTATGCCCCTTTACTACCACTTGTCCTCGAAAGTAGTGTTTAGGAGGCGTACAGGCCGTCGGCATCAAGTCGAATTTCTCACAGCCTTACTTCATCCATTGGGACGTACTTCTTGGCACGCGCATGACCAGAGAAGACATTCAAAAACGTGGACAGAAAGTAAAGACGACGTGATGCATCAAACCCGATTATGGCATATAGAGATCTGAAGTTTGGTTTTCGCCTGTACGATCCTAGGTTCTCTCTCTCTTCCCTAGGTTTTGTGTGGCGGTTGCAGACCACTGACAGCGCTCGTGATTTATTCGTCCCTTATTCTTACCTTACAGTCTCCCGTTTTGACCCGCGCTGCACGCGACGTACTTATTGCACGTGCTACATTAAATAGAGAAAAGATGTAAAAGCTCTAGTGAATAGTTAGATAGAGACTGGCATTCTTGCAACCAAGCTATTACGTGACATTGCATGATCGTCTTGAGTCTTTTCCCGTGTGCATTCACAAACACTTCGAGCGGTCGTCACATTATGTCAGTTTTCGACAAATTATATCACATTCAGTTTGAGTCGATTTTCGAAACCGTTACTTAGAGCACTTATCAGCCACTATCGCGGCGAGTTATATTCAGCTTCAAGCTTCAGGCCCAGGCCTTATGAGGAATATGGTGAGCGCGGGAAAATACTGTCAATCTCATTCGAATCATTCCCAATTTCCCAGCCGTCAGAAGCTGTCAGAGGGCTTAGGTTAGCCCTGCTAATACAAGTTATGGGTAGAAGCCACGACATACTGTGGCGGGAACACATCTGGAGCCTGTTGAAGCAAACTCTACTTCCAACGTCTCACTTCCCGCTCGCAATTCAACCAAGAACACGCTGAAGCTTGCCCATTTCGCGATCGGGGGGCACGACACGACATACTACACACTCAGTACTCAGGTATTAGTAACACGAGCTTCAGTGTTCCAAATTCATCGATTTGCATTCAGCCTCCTCAACAACGAGAGGTAATTTTTCTGACCGAGATTTCGCATTGGACTAGACTGATTACCCCCGTAGGATGACGCTTTCTAATTCCCTAGATATCATCCCTAGAATGGGGTCTGGCGTCATTGAGCACTGTCATGCGACTCGCGCCCACGTCGACAAAGACATAGCTGCATTAGCCGAGTCCTTGCGTGGCTGTCGCTCTCGCAGGATCAGTCTCTCTTATATATCCTGGCTTCCACTCGAGATTCTCACTGCTGTCTTCACATACATCGTAGAAGAGGACACTTTCAAGAGTCCTACAGGCACACCCCGCCCTAATGGTGCTCCTGTTTCTATGATAATCACCCACGTCTGCAGGCACTGGCGCCAAGTCGCTCTCGAGTGTCCTACTCTTTGGGCATCTCTCAATTGCGTCTCTGCTAATTGTCTGGACATGATGTTGGAGAGATCGAAGAAAATTGCTTTGGTTGTTATCTACAGGTCGCCGGGCTCGTTGCGAAAATGTTTCCAGCAAATTCTTTCGCAGTTACCTCGCATCAAATTCCTCCAGTTGTGCTCATATCCATGGGATGTCAATCGCATTTTGGATTGCTTATCATCGCAACCCGCGCCGTTGCTTCAATCATTCAAATTCTCAGTCGCGGGGAAATCTAACTTCAGAGTCATGGGGTCCATATCAGATGCCGTTTTTCAAGGACGAGCCCCCCTACTTCGGAGCGTTGAGCTTATGGAATGTACCTTCAGCTGGACGTCGTGTATTTTTAGTGGGCTTCGAACTCTAGATGTGAGACGAATAGGATCTGCATCTTATCCTACTCTGTCGCAGCTCCTGTCAACTCTGAGACGTATGCCTGAGTTGGAGCAGCTGACACTTGGGCTGTCATCCAGAATTTCCGAGGACACCGAGCTTTCTGACCGAGTTCCACTCACTCGGTTAAAAAGTATAGCACTGGACGCCTGCACCCTCCGAAATGCTGTATCTCTCTTTTCATGTCTCGCCTTTCCCGTTGATGTCAAGATCGCTCTCAATCTAGCACCAATTGGAAGCTGCCTTTCCGACCTATTTTCGGCCATGCACAAGGATCCTGACGGATCAGGTCCTATCATTCGGTCGATGCGTGCCAATCTTTCGTACCATACATTCGGCGTCCAATTCGGCACATCAACGGCATTCAAATCCAAGTATTCTTGGGACCCTCATAACGATGATATACTACTTTCGATTCAATTCAAATGCAGTTCATCCACTAGAAAGCCCCCCATCATATTTGACATGTGTCAGATGGTCCCGCATCGCCAAATTCAAAGCTTGTTTGTGACATCCTCCCTTGTCCTCCGAGAAAACTTCTGGCGCGTAGGGTCCACTGACCTTCCGGAGCTCGAAAATATTCAGCTGAGTGGGACCTGCAATATGAGAAGCCTGATTGCTGTGCTACAAAGTGGAGGCACACAAAGTTCGGATATGGCATATCCCTCGCTTCATGCTCTGGAGTTCGAGAATATCGACTTTGGATGCGGTGAAGCTGAAGAACTTCAGGACATTGCCATAATGCGAGCCGGTCATGGTGTCGGTATACACGAACTCCGACTAGTGAAGTGCAGAAATCTGGTGGACGATAGAGTGCAGTTCCTCAAGGAAGTGGTTACAGACGTCGATTGGGACGGGCATGAAGAGGGCTTGGTGGGCGGCAGTGGCTCGGGAGGTGGCTGTCTTTGTCACATTTGCAGGGATGAATCTTCTGGGGAGGACTACATGCAGGCACTATTACATTCGGATTATGATTACGATCCTGATTCTGATGCATATTCGGAAGACTAGTTTCAGTTTGACTGTATCTGGGACAAGTTATGATCTTGGTCGAATATACACTACTTAGCTCATTTAGCTGCATCACAAATCTCATCTTCTTTCGGACGAAATCTGTTGATAGAAACCTGTGTTTACTTGTATCTCTTTCTTCTATGCACCATCCAATCTTTTAGCTGTACATAGCTCACTGGCAAATTGCAGAAAAAATCATACTGTCAGGTCACCTTGCGGAACGGCATGATGTCAGAGAAAGATCTAAGGATTTAGTCAGGAGACATAAGTAGTCAAAGATTAACAGACCAGAATGATATGCGCAGACGAAACAGCCGGACGCCTTTAGGGCCGGAGTTAATGGATTTCTCTGCCAAAAATTGATTTTTTCGACGATAAAAACCCAGCCGTAGTATCGGGAACTTCATTATACTTGGTCACAATCACGTGACGAATCACGTCGCGTGCAGCTGTCACACTGACTTCGACTTGCTTTGACCTTGTCTCTTAAAGTTATCACTGAATCCAATCCAATTTCTCTGCATGGACCTTGATGAAGTCGTGGACACATCCGACGTTGAAGAACGTGAATTTGATGCCTCAGAGGTAGATTATTACACCCATCTCTCCTCCAAGAAGACGCGACCGAATTCAGGACCTACCACCGAGTTGCATGGAAGGTTTAATGATAGACAAGATCAACCCTCCCCACGGAAACGTGCCAAGGTAGACTTGAAATTCTGATATTAATCTTACTGCGGTGCTCATTACTTCTCAAGACAACTCATGGCGAACCTGAATCGCAGCTGATTGTCGATGTCAGTTCGTCGTCCCACGCATCGCCTGTGAAAACCACCACATCTTTTGTACTGCATACAAGTACACTACACTCGCCAATGCAGGTTGCATTCAACCATATTCCCAAACTATTCCTTCCAGCTGCCGATGCACCCGAAAAGTCATTGCGCAACGAGGCTCGTCACCCACATATTCACGAGCCGAGTTTCAACGACCTAGATATCCCTCCCCCACTTCTTCCAGCTGAATCTGGAAACCTGACCAATCATCCCATCGCTTCAGCCGACGTGCGGCCACAGGCTGATCCCCAGTTGCCGCTTCCTGATTCCTCTCAACCTCAGCTAGATGACGCCCTTTTCCCGTCATCGCCCGCGGCGTTCCCCTCTCAATCTCTAGATTTTTCTCAGAGCCTAGCACATCTTGCTCTATCTCAACACGAGGGACTAAGTTTGAGTCCATCCCCTTCCATGTCGCGCCCAGCAGACTCGTGGTCGTTGTTTTCTTCCCCAGAGCCTTCGACGCAATCGTCCCAGGGGATTACTCCCCAGAGTATCGGAAAACCTACCCATATGACCCGAGATACGCCACCGCTCACTGCGTATCCCTCTGGTCGTCGATCTCCATCCCCTGACGAGCTGCTTCTCATCTCTCCTGAAACCCGCTCGAGACGCCTGTTGACCCCAATCACCCCAATAGCTCAAGACGCCCCATCCCCGGCTGTAGAATCACAGGATCTATTACCACTCCCGTCTCCTCCACATCTCGTTATCCCTGATGACCCAGAACCAGTCAGCCGTTATTCTCTTCGCCGCAGGCAGGCACGTCAGCTTCAACCGTACGCGTTTGACAAGGCGCAGTACAAGGCGCAGATGAAGGCAAACCCCGATGCGATCGTGAAGTTTGTGAGTCCGCAACATCGCGAGATGCATGGAGAAGATGGGTCACAGTGGGCCGATGGGCAGACGCAAGGTGGAACCCAGGCAGAGTATATTTTCCCGGTTGACAATCCGGAAGAGGACCGAGATTATGTGGATGTGGAAGGAAGGAGGCGAAAGAGGCGGGTCACCATTGCTGAAGCTGATCATCATAACCGTGAACAGGAGGAAGGATGGCTCCCTGAGGCTCTAAGAGATCTGTCTGAAAGCGACGAGATTGAGGGAACAGATGAAGTTCGCAAGTTAGCGAGGGATGCGAGGAGAGCTCGGAAGAAGGCTGAGGCTGAGGCAAAGAAGAGGGAGAAGGAAGAAGCTCGCCTGAGAGCGCAGGAAGAGAAAGAAATTGCGAAGAAGAGACGTTTCAAGAATTTCCCACTGGTAGCATCATCGTCAAAGCAGCCTGCTGCGAGATCATCTTCAGTATCCTCGAGACGGTCTCCATCTCACTTAGGCGAGGTGAGATTTGTTTGGAAACACTTGTTATATACTGACGTACTGGATATCTTCCTTTTTTTAGCTGTCTCCGCCAGTCCTATCCAGGCTTTTGAAGGGAAAGCAACATGTCACACTGTCTCCTTCCCGCTCGCCCTCACCCTCGCGTTCCCTTCGTTTTGATCCTTCACAGCTTCAGTCCCGTTCGTTGGCAAGGAATCCCCCTGCGACCGACGAATACGAGTATCAACAAGATGATGACTACGACTACTATAATTTCTTCGACCACAACGACCATAACTTGGAGAATGTCAACCCTGATACCGACAACGATGCAATTGAAATTCCTTCGGCACCGTCAACACCACCACGCTCCTCGTCTACATTGCCTGATGGGAGCAATCACTTGGATTTGTCCGATGATGATCCGCTCGCCCGTGAGCCTCGCGAGGAGTTCAGCAGTCCTCCCCAAATTTCTTCTAAAGATCGCAAACGTTTCCGCCTCTTGCAGCGTATGATGCCCGCTGTCATGATCAAGAAGCAGCTCGAGCAGCAAAGTTCCCAAGTGAAAAGTCTTGCCAGTGCGAAAAGAGCGCGTTCTCCAACGCCGTCTGATAGTGGCGACGAGCCCTTGAGACCTGGACATGCACGCGTCCGAATGGGTGCTGGTGGACGTGATGTTGTAATTCAGGGAGACCCTGAGAGCTCGGATGTCGAAATTCCTCGAGAAGAGGACATGGAGGCTGAGGTACCAGACATCGTATCACAAGTTCGTCGGCGGGCATCACCCAAAGTCAGATCAAGGTCTCCGGCCATTAGCATCTCTTCCAGTTCTGAGAGTGGATCCGAGAGTGATGGCGAGGAAAGTGACGGTATGATCGACGACGCACGGATCGACGCATGGAGCCGAAGTCGCCGGCCTATGCACGAGAAGAGTCTGATTGACTGGATGCTTACGCGGACCAGGACGGTGGGTGGTGGGAGAAAGCAGAGGGCCAAGTCAAGTCAGGAGACCCCGAGGTTCTGGTGCAAAATCCCGAGACATGGGTGAAAGCAGAGGTGGACACTCAAGGCCAAAGCTCAATATTGTAACAGGTGGCGCGCGAATGGGGAATCAGACCCTTCTCTCCTTCCCCGCTGTTTCTTCTGACCATGACCACCGCTCTCAGCATTCACATCATCACAAGGTCCACAAGCGGACAGAATCGACAATACCAGCGGAGCGCGAGTCCAAGGCACTACGAAGGGAACGGAGGAAGAAGAAGCGCAAGAAAGCGGAGGGAGAGCTCTACAGCTTCCACCAATCTGGCACGCATATTGCGCGAAGGGGTTTGCGAATTGATCTGGGTGATGAAGGATTCCATCAGGCGCTGGACCCGACTTGGAGGAAGGAGATAGATAGGTGGCAAAGGCAACCTGGATTAATGCGGCAGCCTGCGTCTGCGATTTCATCCCGAGTTCGTCGAGAAGATACTCAATCTAAGCGCCAGAAAATTCCGGTCTCGCGTGTTGATTCTAAACCTTCAATCTAGTGTCGAGTCCAGTCAGGATGAACACCAGAGAAAATCGCATGCTGAGTCAGGTCCTCCACCCTTCCGCGTCGGTCCGCGTCGTAGCCACGTTGACTTTGATATACCACTAGATCCGCCACGCGAACGACCACCACCTGTGCGTAGGAAGGGTTATAACGACGTCCACGAGTTTATGCATGCTGCAGATCAACGGGCGTTGTTGACCACAGTCGACTTGGGCATCGACTCTTTGCCCTCAGGGATTGCGTTCTCAGCCGGAACGTATATTGGCCGCGGGTTTCTTCACCAGCTGATATGCCTCGTTACAGGGCATGCTCAGCCTGTTGCTCCTATGTCATATGTTATTCGAGGGTTCGACCTTGGACCTGACACATCGGTGCATGTTCTTACGACTGTAATTGCACCCTTGTGTGATCAGCTCGCGGATGACGTGCTCAAAGGACACGAGTGGACGGCTGTGACTGGGAAGGACTGGGAACTCGCAATGCGAACGGTGTGCCAGTTGGTATCGTGGCAGTGTCTCAGCATCGACGACCAGGACTTCAGTTCGCTGGAGCTCACGGTACACGAGACTATGGGTTCTTTAGTGGCGCGGGTGTTGGAGGCTAATTTTCATCAATTTTCATTACCTGTTTGCTGGTTTGCAGTAGAGCTCGCTGCCCGGATCATGCACGCTGCAAGGACTCGGCGGGGGTCATCAGAGACCCGAGAGTTGTTCAAATTTGCGCTCTTGCTCATGCGGCCCCTGTCAGATGTAGACCTCCGGGAAATTTTAGCATCGTTTAGGGAACCCGATGGCCCCCTAGAGACCAACTCAACTGCCGTTCAAGCTGTAGAGTCATGGATATGCCTCTTTCACCTCTTGATCAACTGCACGCCTGAGTCTCCTGGTAAACTATCATCGGAGCCATTTTGGCTTTTGTTCAAACAGTTGATCCAAGACGAAGCATCATCGTTCATCACTGCAGTTGAGGCGAGCGAGTACGTTTGGCGGAATGTATTCTCTTTTTGTGCGCTCTCACAGTTCTCTGTGCACGGGATGTCGACATCCCTCAGTAGAATCGCACCTTCATGGGAAACGGTTTTGGCTACTCTGAAGCTCATCTCCCTAGTTGCCGATCCACAGAAGGATGCACTCACACATACTGCATCCCTCAACAAACGAGACGAGTACGTCTCCGTCGTCGCTTCTCGATGCTTCTCTTGTGGAAGCGTTGGCATTGGAATTTGGATGATGCAATGATAATGTTCAACCACCTCGTGGAAATATTCAGGAGCCGTAGATTTGCCAGTCTCCGCCACGAGCAGCCTAAATTTATGCAATTCATGGTGCAAAGGGATATTTCTTTGCTTTCAGTACAAGACAGGGGCGACAACGTATTCGAGGTGCTCCTCAAGATGATCGTACAAGTTGCGCAGGCGGACAGCACGAGTGACACGGAGAGAAAACAACGGGACATACAGGTGAAGAAAATGCTGAACATGGTCGTCCCAGTTGGCTCGGTGTCATCGACTAGGGCCGTTCAGCCGACTGGGCAGGAGAGTTCTATGCTTTTCAACCGACTCAATGCTATGGCAGTCGCGATTCATCTTGATCCCTCCATCTCCAACGTTCGACACCGCGTTGGGCAAGCTCGTCGATGCGTCAACTTCAAAGATGCACACGATTTCACCAGGGCTGTATGCATTCGAGGCATTGAGCATATTTGCGCTGTTATGCGACATCACCGCGTACAGCTTGGAGAAATTCTCAACTGGCTTGCCGAGGTTACCGGCATCCTACTGGACGAATACCAGGAGGCGCGCACGCTAACGAATAAAGACAACAAGAATATCGTGAAGAACAAGACAGTGGAGATGGTCAAGAGTCTTCTCACATCGGTTGTTCGTATGATTGAGACATGCTCACTGGACACTACGGATGAGCGACACGAGTATCCAGATCCTGCCTTTCTGGAGGGACGTAAGTGATTGACTAAAGCCAACGAGATATTTCCTGACTTTCCCTTCCTCATCAGCATGGGTAAAGGACGTCTTCAGTCCCAAAAATCCTATTGCCATAGAGCAAAATTCGAGTGCTTCGTGCCAAGAGGTGGTGTCAGCTTTTCTGGATGCTCGAATGAGGGCCTTACCCCGGCCCACCGCACCACCAATATCATTGAGTGTTGATAATCAGGAGAGCCAGGATGAGTACGACAAGTTCTTCATCGACTTGAACGATCCAGAAATCTTAGCTGCTCTTGGTGACGAGCCTGCACAAACTTCTGGAATGGAGTGGAAAAGGAAGGAAGAAGCAGTTTGCAAGGTCGTTCTTGTTGTTCCTCCTATATTTTTTCCTGACAGTTTTTAGATCTGTGCACCGCTTGCTTCAGCGATATTCCGGGTTGTTTGCAGATATGTAGTCGACTCCCCCGCACCAAGCACAGTCGATAGTCGCCGTGAGACAGCTGATAGATGGATTGATTGTTGGGTAGGAGTCGGTAATGTGCTGGTTCAGAATGGATCGGTTTGTTTCGATACCTGTTTCGACTGCTGCTATTCAGCTCTTCCTTTTCAGAGTTGGAAAAACCACATGCACCTTGGACCTGAATCATGGGAGCGGATACCTGATCCCCTATGGCGTCGCCGGGTTGGTCTTAGATTCTGCCTTGCACTTCTCAGACTTGATTCGAAGGCTTACAATGTAAGTCCAATTTTTGTTTCTCGTAGAAAAATACTCATCGCTTGAAGGCATATGAGGACTACTTTATCGAAGTCCTCCTCACATGTACTGTTCCCTCCAAGACGACAATCGAACACGAGTATGCATCCATCGTATTCACTCTAGACGGTCTTCAACACCCACTTCTACGTGGCGTGCTGGCCGAGCCGTCTACAGGATCATCTACATTCGAGATATCGCTAGAAGAATATTCGACAGTCCGGCAGACGCTGATTGAATGTGAGAATTCGTTCATCAGGGTCAAATACACCGCTCATCGTCAACTAGCGGTATTTGCCAATCTCACTGAGCGTTTGCGAGATAATACAGATCCCGTCAACCACAAGTATCTTGGCTTCTTGGTTTCTATGCTCTCAGCTATGAGAAACAACTATGAAGTTCGTGCAATTGCCCTGATGTCTGATCATGGAGCTAATGACTTGCACACCAGAGCCTGTTATCTGGGGAGGAACGAGTAACTTATGCCGAGTTTTGTCGAAAGGTCTTTCGAGCGCTGTTGAGCAAGAAGCCACTGGCATCCCAGCCACGGTTGTCAGAGCTCATTCAATGGGGGAAAACAACATTGGCGAGAGCAGGTGATGATGACGGTGATCAGCCTATCGAGAACTGATTCATGTGTCTCATCGATAATCAAGATCGTTCACGAATCTTGAATGTGGCTGCTCGTACCGCAGTGGAATATATATATGTAAAACAGCTGAGGACCCAGGTCCCCAATGGCTACCAATTGGCCAATGCGGACCTTGTGAGTGGTACACTCTCCATTTCTCGCTCGATTTCCACTTCCACCCTCGGGCCTCCTGTAAAGAGTAATGATAAGTCACTGGATGTCGAATTCAGAAACAACGAACTTCTCCCTGGCTTGTCCAATTTCTTTCTTGGGGGTGCCCTTGCTGTTGTTGGCTTGGTTTTCCGCTTTCCAAGGACGGTTTTGGATGGTGGTTCATCTTCTGGTGAGCTGTCGTCGTCTGACTGGTCATCCCCACTCTCCTCTGCGCCCAATCCTCCGTCTACCACATCTTCCAAATCGCTCAGTTCATCATCCAAATCGCCATCTTCATCTCCACTGAAATCACTAACAAACTCGTCCCCTTCGGCGTCCCAGTCCTCCTCCATCTCCTCCTCCTCTTCCTCCTCCCCATCCGTCTCATCATCTTCCATATCCAACTGAGCACCAACATTCAATTCCTTCTCCTTTCCACTCTTTTCCCGGTCGAGGATTGTTTGCCAGACACTTTCGTTCACGTTGAGTGGCGCATCGCCGTATGCTTTTGATTTGAGCCGCTCGATCAGCTCCTTTTCGATGGATTTTTCAAGGTGGGCAGCAGAGAGAGCCTTGCGTTCCCGTGTCGCTTCGCGTCTATCTAACTTCTTTTTCACGCCCACGAGCTTTGGCCTGAATAAGTGTAAATGAGTAGTAACAAGTCACACAAGTTGAAGACGCACTCCTGCCGTAGTTTTATTCGACGCATTTTGATAAGATACTGGGTTATCTTCGTGACACGCTGTTTGCATTTGTGAATAGTGAAGTTTGGCCAATACTTTAGCTCTTTATCGATCTGGATGACGGAAGCAAAGCACGTCAATCGAAAGTAGCTTGAGTCTGGAGCCAATTCACCTGTTCTAGTGCCTTGGAATAGTCTTTTGACAACTCAATCTTCTCCCACATATTAGCAGGTGTATGTGCCCGCTCGATCGTTTTTATACATAGATACAGCACACCTAGGTGGACATCAATCATGACATATGACATTGAATCAAGTACACTTGCCTTCATTCTCCCTCACCGTCGCATACCGCGAGTTCGCAAGTGGACATGACTGCCGTGTACACAGACCCGTGACATTGTATTCATTCCGGCAGAAATTCTGAGTGACAGTCCTGTAGCATGTATGATATGTGAGGTTATGCAGGGTACATCATGGCGGTGGACGTACTTGACTTTATACGAGCAGAATTCATGGCCAATCACAGACCATATCACGTCGTCACTTTGCATTTTTGGATACGTTCAGGCTCTGAAACGTGGCCAGATGCAGAGGATGTTCACGAGGCAGAATTTTCGGGTTGCAGATTCCAGATTCCTTCAAAAGTGGGCGATCGAAAATTATCAATGATCACGTGATCAGTGTTGAACGCGTTTGAATTGATTGAAGTCTTTGAGATTCACGTTAGAAGCTTAGTGTTTGGGTCGCAAAATTTTGAATTTCTACTACAACGGACAAAGACCTAAGCTGTAAGAATACGATAGAGCTATCTGGGCGAAAGCGCGCAGTGCTTCCCGGTCCCAATCTGCATGCCTGTAAGAGACGAGTGAGCTGCGAATCCCACACTAGTAGGAGTCCAGCGACGCATAGAGCGAAACTCATATTCCCAAGGTAGTAGGAGCGGATGAACTAGGTGCTTACTTTGACGAAAGCCTTAGCGGATGCGTGGCATTGTGTATCGCAGATACTCATCATGAAGTGCAGGGGTGGCTTGCAGGTATGGTGCGAGGATCTGTGTGTGTTTTCGAAGGTAGAGTTGAAAGGCGTCGCTAGCCCAGCGTCCCATGGTTTTGACTACGTCGAATGGGATGTTGCGAAGAAGATATTCCAATGTAGCGCCTATTCTGATTCCATGACCCTGCAGAGGGACAAGGCCTGCATCTGTCGCGGCTTGTGCGAGGCACGCGATGAATTTTGACTTTGTGAGGACGCGATGGCCTTTCCCATGCTTGTAGGAAAAGAGGGCTATATTTCTGGTAGGGTCGTTAATGTGGTAATGATTCTCTAGAGCTGCTACGGGGTTGGAGACACCATGCTGGTGTGCGCATGAAATGTCTTCACCTGTGGGGGAAGATTTTGTGCGCGGTAAGTGGAACACGGTCGTTTGCAAACCGTTTTGGTCTGTTTCGTGTTGGACGTCTGAGCAGGTGATGTGCAAGGATGGGTCAAACCCGTTAATGCTGGGCACTGTAAATTCACCTGCTCGAGCCATGGTGTAGAAGGTGACAGCGAGGCATGCGCGTACTGCAGCGGTGAGTGGATTGTCGGCGTCAAGTTTTCCCAGGAGCACTTCGACGAAGCTGATTGTGTATGGTTGTCGTTTCTTCTTCTTGGAAGTGGCGGGGGTAAGGTTGTTCGCCGCTTTGAGCAGCGTGACAATTTGGTCATCGTCGATGGTCCAGGGTTGACTGTGCAAGATATGCCATGCGCGCACACCATGTACATAGTTGGATACCGTTTTTCCAGAATATAGACCCGCCATGGTGGCAATGAATGAGGCGATGAGGTCGGAAGATGCTGGGGACCGTTGTGCTTCTGCAATCGACTTCGTGTCGCAGAATACGTGAAAGGCGAGGATTCCGCTGCCGTACAGTTCTTGAGTGCTGCGGGCCCAAGCGTGTATCATTACATTTTGTATGCGCTGGACGTCGAGATTCGGGTGCGTCAGCAGTGAGTTAGAGCTTGTCGGGGACCAGAGACGTAGACGGTCTCTGGCTGCGCAATGTGGGCGTAATGGGGATGGGAGCAGAGCGGGGTTAGCAGGATAGGCTGTAGGGGAAGAAGCCTTCAACGGCTGTTTGATAGTTTTCGTGGGTGGCAAAGACTTACTATGTTTGTGACGCTTCGAAGAGAGCCTCCCCCTCGCGTCTGAGGACGTCGTTGAGGTTGTGGGAATGATGGTTGACATCGCAGCGAGGCTGAGTGGGTGTGGCAGTTCGGCGCCGCGTCATTTCAGCGAGACGTTCAGCAGGGAGAGTGGGAGCGTCAAAGTCAATGAGGAACTCTTGGATTTCTGCGGGAATGTGCACTGGAGGGAGAAGGAGGTTGGCTGGTGGGTATTTCCCCCTTGAAGGCTCGTCTGCGGGGTTGTGCGCGCTGGGAACGTAACGAGTGAGGAAGGTGCAGTTGGTTGTGGCTGACAGCTTATGGATGCGTTTGAATACTTCATTGGTGGCGCGGTTCCGGCTGCGGCCCTTCCACCATCCTTCAACGACGCCACAGTTATCCCCGTAAATCTTGAGGCATGAGTTTTCTGGGCAGTTAGCAGCGAGCATGCAAGCAAGGAGTTCCATTCCGACTGCTTTGGCCCAGCCAATGTCTCGATTGTCTCTGTCCCACCCTGGAATAAGGCGCCAAGCTCGCCACCAGCCCTTGATCCAGATCGCAATGCCAACGCCCGAGCTAGCATCTGAGTAAGCTTCAGGTTCGATGACGTCGACGTGTCCTGGGATGGTGTGGGAGACGTTGGGTTGTGTGAGAGTGCTTTTCCACCAGTGGAGGTCGTTTGGAGTGTCTTTTTGGGGGGGTGCAAGGCATGTGAGGACGGTTACTACAGATGGATAGCATGGCTTCGAGGGAAACCAGGTATGCTCTCCCGGCAGGGAGAACGAAAGACACATGAAGGAGTTTTCCGTGGAGCTGTTGCGTTTCATGCAGGGTGTGTGCGGGTTGCTTCTCCCACTCATGGATGGCCTCCAGGTATTTCTCCTTCTTCTGTTCTGGGATGGAGACCCTGCGGGTCTCCAGATCCCATAGGAACCCGATGAATGGGGCGCATGTGGAGAAGAGTATGTCCTTGGCGAGTTCCCACAGGATGCCCAGAAAGCGAGAGAGTCTGTTAATATCGTCGAAGCAGTAGGTGAAGCGTGCGTCTTCTGGGGAGCGGGGAGAAGCAGAAGAAAGGTCAATGATTGGAAAGGTGAAGTCTTTGTTGAACTCCTCAATTCGGTCGTCGGGCATTGAGGATCCTCGATACCAGCGATGACCTCCCTCCACAAGACGACCGCCATTCTTGGTGACGATGAGTGCTCTTGCTGCCCGCAGCTGGTTGTATTCGTTGAGGTATTTGTGCAGGATGCGGATGAAGAAGTGGTCGTCGACCCATTTGGACACAGGGCCGATGCCTTGTGAGCGCATGACGTCGGTGCCTGCATCTGCCATTTCTCTGTATGATCCTGCGGCTGATGAACAACCGAAGCAGAAGCTCGTGTCGATGGCGAAGCTGTTGGTGTCTGTGCGAACCACCAATCCCGGCCATTGGGAAGGGTGTAAAGGTACGGTTCGGTAAGCTTCGGCCACGTCTCGGACGGCTGCTTGGGATCCTGGTGGAAGGTGCCAGATGAGGGTGCAAATGGTAGCGGCGGTGCCCCACGTGCAAGGGTAGAGGTTGGAATCGATGGATGAGTTGATGGATGAGATTGGGGGGGAAGGTGATGAAGGAAAGGATAGGTTTTGGACAATGCGGAATCTCCCTGGTTTACCTGGCTTGGGTATGATGGACAAGGGAGCCGTTTGGAAAGGACCAATGAGGGTTTCCGTCTTAGTTCTGGTGAGTGGGCCCATATATCTGCCGGTGGCATATTCACGTTCAATAATTGCAGTAAAAGCATCACGATGTTCAAGAATGGATGGATTATTAGCTGGGGTGTAAGTAGAGGTGATGGGGCGTATACTACCGGTGAAACCCATGCGCAGACTATTAGGTATATGTTTGTATCTATGTATAAGTTTGGAACTCGTGAGAATGTGGTGCCAGGCTTCTGCATGGTATGGGGTGAGGGCGTTAGAGTGTCTCGCTGAGAGAACATCCTTGAGCGCCATGTTCTTTGCTTCCACACCCTGAGCACTCATGTACGTGGGAATGGGAGGTGTTGATGCAGCCATTGGGTCTTTGCCAGTCGTAGCATAGCTCGCGTCCTTCGGGGTTGACCAGGTGCCCTGCTGAATTGCGGGTGCAGCGGGTTTTGGTGTGTCCATCCCACAAGAGCTCGGTGACGCACTTGTGGATGTTGTGATGGAAACAGCCCAAGCAAAGGGCACAGGCGGAGGAGCCAGTTTTGCCTGTGCCCACTGGAAAAAGCTGGTTGGCGTTGGGTTGTTTCCCTTGCTGGTTTCCCGAGGGACGGTGGTATGGGTGGAAGCATTCTTCAGACTGAGTGACCCCCACAGGTTCTTGTTTCCCGCGAGATGGGGCATTTTCCCGAGTTCGTCCTTTCGACTGTGAAGATGAGAGGGCGACGGAGTTCTGGAGCTGGGTTGAGAAGGTAGGGTAATGCAGCGAGTAGTTTGGTAGCGTGGGTGCGGGAAGTGGTTGAGCGGAGTTCATCCAAGTGTTGGTAGCAGGTGAGGGAAGCGAATTGTGGGTGGAGTTAGAACGTTGTGCGGGAAGCAGGTGGTGGGAGGTGGGAAGCGGGAAGCATGGGTGCAGCCGTGGTCGAGGCAGGTTTGGTAGCATGGGTTGGTAGCAGGTTGGAGGTGAAGAGGGGAGCATGTAGCGGGAAGCAGACAGCAAAGGGAGCATGAGCGAGTTGGGGAAAGCATATTCGAATGTTGTGTAAGTAGGTAGTGAGTTCGCGAGAGGGTGAAGTGAATCAAGTGTGTTAGGGTTGGTCAATGTTTGTATGGGGGAAGATGCATACCATTTTCATCCCTTCATCTCGTTCTTCTTCCCAGACGTCATCTGACAGGCTGTTATATAGCGCATTGTTAAATAATCCGATGTTGAAACCTTGATTTAGGGTAAGACGGTCGTGCCAATCTCTGCGAACCATGCTTGCGTAGCGGAGAAGAGTATTTTCCCCCCGTGGGCGCATTCTGTGTTCGTGGTTTGTGATGAGCGTGAAGAAAAGTGCAAGCACCATCTGGTGCTTGTCGGGCCAACCGGTGAAGGTTCAATGATACAGCGAGGCACGAACAATGCTCCTGACTGTATCTATAATTGTTGTAAGGTCGTGCGTTGCCTAGTCTGCTATACTTGAGACGACAAGTGCGTTTGACCCTAAAGGGGAAGCGAGTGCAGCAAGGATCTAGAGGTATGCGCTGAAAGCGCTACTGGTTGGCCAATGCGAAGCGCGGGAAAGCGCAGGTGCGCGCGAGGCGCGAGAATGCGCGAAGTGCGGGAATGCGCGCGCGTGTATGCGGAAACAAGAGAGAGTAAGAGTGAGTTTGCTTAAGTGATGATATGATGTAAGACAAGAGAAGAGAGATGCGAGGTGTAAACAAATAGATTTCTACTATGTTCTGCTAGGTAAATAGTGGGTAGTAACCAGTAAGTCCTCTGTCGTTCTGGTGGGAGAGTAAGTGAGTAAGTCATAGTATGTACTGCTGGCGCTTAAGTATGGCGCCTAAGCGCTGTCATGCGGAGCCGAAGCGCTACCGAGTAAGGTATGTAAGTATATATGTAAGTAAGGGTCCATGATAAAAATAAAGATGGAACGATATGCAAATGTGAGAAATGGAAATATACGCACTAGGGAACTTGGTGGACAGTGGATGGATGCTTCCGGATGGCTGGCGCTATAGGGCGCTCAAGCGCGGGAAAGCGCGCGCGCATATACATCGTAAAGCGCGGGAAAGGTACGCGCGGGAAAGCTGCGCCTCATATAGAGATAGCTGCGGGTAGCACACAGAGTGATGCTACAAGTTCGTGCCATGTACTCCCCAGTGAAAACTGCCATATTGCACAATGAAAGGCATGAGTCTCTACACTGGCCTTCTTGATATGGACAAGGAAGCTGGTTTTGGCCATGTCGAACTGCCTCCAGGAAAGATCGTGATCCTGTAAGGCTTTGTTAGAGGCTTTGAAGGAAGAAAAGGATTTCAAGGCAACGATGCCATCGATCTTTTCGAGACCTAGAGTGTCGTCCGCGGAGGACTTGTTCCAGTCTCGAGCCTCACGACAGCCGTCAGGGCTGAAGTACCAGAGTTCAACGAACTCCATGTTCTTGACCTTTTGGAGCGCGAATTGCGAGGGATGCGGGATGATGACATCTGATACCGGTAGGTCGACGTTAAAGTCGTTGATCTTCGGTTTCTTTTTCTCGGTTTCGCGACGTTCTTCTGCTTCTGCGGCTTCTCTTTCTTCGCGCTCGCGATCTGCGGCTTCTTGGATGGCGTGTGCGTCTTTGTCGAGCTGTTGCTGCCAGAGGACGATGCGTTCTTGGCATTCTTGGGTCCAACCATTGACGAGCTGGGCGAGGGCGGCTTCTGCGGTCAGTCCTGAGCCTATGAGGGCGGCAGTACATGCTGCAAAAGCAGGTGATTCGAAGTTCGGCTGAACTTCGAGCGACGGATCAGAGTTTATGCGAGGTACGATTACTTCCACCATGGTAGAACGACGGTGCCGGGCGTGGGTTTCGATATTAAAATGAGAAAGGATGAAAGAATTGTGGGTGTTGGTTTACTTGTAGGTACTTGTGTGAAAGAAAGAAAACAAAGGAGGATGGAGAGAACATCGACAACGACTACTAGGGAATGACAGTCACGGTACGAGAAGAAGAGTTTGTGCCGCTTCTGTTGTTCTCACAAAGACTAAACTCTGTTCCTTCGCTCGTGCCTCGTTACGTAACAGAGCCGCAACCAGCCCTCATCGCCACAGCACTCAATCAACACTCATCAGAAGCTCTTACTCTAGTTGCTGAACAGATGGTAGAAGATGCAAATGATCATATAGTTCCGTGAGTGTCTGTCTTGGGTCGTGACTCGCAGTGACGGGCTAGTAATGACCCAACGCAAACGATAGACAATTGAAACTATCCGAGTCTGCATCTTCCATTGCCATGACTTCTTAACTTTCAGCACCCTTCATATCATCACCGCCATACGATTCCACATTCATGCCATTCAGTCCAAGATCTTCATTCTGCTGCCACATTCGTTCGTATGAGACGATTTCCATTTCTGGATCTGGATCAGGTGCATATAAATTCTGTACGTGTGAGTTTGCCAAGGGGTCATCTAGAATCAAGGTAAATGGAATATCAGCATTCTTGACCTAATTGCAGAATCAGAATCATATGATGTTAAAAAGAGAAGAAAACACACCTGCTCAAGCTTTCTCAAGAACTCCCGGAACTCGGCCCTGTCATCGATATCTATGACCCCAGAATCCCCTGTATTAAAGACTTTCTCAGTGAGTTCATCGTATACCTGATCTAATATGCCTTCTAAAGTCGTGAAACGTCCCCCTAGTGTGCCAGGGTGAAGAACTAGGTCTATCTCTGGTATGCTAAGACCGCTCGTATTGCTCTACAGGACATTATTGAGTCAAAGGATCTCAAAATATAGTGTATGCACTTACTTTAAGTATGTCGCGACTAAGGTCGTCTTTATCTTCAACCTTCAACGTGATCTTCTTGCCCTGCTCAGAAATTGCAGTCCCTGACTTGATCTCATTATCCCGATATCCGCAGTCGTCACAATTAGTTGACATTATAAGAGAGTCCTGGCGGGGTTGTCAGGAATGCAGATTCAGTGTTCCCTCGGTACACACCTTGAAATAGGGGATAGAAACTTTTTTCATGCGGGTGATGAGTGGTCGTCCGCAATGCGGGCAGATTCCAGGGAATTCGAACAATTCCTCATTCAAACCCTCAGATTCCTGTCTTCCCTTGTCTGCTGTATTTTCTTCCGAGTCTTCTGCAGATGGTACCAATCGCAGCTGCTGGTTCTGCTCGAGCGACCGCTCGTATGTGCGCATGTTCCACTTCAGATCGGACATGCTGCCCACAAACTCAAGGAATGAATTCCCAGATGGGTCATCTAGAGTGATGGAGATTGCATGTGTGACTGGATCCTCGTTCGAAAGTTCTCTCTTCTCATGCGTGTCCTTCCCTTCGTCTCCATCTTCGTCATCAGTAATGATCTCCTTGAGACCATCAACGATTTCCTGAATTTTAGCGCAGGCGTTCTTATTTTGAATGTGTGGCTGCTGTACGCTGATATCTGCAACGGTATTCCGGAGAAGACCCTCGACAGTTGTAAGCTGCCCGCAGGGGGGCGGAAGAACCAGCTGAAACTCGGGAATATTGATACTACATGTTTCGGAACAAATGAGTTGGCGGTCAAGGTCACCGCGGTTAAGAACTTTTACTGTGTACATAACGCCTGCAGCTGCCTCGGAGATACAATGTTAGGAGGTGGAAGTAAAGAGATGAAATGAGTGCTCACATCTGATCTTCCCTGCTGGTTGGATCTCATTGTTTGAGTGGCCGCAATGTTCGCAACAGAAACTCATCACAATTACTTCCTGGAAGAACGGGATTGATATGAGCATCATGCACGTCACTCCCTGACGGAAGTGAGTATTCTACCAGTCATAGGAATGTTGTGAACCCACCTGCTTCCTACATTGCATGCAAAGAGACTCGATCTCTTCGAGTGGTCTAGCGGAGATATCCCCATCTCCGGCATGAGTTCTACCAGCAATGTCTGCAATCCGAGGAAAAAATTCGGATCTTTCTTCACTTTGAGTCATGCTAAAAGGTTAGACAGAGAAAAGGGAAGGAGGTTCCAATCAAGTTCCATGTAGTTTCCCCTAAACTCGAAGGCTCCTAAGAAATGAGTACTACAGTACATATCCCAATAATGCATATCCCAGTAATGCATATCCTTGATAATGCATCGACTTTGGCAGGGTCCCATCGTGGGCGCAGCCATTATGCACTAAAAACTTTATACTGAATAATGCATGAACTTTTGAGGGTATTATGCATTGTCTGGGTACTATTAATGGGGGCTGCATTGTTCTATGTGTGAATATAAGCAGCAAAATATGCTAGATAAGATATCACAAAAGTCTTTACAATGTCTCAATCCAAGCAAAGTTGACAATAAACCTACTCAGGAAACTGTTAAGCCTATTGAGATTGAATCTGATGACCACGACGACGGCAACAACATAGAATTGAGCGCATTATGTCAGCGCATTGAGACCGCATGCTGTAATCCTCGCTTAGCCTTAGAGCAACTCTGTAGTTATTGTGGTCAGTCGTGATGGGAGGAGCTACAGAATGCAAAGCAGGCGTCGTTAGATCAATATTTTACCAAGTAATTGATGTACTATCTACTGTGGTTATAACAAGGTCACACGGTGTCACAGTGTGTGACACCCAGCATTGTGCATATCCATGGTAATGCATGGCATTTTCAGGCTCCCGACCGTATGCATTATTGGGATATGTACTGTACTCAGTTCCCACGTGACTCGAAACGTACATGTGGCCAAATATAAAATTCATTCCAGCTTGATCTTACATCAATGTGAGTTTGTGTAAACTCTGTAGACCAGGGGATACATGATTCTAATATTTACTAGACATGACTCAGCTGGCTGTCCCGCGAGAGTACCACGTATCAGCGCTTCAGCACCAACAGAATCTGTTGAACACCGTCAGCTAATCCCTTATTTTGGACGGCAAGAGGACTTACTTGTCATTATACGCCCACTCTACGTCTCCCGTTGTTCCAGGTCCATACCACACTATCTGTGGCAAATGTTCATTTCGTATGAACGTCCGCCCACCCGTCTTCTCTGCGACCTCTTTCAATCCTACTCTCAAATTCCACACCTCTACTCTTCCAATTCCGCTTCGTCTAGCCGCCTGTTTGATCTTCGCAATCAGCCCAGGGAACATCTCTTCACTGGCGCAGAGTCGCGTGACGATCAGCGTTGCTGGAGGTGGTCTCAAGTCAACGCTCCAGCTTGCGTATGTCCCTGGGTCGCTCGTGGACTCTACGCCCCAGAATCCGTCTGCCATGGAAAAATTGGAGGCGAACGTTGACTTTGTGATGTGGAACTCGCAGACACCATCCGTTGGCAGGTATGTTGCGAATGCCGCTGGGCGCTCTACCTTATATGAGCTGTCGCTCGTTGGCATGTTCGCCAGCTCCTTCCTGATCCGAACGGCATCACGCTCCCAAAGCCCGTTCAATTGCTCTTCCGTCAACCAATTCCATCCCTCATCACCACCTTCCTCTGTGCCCACCTCCCAAATAGTTGAGATCGCTCCCCGCTTCTCCCATCCGCCCCCTTTGCCTCCAGGGCCAGCCGATCGATAGAACTCCTCCCCAACATCACTGTACAGCACCGAGAATAGTCCTTCACCAGCATCTGCTACCTCTTCTGGCGGTGCACCCCATGCCTCGGGGAATTTAGGAAGATTGGCACGCAATGCATTGACCCAATGCAGGAGGCTCATCATATGGTTTGCGTAACCGCGCCCGCGCTTTGAGGGTGGAGTAAATACGCAGGCGACACCATAACAAGTTGCTTCGTGCACTGAGTTGGGCTCAGATGGAGAGGAAGAGGGGTAAGCGACGAGACCTGTGCGCTTGTATCTGCCCCCAAAGACGCACGTCAGGAATTGCTCTTTTGTTGAGGAAAATCGATTCGCTTACGTCTCGCAGGCACTCATAAAATCAAGTGTTGTGGGGTCGTCCCGTGGCGCCAGTACCCTTCTCTTCCATTAGCTCACCTTCACTAGCAAAGTAGAGCGCTCACCAAGTGATCCACTTTCCATCCTTGGCGTATTCGCCCAATTCCATCGCCGCATCTCGCGCAAGGTAGTCCGTCTGACTCAGAGTGCCACCCCACTGAGGGAAAGTCCGGCGCCGTGACTCTTCAGTCTGCGCAGGTGTGGCGCGGAAGAGCGAGAGCGATGCAAGATCTACCTTAGGTTCTGCCATTGGAGATATACTTTGCAATATGAAGAGCGTTGATCGGTGAGTGAATATATTAAAGATAATGGGGTTGCAGGAGCTCTTTATATCTCTATCACAACCTCACCTCCCACCCATGTCAGGTGTGCAAATCAATAAGACTTATCCTGACTTATCATCCTTAGCCAGAGTTATCACACGTGGTCGCGCAACTTGTGACCGCACGCGCGCCGGCCTCCTCCCACCCAATTTAGTTCACGCTGCCACCGTCGCAGTGCTGTCACTGCGATAACAGGATGCTCCCATCAACGTATGGTACGGACTATCACATGTCCCTCTCTCTAAGTTGCTTTGCTGATTCACTCCCTGTCGCACATTGTCCTCCTGAAAAAAATAGAAAGACAGTCCGCGTTTGCTATCCAAGTTTGGAGCGACGAATGTGGTGTCGAAGTCAGACACCACATTCCTCGCTCCCTAAACATGCTTTCAATTTCTTCACGAATCTTGTTTTGAGTTTGGAGGCAAAGCTAACATCACAGTTCTAGATTCCTCGTCCATGCTAGACCAAAATGGTATTCAGAGCGGGGGAACTTGGAAGGGTGTCTGATTACTATATCGGGTAAATGTGGCTGCCTATGAATTTCGAAGGCTGGTTCGATACCAAGATGCTATTTGATAAATAAACCTTGACGCGCTAAACCAGACTATCAGGGTACTTCGATGCGCCTAGAACAACAGGTGCGAATACTTATATCTACCCCCTCGGGGAGACTACCCTGGGATGCTCTTTGGTCAATAAGATAAAACCTTTCGTGCTTAAAAACATTCGATCAACCTCGAGCTCTGGATGTCTTGAAGCAAAATATGGGACTCCCGGTGCGTCAGGAGACAAACTGCCTGATGAAACGCTGTGAAGGCTAACATATTCAAATTGATACAACAAATAAGACTCGCTTCGCTCTAAGCTAATTAGTCTACATAGTGCGAGGTAACAAGATACCGACGCCCATCGCCATGCACACCATACCTACCATTACACAATACACCAGATTCCCTCCAAGATACTGTTTCTCAATGCTAATCGAGAACGCGGAGTTGGCTGCAGCCGGCCCAACAGCGCGCATGATAGAAACGATCACTTGTGCGAACCCGTTTGTCGCACCCACGGACGCTCGGTTAGGGGAAGCCGCAGCGATATACATAAAAGATATGCCTTCCGTAACACATCAGAAATATCAGTGAGAGAATGACGACGACAAACCATATGCAAAATTTGTGCAGCCCATCAAAACAACCTGTAGGACCACCAAATACCATGTACTCTGAACAATGCCACTAGATCTCGCCAGCGTATTCAAGGTCGGGAGGAGAGCAACCACAGGCAGGGCGCACGTTACAGCGAACAGCCAAAGTTTTTTCGCACCCATGATATTATAAAGCCTGGCAAAGGCCAATGGCTGCATTGCGCCATTTAATATTCCCTGGAGCGCCAAGATAGTTCCAATGGTTGGAGTATCGAGCCCTAGACCACCCAGCGATATGGGAGTGGCATAGAACACGGGTTGTACAGTGCGAAATGCGATATCAACAAGGGCAATCCCGGCGTAGCTTCCGGTTGCAATGAGTACGCGACGAACGAAAAGAGCTCGAATGGGGACAGGCTTGTCACTGATCGAAGATGATACTGGCAGGGGTTCTAAAGTCGGTGAAGGGGAAATCTTGCGCTTTTTCCAAGGTAGCAGTTGGCTGATGTTCATTCGCGGAGTTGTGGTCTGCGACTGATATAAAGATTCATCTTGTCACACGATGAGATAACATACCTCCTTCAAGTAAAGAAAAGCGATAATCCATGTCAACGCTGATACTGTGGCAGGGACTGCACATGGCAAGAAGTATGGATATTTCTTCATAAATTCGGAATCCCCGAAGATATTAGGGAACCTATCCGCAGGCCGCGCAAGTCCTCCGCCAATGAGTGGCCTGTGGTTGTTTCAGTATATATAGAAAACGAAAACTTCGTGGAACACACCCAAGTGTGCTACCGCTGGACCAGGCAAGAGGGAGGAACGCCCATGCGCGGGCCATATTAGTCGAATCTGTCATTTCAGCCGTCATGCTCTTCATAACACCAATGTTGCCATTGAGTGCGCCATTCAGACAACGACTATTACAATAAGATGTGAACTCTGACTCAAAAATAAAATAACACAGAAACAGAACAGACCTTATCACCAAGCTCCAGAACGTCTTGGACAAACCGAAGCAAAACATCGAGAGGGAGAGTCCAAACAGTCCAATTAGCAGGACAGGTTTGCGGCCGATATAGTCAGAGAGACGACTCCAGTGGAAAATGGTGAGCGCTTCCGTCGCAAAGAATAGCGAGTGCTAGATCATAACACCGAGATTATCACAATGAAAACGCTCTCCACTTATCCACTTACCAACAACCCAACATAAAACGAAACGAGCGCTTCATCTCCGTGGGTGATTCCAATATCACGAATAAGCTACATCAATCAAGTTGTAACTTTATTTATTTAAGTCTTCAATGATAAATGCTGACCTGCGGTGCAAAAGGTGAAATAACTTGCGATGTCATTGGCTCGGCAATTTGCAACACCAGGAGCATTGAAAACTGGCGCCATGGTAGAGGTGTCTGTGGTTTCTTCGCCGGTGTATTTCCCTCCGATTGGAGCAAAGGCGTTTCCTCGTCCAGCTGTTGAGACGTAGGATCAGGAGACATGAAATGATAATTGCAGAAGTATGAGAGACGATGCGATGATTGATCAAGGGATCAATCGATCAATTTCATTGTGGACGGCGCCGCGGCGCGGGTTGGGTGATTTAACCATCGTGATGATCTAAGGGTGAATACTATGATCACCGGGTTGTCCTAGGTAGTCAAGCTAGTCAAGACTGTGGTCCGCGCTTAACCGTTACGCCAAAAGTGATTAGACTTGTGACCAGTCGGAGAACAAACGGACTGGCGCTTTGGAGTCGTCACATAATTAACTAACCCATACCAGGTATAACCCATACTAGCCCCTGCGCAGGATGAATCGATGATAGCCAGCGAGCGTCAAGTCAGTATACAATAAAATTTGATAATACGTGGCCCATTGGATCATCGGATCTGTTCGCCGATGGATATGGTAAGCAATGACTAGGACCACCTGGTCTCCTGTAACACGACTGAGTAAGTGAACGAGATTCCTTCATTGCAAAGTTTATCAACTGCCTTATCCCAGCGATTGGGACACACCACCCTTGAATACGGGTTTCCATGGCACTTTTTATATTTAGCTATGTTAGACGCGTCTACCTGTCGATGACTGTCCTTGCTTCGAGGATGACACCGTGTTTGTCTCTGTCCTCCTTGGTATTGCACTATCCCGGTGGCACAGCGTGTTGACGAGTCCTTCTTGAGTTCCATGATGCCCGGACCTCAAGGGACCGTGTGGTACAGTTTCGTGGTGGACTCTAGCTTGCGCTAAAGTCAATATCGGTCCGTCTCTATTACTTTTCCATCTTGTTTTCAGTCTTGCTTACATGTCTCTACAGGTATCCTTAAAATTTTTGTATGGCGAATTTTGGCCAAATCGCTCCTGCACCTCGCTCTTCCTCCTCTTTTCCGCCTTCTTGCATCCTCCTTCGACCTGCCACGCCGACGCTTCCACATCCCTACGACAGATTACCAACACATGCCAGTTGAAAGCAGTTTGCGCCAGATTCCGAGTGTTATCGACCTTCCTGGCGTCCTAGAGGTCTGCGCAATCAGGGAGAGGTCTGCGTCAGGAAGAACAAGTGAGGTCAAGCGAAGAGGTGCAAAGTCGAATAACGATTCACTGTCGGCCAATGGAGAAAATTACAGCGGATCTGAGCTCGAGAACAGCAACGGGTTATATCAATGCAAGGAAGTCCAAGCACTACGATGCTGACGGTGAGTGCATCGTCTGTCTCTTGGATAGATGTCGAAGTCTGAGACCAATTCCTATCCTTCTTCAGTATTGACCAAGGTAGTAGTCTATACTGGAATGGCAATCTTGGAAGGTTTGCCCGTTATATTGCCCTTTTGGGCTGGGGCGTCAAGCCATGTTGATAGCTTTACTGGCGTTGAATAACGTATGTGGTAACTAAGTCATTTCTTGACACGTTAATTTGATACCCCGGGACAATTCTTGATTTTATCTCTGGGCAAAGTGACGTGTGGGCCATGTTCATTTTTTTGAGCAGATGAAAGCTAAATTGGTACTTCATAGAAAGGAATGACTATCCTCTCTGGCTATGAGAGATTAAAATCAGCGACATGTACGTTGCCTGCGAGCGAAAGGAATATGCAGTATTGCATCTACTCAAGGGATTTCATTGCGGCATTGAGACAATTCAGAGTACATGAGTGTACTGACTTCTCTCCTTGAGAACGGTTCGGGTAAAATGGCTTGGACGGTGTTCCGACTTTTGTGATGGCTCTGCGTCTACTGGATCAATCATGTTATTTTCCCTCATGAACAATCGGATCTTGATACCGTGCTGCCCGGCAATTCTGTATGCAGTCAATGAAGCTCTTCTGCAATGTCCTCACTCGCTGTACGCATGATTCTGAGTCCGTCACATAGCGTGTTTAGGTCGAAATCAAAGTTGAGGTAGGGTCAAGGCTGCCGCGCGCCTCCTGTGCTTCCGATTATGTCTTCACCTCCTCGTTTTCGTGCATCACCCAGTCCATCGCCTTTACAAACAGTTCAAGACATGACACAACATAAGAATAGACCCAGCTTTCCAATAGCTATCATAGTTATTGACGAGCCACTAAGAACCATGCGAACAAAACACCAAGAACAGGGGCAGCTGCAAATTGGCGATAGGAGGCCTCACTGATCACAAAACCCACTACTAGTAATGTCATAGCGGAAATTGAGTATTGAATCTCCTCATCATCAAAAGTATGGACTCTCTTGTTTACAACTCTCAGGCAAACACCAAACACTGTCTTAGGTGAGAGAGCTTCACTTATTACTGTCATAGTGATCTAAATATTTATCTGCTCTCTCTCCTATTCGGCTACAAGGCGGAATCATTGATCAAATGGCTAACCTCATCCGGTCTGCGAAGTCAAGTAATGACTGGACCTTCTATGATCTCCTCGCATACAATATCACTGTTGTGCCTCTGGCGCCTGAACAGTTTTTTCCTCAAAACCCTGGACCACTCTTGGAGGGTTTAGATCCATCACTCCTTAATTCCAGTCTTGATGACAAGAATTTCTCAGACCCCAACATCTCAGATGCCGTTTTCCGATATCTAGGCTATCTTGGTCTGGCTACCAATCCCACTCAAGAATCTTTCATGGACACATTTGCTCTGGAAACTCTCCATATACTCGGCTTCAGTAAACGCTTATGGCTCGGCACGCACCATAGTATCCCACTATCTATATGTGGTGATGTCTGCCAAGTTGCACAAACAGATGTGTGTCTGCGTGATCTGCAGTCAACAGTCTTGCTTGTTTTGCGAGTAGACAAATCAGCATTCAATGCATGTCAACCTGAACCAGAAGTCATTGCAGGAGCAATTGCTGCGTATCAAAACAACAATCAGAGGCGGCTCCTCAGAGCACTTTCCCCCCTTGATGCCATGACTATTCCATGCATCACTATGGTTGGGACTCGACCCACCTTCTATCTCGTCCCCGTCACAAAAGCACTCAGCACTGCAGTTGAGACTGGCCAGTACCCTGAAGTTCAAACGACAGTCATGATGTGTGGCACCAGTTTAGGGCACAACAGTAGTCTCAGCGAAGGCATGGAGACACCAGAGTATAGGCGCATTGCTTTTGAGCATTTTCTCGCATTCAAAGCCCTTGCGAAGGAACATTGACAGAAATTTCAAGTTATTTTCTGACTTGACATTGCCGTGCGTGTCTCTCAAAATACTTCAGCTGAAATTTGACCTGCGTTTAGCTTTCCATGATTCTACTGTAATAATTAGTTTCTTGATCTGACTGGTATATGTACTAGACAATTTAATCAGACTCTAGGCCTCAGTCCCAGATAACGTACTGTATATTAATGTACTAGACAGTGTAATCAAGACAAGGTAGTGTTGCCGTGGTTCCAGCTAATGCCGGCAGTAGCCGGTTCTAATTCACCGGCTTGACCGGAACTGCAAAGCCAGATCTGCTTACATAATTATGGCACAGTCCGGCTAATGTAACTGAAATAAGCGCTGTAAGCCGGCTCAAGTCAACTTATGATAGTGTAAATTCACAAAGGTCAGGAAATATCGAAATCATGGGATGTTGGGTTTGAACTGGACAAATATGAAATGCGGGTGCGAGAGGTATCAGAAAGGGAGGAGTATGAAGGATATGTTCTGGCGAGAAAGAATGCGTAGGTATTGAGGGTATTAATGGAATTTTATTTGACCGATGCGAGTGAGCCTTGCGTGAGACCGTTAGAGAGGTAGGGCTAGTTGTTGATGGGACGCGTTGGGCATAGTCTGCAATGCGATGCAAGGTATAGAAGTCAGGTATATGGAAGATGACGGGTGAAGGCTCAGGGTTGGTTATAAGATGCAATAACATTGCGGGTAATAATTCTGGAGGCACGATGGTAGATATGCTGCGTTTGGAACAAAATTATGAACCACAGTTCTTCAAAAGTGAATTAAAACGAACTTTAATGGATGCGTGGTAGACGTCTTGATGGGAATGTTCAGATACATGAGTGCAGTAAATGTTACATATGCAAGATGATGCGTACCGTAAGAACTGCGAGGTGGTACATCATAAATGCAAAGTAGGACAAGGTAAGAACAAAGCGTAAAAGGCGTGTATGCACATTATAATGTCAATTCATGGCTTCAGAGATTTTGCTTGCAAAGAAGGTCCTGCTCCAGTTTCGTCCATTGAGTATCTAACCTTGTGAATGTGCGGATGAGTATCGGGTTGTGATGATTGAGGCTTCCGTGCCCGAATAACGATGAATGACGTGTATGGTGAGTCATAGTGGGCGCGACCGCCACCGATGCAGGAGAAACCTGAATTGAAGTGTTGGGGAGGTGTGCTAATGGATGTGCGGTCGTATGAGCTGCGGGGACCTGGACCTGAGAATGGCTGCCACGCATCCATTATGTGACCACTTTCTGCATCATCATCGCTGTGCTCTCTGTAAGGCCGCAAAGCATGCTTGAGTCACAATACTGATGGCGGGGGCCCACCAGAATGATGAGAGGAGCTGGAACCTTTGTCTTTCTGCGCGAAAGATGCGTTGGGAGGCACATAGGGAGATGAATCACATGCAGCAAAAGAGTCTCGAGCCATGGGTGAATGTCGTACTTCCGTGGCTTTGTAGTGTCTTTGTTCGCGACCACCTCTCCGTGGCCCGTAACATCTGAGAAGAGAAAGCACACCGATCAATCCACTATCAACTGGCCGTCTGGAAGGAAAAGCAAGCCTGAGAAAAGCTGCGAATTCTGGCGGTAGTGATTGTAGAGTGGACCTAACGCAAGGAGAGTATGTGTTTCATTGTATAATTTGGTTGTTGAGGTCCGGCTTAGCCGCAGGAGCAGAAGAGAAGGAGCGATTACAGAGAAGAGTGTGAATGAGAGAGCACCAAGGGCTACTGACGACACTGAGCTTCCTGTTGAAAATTCGTAGCACGAGAATATGGTGACGGGTAAATGAAAAAGGACGAGAACGCGCACAAGGTTTCCTATGAGCACACTAGAGTGAAAAGAGCTGACTTCTGGTCGAAATAAGCGTCTCCTGAGTAAAGTATAGTTGTGGCCAAATCCAGTTGATGATCTGCTCTCATCTCCACTTGTGTCGAGCATGTCCTTACTGCCCGCTGAAAGCCGCGGCATATGACCCTTGCTCGCTGTGTTTGTAAGCACAGCAGAACTTGATAAACTGCCTGACGGCCGTTGTGAGAATATCCAATCTACCGTCCATAGGAACAGACTGAGAAAGATTGTCCCAGCTATAATGGCCAAGAACAGGGTTAAGCAGATCGCAAAGAGATCTTGGGGTTGTACTCCAACACTCCAAGCAAAGGATTGCATCCCAGTTGTAGTGTTCGGTGGAAGTAGGAAAATTGTGTTCGGAATTGACTGGTCAATGTAGATAACAGAAGTTGGATCGGCCAACTGATCGGCGAAGTCTGATGGTGGATTATATGGTTGGACATTCAGCGGATTCCAGTGCATGGAATGTGCGTTCAATGTGATGTCTACAGACCATTAGCAGTTCGTACGGCACTATTCAGGTCTAAACCTACTATACGTCAGCGATGCCCAGGCAGTTTGCGAAAGTAGGGGATCTGAAATTCATGAGCACATGTGGTGTATATCAAATTCTGAATTGCTACTCACAAATAAAGGGCGGCCACTGGACAGCAACCATAGCTAGGGCTGCACACCACTGTGTGTGAAAGATGATGTCACGTAATGATGGGGAGCCTGATGAACCATGAGCATCGCAAAAATACGAACAGAACATGTAAAATCACTTACAAAATCTCATCAATGCAGGTGATGTTGAAAAACGCTCACCGCTGATGGCACTAGCAAGAATGAACCCAGTACTCTCAAACTGGTGCCAGATGCCCGGACCAGGTCTACTAAAGCCCCGACTCCAAGCAGATACGATCCGAGCAAACCCAACAATGAGCCAATAAGTTGCTGCAAGAGCAATTGTTGCCCAGAATATGATGTGGGCATTGCCATACGGCAAATCAAGTGGTCCAGGATGAAGTGGTGTGGTTGTAACGCTAAGGCATAATATTTCGTTTCCAGATGGGTCGACAGCTCGGAGTTCTGTGTCCATAGTTGTCAAAGAATTCTGGGTATTAAATGGTATGGGTGCAGAGAGTGCAAATTGCCCTGCAGGTATGGGACAATATGTGGAATCTCCACCGAGAGATGGCAGAGGAGAAGGTGGGCGTAATGTATCGCACAAAGCAGAGTTATTACTAAAGGTATTCATGGTGAGCGTCGTGGCTTCCGTGAAGAGGGTAGCTTGGAGGGAAGAACATGAGTTATGCCGCTAAAGCACACGAGCAAGTATGCGTACAAAGGCTGGTGCTGTTACCTCCACTAACATGGGAGTTGGGGAGTACACAGCTAGAGTCGCAACGCTGTCACATGACCGGGAAAACGTGGTACTTTTTCCTTGAGTGGTGACATCACTCAAGGAAAAAGTGCCATGTGGCTTGCATCATGTGATGAGCATACCCATCGCTCCGTTGTTTACCGGAGCTGCTCCAATCATGTCTGCGAGTGGGTGGTGATGGGGTTCTTCGAACACACTGGTCTTTATGTGAAATACTCAGGCATGTATGACATTGACACGTGACTGTAAAGAAGACGACAAGGTTGTAAACACGAAAGCAGGGCAGCAAGGCTAGTAGAGACGAGTGACTGATGAGGCAAAGGAGGAAGACTGAGACCGAAGACTAAGGTGAAATACGTGCTGATTAAGCTGTGGAAGGGGAGGGAGATGAGCGAAGGATGTAAGGCGCCAGTAGGTAAACAATACAAATGATGAGCAAGAAGTAGTTATAGCGATGCATAGATGATGGCAGCATCCTCAACATCATCGCACTCTTGGTCTGCGATAGCTTTGAGGAGTGCTTCATGTGTGGAACTGCCGGATGAAGCTTTGCTAATGTTAGATGCGAAAACCTCGCCAGGCTCCACATCATGTAGCACTTCATATTCCATGTCTCGCTGTGATGCTGCCCACCCTTTGGTGAAGTTGAGCCTATCTTTTTTCAGCATAAACTTGATGATCTGTAGCGCTTCCATCAGCATGGGGCTAAGGCGGTTCCGTTTTTGCGTGTCAGTCTCGCTACTCGATGAGAACACGCGCTCGCAGGGGACAGCGGATGCTTGTATCGGGAGATAGTCCAAGGCAATTGCAAAGACTGTCGGAAACATCCCCTGAGAGGCCTGGTCAACATTCCATGGTCAATGACAAACAATGTAGCTCGAGGAGATACAAGGCTCTTACCGTCCAAAACGAGAGAATATTTGTGCCTTTGGGGCTGCGAGTAGCTGTACTGTACGCATTGAACTCCTCTTCGACTGTTTGGGCACCCCCGCTGTGATCTGATGGCATGTCTATGTCAGGAAGGCCATAGAGGCGTGAACCTAGCGTGCTTGGCTTTTGTACTGCCCCTACAGAGGGTGCAGAACCAGAGGCCAGGGTCCCTCTCTTGGCATGCATCTAGATGATACATTCAATGTTGCGCTGTTATTGGCAAAAGACATACGTACAAGTTTCATGATAAATTTCTTGGCGTCATTAGTTCGCTGTTGACCCCAATGGCGTTCCATCCACAACATCCGTGAAGCAGGATCGATGACTAAAAGTAACAATGAGAATCAGACTTCCATTAAAATATGCAGAACTGACACATAGAGACCACATAAGCATTGGTGGCGCCCATCCGATCATCATATTTACCCGCCCACAGCAAGCCTATGCTAATCAGAGGCGCAAAGTGCAGGAAGTGGTTCACTATGTGATTCCATCCCTCGATCAATCTTTCAAAGGTCGGAACTGCGCCACTCAATGTCAGAGTACTTTCACTTGACATTGCTTGTTGAGCAGCGTGCGGTACCTAATATCAGACAGTGAGACAGATTGTAGATTTAGAATACATTAGCACTGACCTCCAAAATCACTTCGAGATCCTGCAGAAAGTGCCATTCCATCGGAGTCAATCTCTTGTCAGCGATCAGGTGTTGATTTGGGTTCTGAAAGAACATATCCACAGCCTAGGCTACCATTAGTCTGTGATAGATGTTAGTGGGGTGGAGGCTTACCTGGCGAAGGGTATGTAAGCGGTTCAACATGACATAGACCGAGTCCCAACGTGTCGGCTCATCATGGAGGAGTTGTACGACAGGCAGCCGGGTGGGGGAACCTGTGTGGTCTAGGAACCATTTATTGTTGTTACCCGTGGTAATGGTGATCATGAAACTGTCACGGCGCTGGATCGATGCACAGACTGTGTGCACAAGTGCTCTAGCTCGATCAAGGGCTTTGCCTGCTAGGGCTTGGACATATGCTGCCTTGTTGATGGTCTCACCACTGACTACCCATGTCTCCGACACATCTGAAAAGTCAGCAATTGAGTACTCGTCGATAATGTGTTTCACGCATATGTTGATAATATGGGGGAAGCACGGAATCCGGTGCTCAACAGGATTGAATTCTATCCCGCGTTCCTCCAGTAGACGTGAGTACTCTTGCATGGAAGTGTGATTGTTGCCAGCGTTGTCCAGGGTAAAATGTCCAGACTAAATGGAGTCAGATCATGTCACCAGTAAAACTAAGCATGAACCTTCTCTGTCACTTCGACACGATCGAGGAGGCCCAATATTGATTGGGCTAGGCAATCTCCTGCATGACTCCCTGGTGTGTGGTTGAAAGCGATCAGTGCTGCTTTCAAGACGAGCACGGAAGTTTTCACATCTTTGGCAATCCAGTGAGCTGTTATCGCCATGAAAGGGCGGAGGTTGGAGTCTGACCACAGGTCAGACGTGAATGAAATCTTTCCCTGCGCCATCTGAAAGATATAAGATACTTTTCACGACTTTAGACAACCGTACTTACCGCAAGGCCCCTTTTCAAGGCCTCGAAGTACTCATCAAAGGCCTCAAGGATCAACTCATGAAATTTTGTGCGATGGTAGATATCGCTCTCGTTCAATTCTGGGCGTAGAAGGCGAATCAACCGATGAAACTCAGGACACTCAATGATGTTGATTGCCTGAAGGTGTTATCAATAATAGCGCATAGAAATTAAACAGCGACTCACCTGATCGTCGGCAACAACAAACCTCACCAGTTGTTGATGCATCTCGTCAAGGGTGAAGTTAGGAATTTCATCCTCCAGAGTTCCTGGCTGTCCAGTTCTGAGCAGCGCATCACTATGACTAGGAACATCTCCGAGCGAATCAATTGTGCGAGTCGGATCTCTGAGCCTTTCACGTATTGCTATGACGGTCCATCCTTCATCAAGAAGAGCGTTTAAAGGCTTGATCTGTATGGGCCAGCCCTGGCGCCCTGCCTCCTCCAAGTAAATGAGGGTATGATGATTGTATACATGGTGATGAGGGCCTGTATTGCCCGTGGTGGTTTTGTACGTTGTAACTTTGTACGTCGGGTCAAGTTCGTGCAACTGCCTAGTGAATGATGTGAGAAAGAACACAGGAATCACAGAGATGATGCTCACTCGCAAGGTATGCAGGTATTGCGCCCAGTAACTTCATTCAGCCTGAAAAAGAAATGGAAATCATCAGCGCCTTTGGCCTTTTTCGTTAGATTACCGGTGTCCAAGAGAGTAGTTTGAGTGGGATGGACAGTATGTGTGGCTGTCTGAAGTGGGCTAGGGCCTGCAGGAGCCCTAATGGTAGGTTCAGGCAGGCCATACTCTTCATTGTCATCATCACCAGAGACATTGTCGAGGTCAAAATATTCCCCTTCATCCACTGTAGGTTGAGAAGGGCTGAAGTCTCGATATCTATGAGGGAGCTGGTGTTTTCGATTAGGGTTTGTAAGTGCATTCGCTGTGATGACAGTGCGGATGGCAACAGTAGCGGGGATGGGGACAATGGTAGCAGGGGTGGGAATAACACCTGCGAGGACGGGAATAACACCAGTGGGGACGGGAATAACACCAGCAGGGACGGGAATAACATCAGTGGGGACGGGGATAACATCAATGGGGACAGGAATAACACCAGTGTGGATGAGCACAGTGGGAGCAGGTGTGGTGGTCGTCTTGGGTGCACGCCGACGAGGTGCCATGTTGGTAAGAGCAGCAATGCAGATATAACAACATATTTGCCTGTTTTTATAAGCCTGTGTCAGGAGAGACACCGCAAAATGCCAATAGATTAAAGCTAACCTTGAAAAAATGTGTTCATCCATGAAGTCGATTGGCTAATCAGCGATTGAGTATCACAATCCAATAAGGTTCACCTAGCGAAAGAGCAACAACACGTTTCATGGAATATCCCCCCACACAGCATGCGATGAAGTCATCCAACAAAAGGGCAGTGACACATTTAGTGGAGAGTCCCCAATAGCTTCCAGTGCTGTAGACATGATGGCAAGTACTGATCCGGGCGATCTCGTATCTGAAGCTTAATAAGTTTAACACTTGATGACTCATTAAACAGCCACAATCGTGGATGAGTGTGCATGTATATGGATCCCTCTGTATGTTGAAGGGAGTGTTGAGATAAAACATAAGAGGGCACGCCGTAGGAGTTGAGACTTGAGAGTGTCTGATTCAGGAATGACAATTTTTCTATAATAGCTATTCATACATACAGCTAGTTCTAGTCTTGGCAACAATATATCACACACACGTATGTACAGGTAGTAAACATTCAATAGATTCATCTCACGACATGTTCCTTGTTGCGGTGTGGAGTGGAAGCGGTTGCAGGTAGTGGCCCAGGGCTATTACGTGGGCGGAGGCTTCAGGAAAAACAGGATCATCAGTTTACAAATTGGAAGATGAAAAGGAATTACGCACACACGAGTTGATCTGCGAGGAGGGTTTGCCTTCATTGGATGTGGTTGCACTGCCTCGGCCACCACCTGTTCATTGGAGAATGCAGGGGTATGAATGATAGGATCGGGCTGGCCAAAATCCAAAAGGCATGTAGCTGGTGTTGGCGATGTGTCAGAAATACCGTGGAGTAATGAATGTAGATAGTCATAGTCAGGATCCTCCGAGAATGCAAGTGAGCGTGTGTAAATTAGAAGACTTGCGAACTCGACGGGAATTCCGTGACATAAGACTTCAACAGTAGTATTTACTTTGCGCTCAAGCATGGAAGAATTGGAGAGCTTTTCGTGATCGCTGGTTAACCATGGGAGGGAGCCACGCAAGAAATATATCAGCGTATATGTGAGGGACTCGAGATCATCACGACGACCTGGCTCAACTCCTAAGTGACTGTTGATTGAGGCGAATGCAGGTGTGCCGGTGAGACAACGACCTTGGCGAAATGGTATATGGGCTCTGGTTGAAGTATTGTAGTACTCCTTCGAAATACCAAAGTCAATTATGAAGGCGGTGTGCTTCAAATCGTCGAGACCAACTAAGATATTCTGGGGTTTGATGTCACCGTGAATGAAATTGTGTGAGTGGATGTATTCGAGACATGAGAGCTGGAAAAATGGAGTTAGCTCTCTGCAATGGCCTTTCACAAAGTGGCTGACCAACTGGTTTCCTAGATTCACAATGTTAGGAAGGCTGAATCTTCGATCATGCGCAATGAAGATATCATGCAACGACGGCCCGAGGAGATCAAGAACCAAAGCATGGTATGTTGATTCTCTGCCAAACCAAAAGACGCGGGGGATCCCAACCCCGCCTGCGAGTTGTTTCAGAATCTTGTATTCATTGCACACAGAGGACGAGCGGTTGATGATAGGTTCGAGTTTGACAGCAACTGAATCATCCTTGATGAAGTTTTGTGCATGGTACACAACAGCTAAGTGAAGCCCAGATGGTGAATATAGTCACTATGTGAATGACATAGTCACGTACCGTATGAGCCAGACCCCAGAACATTTCCCAGCCTAAATCTGCCATCGACTCGAGTAGGGACCTTATTCATGGTATGAAATAACGTAGAGTAGATCCAAGAGTCAAGCAGGAAGTTGGAGGAAGTATTAATTCCACATTTTACAAGCAGTTCAACCAGCTTGAACCAGCTGAAGGCCAGTTCAAGCCGTAGTTTGGCTTTAGTTGGTTCTTGCGGCTGACTAACAGAATGAACCAGTTTACATGGCAAATTGGTGGCTTAGTTCACTACAATGACCGAACTACGAGTTTGTCGGTAGATGCCGAGCCTGATCGGGCCATAGCCGAACTGTGGCACTACTAAACCAAGGTACATGTTAGTGTGTACGGGGGCGAGCAGAAAACGATATTCATCATCTCTGCTGCCCTCAGTGGCAGAAAAAAAGTTCTGCCATGTATGTATCAAATCCAGGAAAACTACTGATACTCACGCAAAGCCCGAGAGAGCAATCAGACCTGGCGCATTGATAGTCATAAACGCACAACTTGGGACAATTGACATCGGCCCCAGTCGCGTCGGCGGATATGGCAGAGATTATTGATGCTAAAGCAGCGGAGACGGCGAGGACAGTTGCAGAGGAGAAACGCATTGTTTGCAAGTGACTCGTGTGATATAGTAGGATTGAATCATATCATGTAGGAAAACGGCTGGCTTTTACGGGCTGAATGTTCCTCTTGCGTACGCGGTCTACCTTCAAATGGATGCAAATGATACTTCATCACATGATTACCGCGACAGCTGTACATGACATTAGGCTTCAGATCGTATTGTCTCAGCTGATATCCACGTGTGCCGCGTCAATCACCTCCGGCTCCTCCCCCTCAATATCAGCAATATCAATAAAACTTTGCTCAATCGCGCGTGCGTACGCGCCCATTTTCCACATGTCCCCTATCTTGATGTTAGCATGGTCGAATGCAAATGCAACGACGGGGTCGCCAGCCTGACGCTCAGATACAGAAGGTGGCATCTTGGGGTAGCGGGCCGAGAAGTGTGTAAGGAGGATGTTTTGTGCGTTCATGCTGTTTACAAGTTGAACAAAAGTCTGTGATTGTATTGCATGGAAACGCACCTCTTGCCTATGTCGATTGCCTGCCCAAAGGTGCTGTGCATCTTGGCGCGTGCCATTTCAACTTGATCGTTGGCCATGGTAGCCTCATGGATCAGCAGAGTGGCTCCAGCACCTGCCTGCACGAGCTTTTGGGTTGGCACTGTATCACCCGAGAACCTGAGGATGCGCTGTAATTAACACAACAGGAGAGTAAAAAGCGACGCCGTACACAACAGACCACCCATCCAGATGCTTGACAATTAATCCATGGCACCTCGCGCGATGTTCCACATCGACGGTATTTATTTTCTGCAATCCAAGCGTCTTGCACAACGCTCCGGCTGCAAGCCTTGACCTTTACGATAAGAGAACAATAAGCGTCAATGTATGAGAAGACTAAGAGCTCAAACTGGCACTCACCCCTTTTGATCTTGATCACCGTAATTCCACCCACCCCGTCCCTTGTTGCGCCAATGAATCTCATCACTCAGGATAGGTACCACACGGGCCCGAGCATCCTCCGAAAACCCAAGCTCCTCAAGCGCATTGTAATCCCGAAGATAGAGGAGTACCATGCGATTGCTGATGAGGTAGAGTGGTTCTTCCGGAGGCGGGTCAAGCTTCTCCACATATGAACACCAGGAGATCATCAGGGTATGAGCGGGGATACGCACCTGCTGTCTCATTGCCAGGATCTTTGCGAGACCAATGTGGTGGTCACCGTGAATGTGGCTTATGAAGATACACTTCAGGGCCCTTAAAACGTTCCACACAGCAGCTCCATAGTTCCGAGAGAGTTGTCCCCATGTCCCCTCTCCTGCATCCAGGAGAATATACCCTGCTCCCGGGATACACAGCAGTGTACCAGAAACTACACAAATAATTCAGTTGGGTTTCTGGGGTGAAAACGGAAAAGGACAAACCATTTCGGTACTTGCTAGGTATAGCACTACCTGTTCCGAGCGTGACCACCGTGACGTCCTTACCTATAACATCAGGTACTGCAGCCTCATCGACGCGCGCTTGTGCCTCGGAAAATTGTGTTCTGGCAGCGTCAGAGAGTGATGAGAGCTCGCCAGACAATACGGCGGGGTGAAAGAGATCATTCGCTTCTGCCTCAGGGTCTCGTAGTGGTGGCCGTGGCGGACGGATGTCGATGACAGTATGCGCGCGCATGCAGTCGGTATTGGACGGAAGACTCGCGGCTACCACATCTTAAAGTTACAGGACATAATTAGGAATTAAAGTAACGCACTGTCCATAGTTTTCTTAGCCTCTAGAGAATATTTGGGCACAGGGAAGATGTCGCTATCCAGGTGGTTGAGCCTCAGCTGGTTGAATGCCGCGCTAGTAAATGTGATCGGATCTGATCCATGATCTCTAGACGCAACGATATGCTGCTCTCAATCGCGTCAGAACAGCGCAGTGCACACCCAGAACAAGAGGCACTCACGTGTACATCGTCATCGAACCTTTTCATGAACGCCTTATACCGCTCATGCTCAAATACATCATTGCCACAAAGATGAAAGACAACTCTCAGCGAGTGATCTTTCTTTTCCGGCCCCTTGCCCCAGTATTTTGAGAACGCGCCACTCTCAAAACCCTTTACAAGAGAAGGTATATGTGCAGTGCTGGGCGTGTCCAGTATCAAGACGACCTATAATTCGATCAGCCAACTGTGTCCCAAATCGAGAGCGAATGGTTAGAAAACGCGGAAAATGAACGTACCCCAGGATTCTCACTAGCACCTACAACATCACTCGGTCCAACACTTCTCTCCACTCCATCTTTGCCAACTACAGTGACCGTCTCCCCCCTTGCAACTCGTGCACGTAACGGCCCAGCACTTAGGCCCAGCACCTCCGCGCGCTTGACATCAAACTTTCCCCGAACCCGCGGGCCAACCACCGCATATGCGAGCGTTGCACGTAGATTGCATGCAGGCAATGAAGGTAAGGGGCGGTTGAAGCCTGACGGCTGGGAGACATGTTCGACTTTCGCGGACGAAATGACGGGTTTGGCGGCAGACCCAGGAAACATTGCGCGCACAATGTGACGAAGCCATTCCTGTGCCATGTCACCGACGAGCGTGGTGGGGTCGAAGTCAGGGTGAGATATGACTTCCTGTAGCGGTGGTGGAGCAGGGGAAGACGAACGCTTCCTCTTTCCCGATCTCCTGTTAACGGCACTAGTTTCAGAGTGTGGCATTATGTCCGATTCCGAGGATTCCAGTGAATGGATCTCAGTAGAAATTGGTAATGCGAACACAGAAATATTATCGTCCTTGTAGATGGGTATATCGTCAGGTAATTCATCCGGGAGGCGGGAAGTAGGTATTTCGATCGGATTCACGGACATGTTTTCCCTATGCTGATAGTATTAAGATGAATTATTGAAGATCAGAAAATAAGTACCTGAATGTGTATTTACGCATAGCTGCCATGAAGTGCAACAGCCCGGCTGGCCCGGCAATATTGAGGCTGGTAAGACCCGAGTCCGCAAAAGTCATCAATAAACCTGTCGAAAACACGATCAACAGTTGACACGCTATCAGGATCACACTCACCTGGAAGGCCGCTCGCTCGCTGGGTGCCTATAGAAGTCAAGAACACACCTCTAGTCTTCTTCCAGTTCCTCCTGCTCTGGAGAAACGCACGGGTAGTATTCTCACCGACATTGAAGATATATTTTGCAGAGTCAAAGGTGATGAGAATAGTAGGCTCTGTATCTGAGGATACAGCGCTGAGGACTGACGCATTCCAGGACATGGGCACTGACAATGACGAAGATCGTGAAAAGAATCGTGCTGAAGAATAGTGAAGAGAATGAGTGATGCGGGATAGTATATACAGGTTACGACGACATTGCCAGATAGCCAGACTGAATGAAACCTAGAAGATGTAATTAGACTAGGTTTTCTAATAAGTAGATGACTCGGAGATCAATCGATCACGCGTCACGGTTCTCCTTAGTCCTAGCTAAGCAGAAAATAACGTTTGTCAACACGCGCATACATGACGGTACACACAGACATCAGCAAATTCCCTATGAAATGATGCTTGATTGTCGTCAGATTGTGATCGCACTGCAAACATCACAAGCACTTACAACCATTACAATTGATGACAATTGTTGTGCAGCCAGTTACATTCGCGACATGCCTAATTACTCTTTGAATGTAATCTCACATATTTTCGGCACCAACTGGCAACTTTTCAAAACATTGCATCCATTGTAGTACCATTACACACACAATATAAATATGTGGTCAAGACAGGTAATCACGCGGCCATCGCGTCACAATGAGAATCAAAACAAAATATATTTAAAAGATAAATTCACTGTCAAGCAATGCCAGCTACGATGATGTAGGAAATGTAGAACCATTATACTGTACTAGTAGCTGCCCTTCTTGCTGCTGCCTGAGCCTTCATCATTGCCATCACGCTGTCCTCACCCTCATCCCCCTCATCGTAATCTATGATGTCCGAGAATATGCGCCTGCCAAGATGAACACCATTGAGATATAAAACGATACAACACAGGGAATTGTCATACCCATTCCACCATGTGCACAATGCTGCCAGTTCACCATCGTCAAGTGCTTCAAAGGTCGTCCTGACGATATTGTTGTAAAATGCTTCATAGGAGAATTGAGACTTGTGACCACGGGACATGCTACCCTGAGAAGAGAGCACAAAACTGAATCTACAAACACATTAGTGAGACAAAAACTCAAGAAGTCAGCAGCCTGACACACTTACCAATGTTGCAACATATGCGATTGATGGAATGCTGACTGTTCGAATGCCATGCAGTGCAGCATTTCCATGTCGTGTGGTCAACCTGCCTGACACACCATCCAAGCAGATTGCCGAACTAGGAGACTTGAAAATATGCAAGTAGCCCTTGAAGAACTGGTCAGGTTGACCTTGGTACCGAGCAACACTACCCACCTGAACAAGCAACTCATTCTCCAACCAGCCTTTGAAAAAGTCATTAGGGTCGACCACCTCGTTAAGCCAAAGAAAACAGGGGAACTGTGAAGATGTGACCACCATTGACCCATCACGAAGGCCATCTTGAGTCCAACCACAGTATATTCATGAAAAAGAACACTCACAATGGGTCAGAATAGTTACGATTTGCAGGACACAGCAGCTTTCCTGTGCACTGGTTATTGAAACCAAGAGTGTGACGTGCAGAGACAAAGACCGAAGGATTGATACTTGGAAAGTGGCGCCAATGTGCAATCTTCTCTTTGATGCTATTGATGTCATCCCCATGAGCTCGCCGGCATGCATCATTGAGCTGCAAAATTTCAGTTAAACATATACTGCAAAAGCATGCAATAAGGTTACCATGGAGCCGATGAAGGTTCAACGATACAGCGAGGCACGAACAATGCTCCTGACTGTATCTATAAATGTTGTAAGGTCGCGCGTTGCCTAGTCTGCTATACTTGAGACGACAAGTGCGTTCGACCCTAAAGGGGAAGCGAGTGCAGCAAGGATCTAGAGGTATGCGCTGAAAGCGCTACTGGTTGGCCAATGCGAAGCGCGAGAAAGCGCAGGTGCGCGCAAGGCGCGGGAATGCGCGCGTGTATACAGATACGAGAGAGAGTAAGAGTGAGTTTGCTTAAGTGATGATATGATGTAAGACAAGAGAAGAGAGATGCGAGGTGTAAACAAATAGATTTCTACTATGTTCTGCTAGGTGAATAGTGGGTAGTAACCAGTAAGTCCTCTGTCGTTCTGGTGGGAGAGTAAGTTTTTTTCCGGTGGGTGAGTAAGTTCCTCTGCTAGTATGTACTGCTGGCGCTTAAGTATGGCGCCTAAGCGCTGTCATGCGGAGCCGAAGCGCTACCGAGTAAGGTATGTAAAGATATATGTAAGTAAGGGTCCATGATAAAAATAAAGATGGAACGATAAGCAAATGTGAGAAATGGAAATATACGCACTAGGGAACTTGGTGGACAGTGGATGGATGCTTCTGGATGGCTGGCGCTATAGGGCGCTCAAGCGCGGGAAAGCGCGCGCGCATATACATCGTGAAGCACGGGAAAGGTACGCGCGCATGGCGCGCGTTGCGCGGGAAAGCTGCACCTCATATAGAGATAGCTGCAGGTAGCACACAGAGTGATGCTACAAGTTCGTGCCATGTACTCCCCAGTGAAAACTGCCATATTGCACAATGAGAGGCATGAGTCTCTACACCGACAACCAAACATCCAGCCCTATGGACTTCGTCAATGATGCAAGGGGCCAACGAGCAAATGGATTTATAGATGTCATATTGCTCATCCTCCCTGTCAGAGTGCTTTGTGAGAGACAGTACCAGGATCCTGTGTGAGACTTACTTTGGTGTATACTCACCATGACTGCTACTATCGGCCTCGCGTTGGATCCCCTTTTCGAGAATGGTTATGTTGTGCTGCCACATATCAACCCAGCGTCCAAGCATATGGCCTTTGTGAATGAGCATTTTTTTATTTACAGCCACAACTTGCTGCTGGGCACTAGCCTTCTTGATGCTAAAGGGAGTCTTCTTAGCGATGGATCAACATGACAAAGACAGCCACTTACACTGGCTCTTCGAGGTCATCGGAGTCATCATCTCTTCGGCGAGGACATTTTTTTTTATGTACCTTTGGTGTGAGAGGCTCTGGGGATGGTGACGAGCCACCAGATAGGTCACTGGAAGTTGGCAGTCTGGATCACATGATGGGAAGCTCGCCGAATGAAAAAATCACGTGTCTTGACCGGCGTACTTCATCATCTACACGCCAGTGAGTGACACGGATAGCCTGGTCCGCACGAGTGCCAAGTCCTGCAATCTTCTCCTTTGGAATAGTGCAGCGAGGGCATGGACAGCCACCCATGTCACGAATTGTCACAATTAAAACCCTGACTGTCATTGAGTAGAGCACGCTGACGGTTAGAAAATAAACACAGACTTTTCGGGATAGTCTGCAGAGTATGTGAATATGCGAGGATAGATTCGTTGTCGGATGCCATCTGCGCAGTCTACAATGATACCATGCATGTATGCAGTAATAAAGTCGTCGTCTATGATGAGGTTCCAAGCTTGGTGAAAAAGTTCCCTTCGGCAATGTGTCAAAAGTGTCGGAGAGACAGCACGTCCTTTTAATCGCAAAAAGTCGGTGATGGAATCAGGCAGCTAGATTGAATTAGTATGAGTCATTTCGAAATGGTCAGACAGCAATACGATACTCACAGCATGCAGATAGGCCACGCAATGAGCAGCACGTGCAGTTGGCCTGCATCGATCATACTTTGACTGGTTAGCAAAGTAAGCATATATTGGCCACAGCTTGGCCTGTCCAAACTGCGCCACATGGGTGGCATCTGACCAGAACATAAATCCGGCCACCGCTCTTGGGAGATTGCAACCTGTTTCTCGTGGGGATGACTGCAGCTCACGGTCTGCTGCCAAGAAAGCATCCGATGTGTACACCTCGTCGAATACACGTTCTTCAACATCAGAGTGCGAAGGCTTCCAGAACTACTTGAATGGGTGGAAGTGAAATTGTTTGGACGGGGGAGATGTGAAAACCTCCTGGATGATGGTGAGAAGGCTGCGATGGCGAAAGTTGGGAATGTTGAATCTGATAGTAGGTACCTCTGGGGCATCAGGATCAATCTCGCCATGGCGGTGGGCAGTTTGAACATCCCTCGCACGTTGGCGCTTGCTTGACTTTGTGGTCTTCTCGCCCAATGGGATATCGATCGTTAGATTGGAATTTATCCACCCATTACCTTCCCATGGAGAGTCAGCATCGTCTGCAACTTGTGCATCTAGTTTGTCCATGTTAATGCCACATAAGTCTTCAGTCCTGAAGTCCGGATGTGACAGGACATTCTCGATCAACTCTTTGCGGTCCACCTTTGATTTGTTAGCTCCACGGTTCCAAAACCAGTGGTTAAGCAGGAACAAGCTCATATTGGGGTATGGATGTATTATCTCGGCAAGAGATTGGGGTCCCTCATTACTGGGTATCTGGGCAGAATCCCCACGCAGCTGCTCGAAATCAACATCCGCATCAGGAACACATGAGGGGCGTCCACGATATTCACACATGAGGCCAAAGGAATTCACGAGGGTGCAGAAAGTTTCAGTCACCAGGAGACGGACGTGTGATGGAAGAACATGAGAGGGAGGTTCAGTATTGCTTTGTGTACTGGAAGTAGCTAGTGGGCCTGGTCCTTCGGGCAGCATGTCAGACAATGTCTCATGCACTTTAGCGCTGGGCCGTCAAACACGTTTGCCTAGAGGATGATTGTTGATGTGGGGTGAAGTGGGTGTAGTAGAGGCATCTGCCATTAGAGACGGTTCGTCGTATGTGAAGTCGTCAGCCGTCCAGCAGGGGTGTGTGTCTGGGAGGGGGCTGGCAGCCTCGATTGGTGGGTCAGTCGAGCTCTGTTCAAGTAGAACATCAGTAATGAGGCACAGAAGGTTGGAACTACCCACAGGATGCTGCACCTGCATCGCCCTAAGCTTTGAAGCTGATAATGCTCCCATTTCAGCACGGCGAGACTTGTATGGAGTAGATATGTTGGCCTCTGCACGTTCAGGATGTAAATGCCTGGTTTTCCACTTTGAAGGCCCTGGTGACAGGCCAACATTCTCGATGGTGCGTTTGGAATGTTGAGCATGCTGATATACCCTGTCAGAGTGTCATATGGCAACCCTGCATCGTGTAACATGGCGGGTGAATGAACTGTCGTTGGCAGATTGTTGTCCACAAACACAATGAAGACTGGAGGACATGAATAAAAACGTCAAGACCGTGACTAGTAAACAGAGTGGTGGGAGCATAGGTATGAAAATTGCCTTTGACGTATCGAAATTAGCACAATCATATCAAGATCAGGTGACTCACAGACAGCTCCGTTGGAAATTTTCAGTGTTCCTTTGATTCATATTATCCATCCAAAGTTTTAAGACGCTACTTTGTATCGAAGTTCAGCTCAATGGTACTACTTTCAGATAAAGAAAACTTACACAAACGGTATGAACAAAGTACCTCATGTCTTGCTCGCCGGCTGATGCACTTGCAGAATGTTTCATTCGCAGTCCCCAGAGGCTGACATGGGGGCAGGTACACCCAAAGGCAAAAGGTATGTGAATCGATTGTCGTGGAAGTCCTGTTCTTGTCCCTAATAGAGATGCAGGCACAAACTGATCAGGAGGATACCACTATCAGATTTTATTAACAAACCTGGCGAGGCACTGACCACTTCACCTGTCCCTCCGTATACGATTGCCACAGTAGCTGAGGTGCCAGAGACACCTGTCCCTCCCTACCGCCAAACTCCAGCACCCCTAGTGGTCTCTCAGATGTACATGCATAGGATTGTGTCGGACCATTGGGAAGCAGAAATCAAGCGTTGCGAGGCAGAAATCAAGCGCTGTGAGGAAGCGCGAAGGGCGCACTTGTTGGAAGTGCAACTGGCTGCACATGGAATAACTAAATTAGTGTAGTTGAACGAGCCTCACTGGCCCTACCACAATGCAAAAATAATTACAAGTCCGTTGTTTCCGCTGATTGATCCGAGAACCTAAGTGTGCCGCGCCGCAGATGGTTTATAAAGAGATTGTATTCACAGACAGGAATCGCGATATTGTAAAGCGTCACACAATCTGGTTGCAGTCACCACAATTGATTGCACTGATTTGTAATACGACTACAAGTTCTCACGTGCAGGTAAATATTGTAATCTTATGCAATCTCGTAGGGAATTTGCTGATGTATTAGTGGTGGCGGTGAACACGGTTGAACGTTGAACGTTCGAACTGTGGCCAACCCAATTCTTGAGTCGATTCAGGTGGACTCCTGCAAACTATCGCATCGGATTTCTCGCCTGAATCTATGTTAAAACTGTTCGAAATTCCTACGTGCGCGCTTGCTCCGTCTTATGGAACCAATCACTGAATCCCCGTGCCTCCGGCAGTTGCATTCCTGATCTTACTGATCACATAGTCAAGTGTGAATATCCCGAGGCTACCAATAGTCATAAGTATCATATCTGCAAGTGCACCTGGGACCGGCCTAATCATTCTCCAGTATGTGTTAGTCAAACAATCAGCGTGAACTGATAATTCTCATATCTTCAGGTCACGGTGGCAGTCAAGGTTATCAGGGTACTGCAACCTAAGAACGTCTTGGATCTTACCGAGAGATACGACGAATTACTACAAGAAATCAAAGTGTGGGGCAGACTTCAGAACGAACATATTTTGCCTGTGCTCGGATACGTATACGGACATGGCCATTTACCTAGTCTTGTGTTTCCGTGGATGGAGAATGGGAGCTTGACCAACTTCTTGCGTGAACGCGAGTCCTTAGAGCGTGGTGAACGTTTTCGCTTGGTAAGTTCCTTTGATTATGATGGGATTCGTGTACAAACAAATTTCTGTATGTTCAGCTGCAAGACATCGCCTCGGCACTGCAATATTGTATGTCTGCACTCGTTTACAAAAGTGTGGACTCTTAAGTGGATTTTTTATTCTAGTGCATGCTATCGCAGTGGTTCACGGAGATTTAACAGGTGTGAGTTGTTACCAAAAATAACAGGGCAGACGAGCGCTGATTACTATCTCTGATGTGCTGGTGCGTCAGGACAACATTTTGGTTGACTCGCATGGGCGTGCTTTTGTAACGGGCGTCGGGCTTTCCAAGAGGCTTAACGAGGTCGCCTCCAAATCCGAGTCTGGTTCGAACGACACCCGTTCAGCCACTATTCGCTGGATAGCTCCCGAGTTGGTTGATGATGATGAAGAGACCTTTCCCACTTCCAAAAGTGATGTATGGTCTTTTGGTTGCAATATGATTCATGTACATCAACTCGTCCATCGACTTTCAACCCTACATTATGTATCTAACAACTCTCTCAGGTGCTCTCTGGGCAGTTGCCCTGGTGGTCAACTCGATCTAACCACATTCCCCTCCAACTACTTGCAGGAAAGGTACCACCACTACCACCAGTAATTGAGGATCAGGCCCAAGATTCATCCTTCCTCCGAAAATGCTTCTCTTTTTCACCAGCAGACCGCCCTTCCGCAGATCAGACACTAGCCTTTGTACGCAAAGCACTAAGGACGGGAATGCCGCAGACTGCGGAAGTTGCGGTGGTACGTTTGCTGAATAAGTGCCTATATGCAAGCTGATCGCCATATCAGCATGATCATGACCAAGGCATTCCCCCTGTTGATCAACATGATCACGACAATGGCATTCCTGCTGTTGTGGCCGAGTTCAAACGACGTGCTTTTGATCTGGTTCCATCACATTTGATCCATATCCCAACCATGGAATTGATCCCGCGCGACAAACTCATTACACTACTGAAACCAGAGACGATCACTGAGAAGGATATCCGTCAGTGTGGGGGATGGTCGAGGGAGTCTGCCATAGAGTCAGCTGTGGTCAACCTCCTCAAATATGCCATTCTATCACACCGATGGGGAGAATCGGAGCCGACATTCCAAGACCTAAAACGCGAAGGAGCGGGTTACAAGAAACTGGAGAAGTTTTGCGCAAAAGCAAAGGAGTATGGCTGTGATCTCGCATGGTCTGATACCTGCTGCATCAACAAAGAAAGCAGCTCGGAGCTTGATGAAGCAATTTGGTCGATGTACATGTGGTACCGCGAGGCCTATATATGCATAGTGCACCTGGCTCAGACAAATTCATGGGATACGCTGGAGAACGACGAGTGGTTCTTTCGTGGCTGGACCTTGCAAGAACTTCTTGCACCCCTTAGGATGAGGTTTTATTATGGTCCTACTTGGACGCCTCTTACACAGAATCTTAACGACAAAGATGACGCGAGGGTTGTTCGTGCTCTTTATCGCGCTACCAAGATCCCTGAAAACGACCTGCGCAACTTTCGCTCCGGGCCAAATCGTGCCTGGGAGAAGATGAGCTGGGCAGCGAGTCGGAAGACAACCCGTGTTGAAGATGTTGCCTACTCTCTTACCGGTATCTTCGACATCACCATGACGGTCGCATATGGAGAAGGAGATCGAGCTTTTAAAAGATTCATGGCAGAGCTTATCGAGAAGTGCAAGGAATGGCAAATTCTTGTGTGGGCTGGCGGACTCCCTGGATGTCCAACAGGGCCTTCCTGTTATCGCACAACAGACGGGGCAGCACTCGAGATGCTCAAGAACCACGAGATCTCGTGGTGGGGAGAGGGTTGTGGTGATGACGACTTCTCAATCACAAAGCGTGGCGTGCAGGTCAAGCTATTCATGGTCCCTGCCTCCATTGACCAGAGCCTCTGGCAGTCGGTATTCCTTTCCTGTCCCGCTGGTGGTCTCACGACATCACCGCTCGACGAGCTGGTCGTGCAATCTCCTTTCTTTCCACCTGCATCTACGACGGAGTGGGCGATCGGGGTTGTTAACTATCATGACCATGATGACGCTATGAAAGGAAAGTTGAAAGCAGGACAAATTTATATATGTTTCCTCTTGAGGCGGTTTTGTCGCCCTGGCCTGGATACCGTGCGCAACCACTGGAGAAGGGAGGTAACGGACAAGATTCTGACGGTTCGTTGCAAACATGACTTCGAAAAAGAAGTAGAGATCGTTTGGTTATAAATTATAGAGTAGAATGTGGTAAAGAAAACGTGTAACACATACAGTGGAACCCTCAATGATCATGTTACGAATGGTTCAATGAAATCGATTCGTGGTGGTGTGTCCCCAGCCCAATTGCAGTATCTGTATTGATGGCATGACGAGCCATGATAGCGCTGGTTTGACGTCGCTGCTAATATTGCCTGCCAATTGCTAGGCAATTGAACATGTCAACTAACACTGTCAGTCAAATTGCGAGCTCAGGCGCCATTATGTGCCGACAATAAAAGCTAGCGTCATGGCGCATTTGTACCATGTATCACAGCGTATGGAAAGTCAACAATGACGATCAAAGGGCAATATGCAAGTACATGAAATTGCAATTTGTATCATTCACTAAATCGTAGCAGGCCACTGGCAGCTCGCTCTTGAAAGCTTGACAAATCGAAGTGCTTCTTCAGCAGAAAAGTAATTGATGGATCGTCGTTGACTAGCAGGAAAATTCTAGTGCTGGTCAGGGTGAGCTAGAGGGAAGAGCAGATGGGAGCCTGAACCAGCAGTGGTTCCTTCTTCCACCCTAGCGTCTGCGACCATATCTCGAGCAATCACTAGTAATAGTTAACCAAGACATAGTAGCACTTATTGGACGAGGAATGGTATTGTTCTTGGCACGTTTTCAGTCACGTCAAATTGTTTATCAACAAGTTATAAGCATACTTTTCTGATTAATCCGCTGAACTCAGTTAGCACGAGTAGTCGTGTTGTTGGCAAAACTCGGCAGTTTGACAACCGGTTGTGCCCGGTCATCGGCAAAACTTGGCAGAACTCTCAGATCTGATAACATATAGTTTTAACATAAAACCAACGTCCCTAAAGAAAGATGGTGCATGCTGGAGGGGTTGGGAACTCACCGGCACCCGCGGTCGACATGCTCACATACATGTATACTCGTGAAGAGGTTGACTGACATTGCTGTCGACACTGCACAGGATCTTTTGCATGAGCGTTTCTGCTCTCGACCGAGTCTCGTGATGTAGATGACCTCTTTGCTGGTCCAGAGAGTATCTCACTTGACGACTAATTTGTGGCTCTCGAAGAGTTGAAGAAGACTGAAGTACAGAAAATTTAACCAAGTTGAAATGCAGGAGGGAAATGCTTTTGATTTCGACGAGTTGGATCGGGTCGAACAAGGAATAATATCCGGGCCACAGGCTATTATGAGGTTGAGGTGGTGGGAGGACATTACTTATGATGTCTTCATTAGGAATGCCGCTAGTACACATATAGTTGCAACCGGCAAAACTCTAGTCCACAAGGACCTGCATTTATAGTGTCCTTGCATGTAGACTGGTCCGCTGTCATACATGTGTCCATAACCGGGACCATGAATCCGAGGATATCCGAGTCAGATCGCGACGCCCGCGGAGTCGGACCTCTGATTTCACTTGCATTAATATTCTTTCTGCAGTCACGTCCTCCTTACTAGTAGTCGGCGGCCTCCGGGTCGGAGCGCACAGTCTTTTATCCGTCTGATAGCACCACAGCGCAGCAATCCCCAAGGCCTAAGAGATTATGCTCTCCCCAAGTGAGATTGTTGCATACTTACCTACTACTATGTTTCAAGCTCCCAACTCAGAAGGACTACATCTGCTCGATTCATTGGCGGCCGCCTATCTGATAGTATCTGATCCGGTTGTAACTTACATCAGACACGAAGTTTCCGGTCATAATTGCAACGCGATCTGCACAAGATCAACGTGAACGATGCTCCGGTCATAGCATGTTTGGGCGGCCGTGCATAGCTTACAATACTCTTGTTCCCCAATAAATCGGCATACATCACGGAGTATAAGTACTGCAGGGTACATGCAACCCATTGAAGCAATTCTCTTGCCAATCTTCTCTCTGCAAGCTTTCACAATAACAATGAACAGCCTGTCCACATCCACCCTCGATGGCGAAGTACGTGCTTGCGTTTTGATACCTTTCCATGTTTTGATTTTCATGTGGAATATAGGTTCTAGCAAGCATCCGCCAGTCCATCGCCGAATTTCTTCAGCGTTGCGGTTTGCAATACAAGAATACCACACTTGACGAGGCATGGCATTCTAAATGCTCTCAGGAGGCCATCAAGCGCGGCTATCCAATGGACGCCATCCTCCCATACATGGCCATTGGCGCGGCCGTGATGTCCAACGCTTACGACCACCTCCCGGACAATGCAACCAAGATGTGGATCTGCCTCTTCACCGCCGTAGGCGCGTGCATCGACGACATGATGATCAGGCCAGAATATATAGTGCATGTGTACCATTTCAACGAGCGGTTTGCGAATTGCCAACCGCAGGGGCATCCAGTTATGAGTGCGTATGACGGGCTCTTGCGGGAGGTCGCTTGCCATTATTCTGCACCGGTGTCGAATTTTATCGTGACGTCCGCGCTCGACTTTGTGTCTTCCATTTTACTTGACGATGAGACCAAAGATATGACGGTATGGTATCTCTCATATAAAGGAAGTGTCGATCTTTAACCCTTCATGTGGACAGATCTCGCCGCGAACTCCCTCATACCCCGAGTATTCTAGGATGCTATCAGGCATACCGTATGCGTACGCATACTGTGTTTTTCCTTGCACACTCCCGCTTCGTGAATACGTTCAATGCATGCCGGATCTAGCCATAGTCTTAAACCACGCAAAGTGACTACTACATCGATGATCTTCTGTTAACCTTTCTGACCTGTGATTCAGTGATATATTGTCATTCTACAAAGAGGAGATCCAAGGCGACACCGCAAACTACCTGTCGCTCATGGCAGCCTCTCGTGGCCTTACCAAGCAGGACGCTCTCCAGGAACTCATCGAGAAAACTGTGCAAGCACATCAAAATATCCTCGAATTTCTGAGACCATGTCCTGAGGCATATGATGCCTATGTCGCATTTTTCGATGGGTTTATCAAAGCCCATATTACCGTAAAAAGGTACAAGCTGGAGGAGGTCATGTCGGAGAGGTCATCTTCTTAATGGATACCTTTTTTATGGTACTTCTCAATATTTTCTGTATGTTGATCACCTATTCAAGTAGAGCGCTAGCTATCACGTTTACAAAATCTGCCAGGCACCATTAGATTGCCGCTCTTGCTCCCTCCAGTTTCGAGCGGCTTGATGAGAATGTGTGCATTTTTCCCAACGTACTTACCTCTGGGCTAATTCAGTGTATGTAAAGTCGTTGCTGTAAATATTAATACACTTCGCACTGCATTTTTATAAGTTGACTCCACTGAATAATATAATTACTCGGTAGTTCCTGCCCTTTAGTCTGTCATCGACTCGGCATGACTATGATAGGTACACCCTAATAAATTGACCATCGTATGGTAGTAAATCTCCTTTGCTAGTCAGTGCAGTGATGTCCTACATATACATATGCATGTCTTATTTATTTTACCTGACTTTCACTTGCCAAGCCGTCCCGAATGGCCTGATTTTTTCCTGGCCATTCTATGACAACATATAATGGATTCGGACTGCTGTTAGCGTCTGGTATAGCCAGGCTCAACATTTGTAAACTTTGTTGCCACGAATTTGAATGAGGCAGTGTCGCCTCAAAGCAGCGCAACATCTACGTCAATGACAAGGAGAAGCGACGTGACCCCAATGTGACATCAGGATTCTTCACAAAACATCGATCATCAAACAATGCGATTATCCTACTTGCCTCATCTAGCACAAGTATGTATGCAACGTACAACAGCCCCAACTTCTTGACCATGCGTCGAATTAACCAGATTTCCAGTAAGCAATATCTCCGTCCACCACTGTCGTCCGTCCATCAGTGATAGTCTCAAGGAAACGACGGGAAGAACCCACTCTCATAAGGCTTGCCTTGCTGTCTCAGTTTACCTGCAGCCTTCACAGCAGATTCGCTTCCATTCTCCTTGAGGTCCTCGTACGTCATGATTTCACCACAAACGAACTTGTTCTCAAAGTCAGAGCTACATAAGTGTGAGAAGAGGTAGAATAAAAATAAAAAAACAGCATACTGAATAACACCGGCCGCCTGAGGTGCCTTTGTCCCCTTGCGAATCGTCCATGCACGTACTTCATCAGGTCCACAGGTGAAGTAACGGATTAACTGTGATTAAAAATTCGGATCAGTGACCGATCAGCGACCAACGGATGAGACCCACGTCAAGACTGGAGTACCCCGCCTGTGTTATCTTTCCGAGGGCACTTTGTGCTCCTGGTTCCTTCTGAGCCTCGGCACGCTCATCGTCAGGAAGTTGCGCAAGACGCTCCTCCAGTGATACAGAGAATGGGATGAGAGGGTCCCCGGGGTTATGTGCGTCAATCCAGCCCTTGATCTTGGCTAACCTGTATGCGGGTGTGGGCTGTGGTAACAAAGAGAGTTGGATAAAGGCTGTACCACTTATTCTTCTTGCGGACGTAGTCCTTCTCGCTAAGGTTGACGAGGTAAGTGATAGGCTTGGCGGTCAGGAGGGTAAGGCTGTTGACGACCTCGATCTACGGTGGGATTAGCGTGCGCCCAGAAAGTAGCAAGTTTGTGAAGGTTAGAGGGTAGAAAAAACATCATTGAATGATGGGGCGTTACTCCCGCTGAGTCAAGCGAGTTTATGCTCTTTTCATAGCTCAAAGGCGATAACGAGATATGGAATTTACCTGTGGAATCGTGGTCAGTATGGTAGATGAAGATCGCAGATGACAAAGAAGGAATCAGAGAAATATGTTATCTCAAAGGAATATTGGGGCGTTACTCCCTCCTCAACGAGCTGGGTTATCGAGCAAAGCTCTTTTTCATCGTTCAAAAGCGATGATGAGAATATCATATTTACCTGTGGGACGACAGTCAGCACGGTGGACAAAGATTGCGGAAGACGAGGAACAAATCAGAAAAAATAGTTATCTCAAAGGAATGTTGGGGCGTTACTCCCTCCTCAACGAGCTGGGTTATCGAGCAAAGCTCTTTTTCATCGCCTAAAAGCGATAACGAGAATATGGTATTTACCTGTAAGATGACCGGTCAGTATGGTAGACGAAGATTACGACAGCAAGGAAGGAATCAGAAAAAACAATTATCTCAAAGGAATAGCGGGGCGTTACTCCCTCCTCAACGAGCTGGGTTATCGAGCAAAGGCTCTTTTTCATCAAGGTACAGACCAAAGTGCTGGCCAAAAAAATAATGGCGAGTATAAGAAAGACTTGCCTCTTTATTGTTCCACTCGCACTTCCTGATATCCTTGCCATCGACGGTAAGGGCCTTGTAGATTTTCTCAACTGTTGCCTACAGCGTGAGTCCGCACCAGCTACACACCAAACGTTTCCAGCGAGACGCACGATTTCTTCCTTCTTAGCCTTATCCGCCAAACTGTTGTTGCCAAGCGATCGACCAGTGCGCTTGAGGCCGTCAAGGTGCTTCTCGACCCATTCAATATCCTTGAGGCGAAGCTCGGTCTGAATGATCTCCATGTCACGAAGAGGGTCAACATCGCCCTCTACATGGATGACTTCGGCGTCATCAAAGGCACGGACGACCTGGAAGATACCATCGACAGCGCGAACGTGAGACAAGAATGCATTTCCAAGTCCTGCACCTGTTGATGCACCCTGTAAATATGTTGGTGAACAAATCAAGGTTCATGGGTCATGAACGTACTGCAGTAAGACCTGCAATATCAATGCAGGTGAGGAAAGCAGGCACGCGCGAGGCGGGCTTGTACAGATCGCAAAGCCAATCGAAACGCACGTCCGGCACGGGGATGCGCGCTTCTTCTGGGTTGATTGTTGCGTATGGAAAATTGGCAGCCTTTCCCAAATCTAAAATATTTTAGACTCGGACGCGTACCCACAATGGGCTATATCCGCACCGGTGTCGGATAGAACATTGAAGAAAGATGACTTTCCAACATTCGGAAGACCTGTACGGATTGTGATTGAGTCTGGATTCGATTCCAGGATGATAAGCGCATACCAACGATACCGATCTTCAAGTTATTGCTTGGACGACCAAGCAATACCTTTTTCTCTGCAGCAGGAGCCTTCTTGGGAGGCATTTTCTTCTTCTTAGCTTGAAGTGTGTGCGACGCAGAAAACGGCCGCAGAAAAATAAAACAAGACGCAGTAGATGTACGGGGAAGGCGATGCAAGCAGAATTGCCGCCATCGATCTATCATCTCCCAAAAAAAACTAGTCACGAGCTCTGCAAGAAAGAGAAAAATTCGGGAAGCTGTCCCTTTATGGCACTCTCACGGCCGTAATACGAGGTGATTTTCGGCAGTACATATCCCAATATGGAAGGCATCCTGCCGATGGGTTGATAATACCTAAGCACTGCGGCATACCACGCTCGCGGCTACCCAGACAACGACAGGCGCATCTTCCTTGTCAAAACGCGATGAAGAGCGTTGTACTAGCTGTAATCGCCCTGTGTGCGTCGTGGACACATGCTCAGACATTGACTGTCACAAACATGTATGATTATCAGCCTTTTCTACACTGAGTTTTTGTCTTACTGGAACAGCGGCGGCGCCACAGTCGTGGAAGTCGTTACAACAAACCCCATTAACGGTCTTGCTACAACACAAACACTGTGAGTGAACTCGTTGTTCGTAATTTAGCCTCGAAGGACATGCTCATAATGTAATAGGCAAACCGTGACTTCGAACTCTCTTACCTCAAATACCCTCTTAACTACTACCACTGGGCCACTCCAAACTATAGCAACTACTTCGACCACACAGAATCAAGGCCCAGTAGAACAACCCGGAACAACAGTCCTAACACCAGGGGGACCTACCCCATACACTTATACCACAACAAACGCAGCTGGCTCCACAGTCGCCGTGTTAGCAACCTTCACACCTACAGGGCCTGCCACTGTATTACCAGCCCCAACAACCACCGGCACAATCCTCAACTACTCATCATATGTGGCTTCAGTCGGGACAGGCTCAGCAGCAACGTCTGGTGCAACCCGCCGGGCATTCTCACTCTCCAGCGGTTGGTATGGACTGGTAGCAAGCACGATGCTTGGCATCGGTGGTGGTGCATACTTCATAATATTATAAGGCGTACGTTTTATACCGATGTGAGTCGATAGGACAGTCGTAGATGGACTCTTGATGTGCGATGATCACATCAACTTCATGGCTGCTGTGTCGCCTAGTCACTACATAGACACTCACTACATGTTATCTCGGGTTACTTTAGTTACTCTGGAGCCTGTTGTCCCCTTGGTCTATCGACAACAGTACTTATTTAGCTTGATACCACTGTTTGGACCCTTGCAATGTCATTCATTAAATGAAATCTCTGTGCAGTAGTACCCGAAGCGGTGATTAAGCAGTGATTCGGAGTGACAAAGATCCTTCATATTATTATCAAGGAACGCACATCCGTCGGATCGACCTAACATTGAAACCCCCGTGAAACCAGCATCGACCACGTTCCATCATAATTTGACTCCGCGATATTCTGCTTAACATCGTTTGTGGGCTCGTTGTGGGCTCGTTGTGGACCTTGAAGCAGGTCCTGTGAGGCTGTGATCGTCACTTTTTTCTAACTTTCTCCCATGTTCAATCAATTGCAATCGCAGCAACAACCATCACAACTTGAAGTTCAAGCTCAGTCCAATGCAAGTCAGGAAGTACTCGCTGTCGCCTGTGTCATCGATGCCTCCCTAGCACTCGCTACAGAATGGACTCGTGTACTCACAGCGTACATCCTGCCAATTCTCAAGCGTCTGAACGAAGCATACAGCGGGCATAATGTAAGTTTTACCCGAATCATTCTTCTGACAAACAACATGCTGAGTATGAGCCTGTATGAATGATGTGTTTAGTTCCGACTAGCTTTAGTGACGTATGGCGCTGCGGATACATATCCCAGTCCGCTGTTATCACAACGTTTCTTTCTCTCCCCAAATTATGTGATGAAGGAATTGCGTGAGGATCCCAGGAAGTTAGGAATTGGTTCAGTGATCGGTGCAAGGGGGCTATCCGCCCTGGAGGGAATGGTTGCTGCTATCGAGGTGCGTACTACCGTATCTTGAGCCACTTCTCACTCTAAGCTGTGATGAAAGCTCTTTGACATCTTGCATAACTCGCTTGCCTTGGCTGGTCCGAAGGATGGTCGAATGCACGTTTCGCATATAATACATATCGCTGGAAGTCCACCCGATTCTGCGCAAAGGCCCTCATGGAATACCCTTCCGTACCTCGACTCACTATCATGGGACACGCTACCAGTAGAACTCAAGAAGGTTAGTACCCTCGGATCAACTTTTCACGTTAAATTGACCTGCCTCATAGAGAAAAATCAATCTGAGTCTTGTCACACTACAACCAATACAACAGTTCCAGGATGTTCAGTCTGCCGTCAGTTTACATTTAGTATGTCTAGCGCATTGTCATTGAAAACTCTTCTTCCTTAGACCTCAGCACCAGCTCCACAAACAAATCCCTGGTTCACTGTCTATACACCACATATACTCATGCTTTCTGGATTTCCCTCACTGTCGCACGTGCAGACCCCAAAACTCAGTGAGCTTTCACGAACCTCCATCCTATTCCCCCGCTCACAAATCCCAGACGTTGCAAAGCGTTCAAACGAATCTCCTCAAACACCAGATACAAAACGACAGAAGGTCAACGAGAAAAGCTCACCAGCACTTAGCCCGCGTCCTCCTGGAGGAGGTGCCGGTCCAGTAGGCCAGAGACCACCTTCTCGGCAGGTTCTCACACCTTCTGTCCCACCTTCCACCCTACCTCAACCACGTCCGCAATTGCTCCAACCTTCTCCCATACCTCCGCACGCAACCACGACATCTGCACCTAGCCCTGCAAAACCCCCTGCAAAACCTGTCGCACACCCACCTTCCAATGCTCCAAACCCTAATGCTCCCCCTACGCAACACACATTCCCCCCCAATATCAACATGGTAGTCGAGCGCGGAAAAGCTCTCGAAGTCGAGATTAAAGTCATCGAAGCCAAACTCCAGGAAGCACAATCTGCCGGGAACGCTGCAGATGTCGAGTCGCTTCAGATGGAGCGCGTCGCGAAATATCAGCAGGCGATGAAGATCAAAACTATTTTGTATTCAATAGCGAATAGGCCTGCAATGGGTGGTTCGAATTCAGGTGCAGGGGGGTCGGGAGAAACGCCTCAGCCTCAGCCTCAGCCCCAACCGGCGGCGAGCAACATAAAGTCGGAACATGTAGCACCGCTAACGGTGTCTGCGCCCGTATCCGCACCCATGGAGGAGCAGAAGCCAGTCACGGATCAGAAGCCACCGCTGACAGATCAGCAGGCACTAATACACCTCATGCAGGCGCGTTCGGGAACAGCACCATACGCGAATCCAGAGCTTGCAGCGCAAATGCACAAGTTGCTCAACAAGACTGGTATCCCGGGACCAACCTTTTCCGGTTCACCTCAACCCCGACCAGCCCATCCGCCTGCCTCTGGATCTACATCTCAGCATCAGTCTCAGCCCCAGCCCCAGGCCTCAACCTCGGCAATCCCAGGAGGGCCAAATCAATGGGAAGGCTCTTTTACTATACAGCATGCTGGACAACCAAAGGGGTTTGAAGTGCAGGTGGCCGCCGTTATGAATTCTAAAGGTCAACCGTACGTCATCGGACAGTTTCTGTGGTCTAGTACTAATTCCTTGTGCAGCCACACGGAAACATGGCCCGATAGAATGTTCATCGATATACCACAAGGAGGACTGAAGGATCCATCAGATTTAAAGTTATGGCTTCAAAAACACCACCAATCTGCTGTGATAGCTCAGTTCAGGCCCCAAGCACGAAGCATTGAACAGAAACAAAATGACGCGGCTCATAATGCGTTGATGAGGATCATGATGGAAGCACGAACAGCGAGTGTTCCGTCCATTCTCGCTTTCTGTCGTTCCTACTGACAGTCTTTGATATTCAGTATGGCATAGTGGCGTGGCAACTTCCTTCGGGGACTATGTCACAAAATATGATCGTGTTCCCCATGAGTAACAAGCTAGTAGGCGCAGTGTTCCCTGTCACTGGACTTCCGGATCTACCGGGCTCTGGCAAAGTTGACGGCTCAAAACCGCAACCGCAACCGCAACTGCAACAACATTCACAACCACAACTGCCACTGCAACAACTACAACAACCACAACCACAACCACAACCACAACCCCCAGGCGTCTTCACCCCTGAGATGCTGACGCGACTTCAGGGCCTTGACCCGCAGCAGCAAAGGCGCTTCATGCAACAACTCGCACTCCAGCAGAAAATCCGGCAGCGGCAACGAGAACAACTCCAGCAGCACCAACAATTACAGGCAGGGGTAATGCAGCAGGAGGTACAGGCACCAGCACCTGGTGTGGGAATGCAGAATATGAGTCCGTTTTCGAATGGAGCGAATATGCCAATGAATATGTTTGTAAGTTGTTATGCTACACCTACGTGAGGATATACTGACAATTCGACATGAACAGGGCGGTGGTGGGGTACCGCAGAGGCAAATCAACGGGGGCATGCAGCTTGGCGGCGTGGGGTCCACGGTGAATAGTGAGATGATGCAGTCGTTTATGCAACGGAATGCGAATGGACAAGGGATGAACCCTCGTGATTGATGAGGCTGTCCTAATTTCTTCATTGGCTTTGGGGCCTGGTTCTTCAAGCCCTTGCTTGTCCCTCGAGAACAAAAATGACGGATATATTGTGATGTAAGCGATGTCAAGCATGGTTTCAGACTTTTACATTGATTGTTATGTTCTACTATACATCATCACAAGCACTTGCATGCTATCTTGTACACACTCCAAGAACTTCACTGTTTTGTCGCATTGTAATTATGGTATAGGAATTCTGCATTTTATTAGGATTGCGTTGTATTGAATTTACCGTCTGTTCCCTGAATCTTTTCGTGGTCGGCAAGATTAGCCTGAGTTTCATAGACAGTAATGACTGGATCGCTCTTGCGCTGAGAGAATGAACGAGTCTTGAGAATCGAAAACAGTTGTTTGAGAACTGGCATACCTCAGTCCAATGACCAAGGAGACCGACATAATAAATCCTTGTCGTGTCCGCACCCTGCGAGGCAGGGAAAAATAACGTCAGGGAGGAAACGTTGTTGAACTTTGCCGTCCTGGAGGGTGGATGTTAATATGACTCCCGGAGAGACGGATCAAACGTACTTGACAACATACTCCGCGACATTCCTGTCCTGAGGGATCTCAAATTCTTGAACAGGCACCTTGTCGGAAACGTCGTTGAAATCCATGCTGGGCTGATTGGAAAACTACATGTGGGACGTGAATAACATGTTGTTAAGTAGGGATTTAGACCAACCAGAGCGACTTTTGTTGGGGTCTGGTCGCCCGGGCCCGTCTTCAATAATAAAGACCGAAGCTTGATGGATCCGGTAAAAGGGATACGTAGAATTCTCAATAGAATGTTATTTGAGCTGCATAATGTCGAGATCTCGATTCAGCGAGACCTTACAGCTGATCGTCGGCATCCGACTCCAAAAACTAGAAATGGTTTCAAGATGATCAATTCCTGAACATAAGCACATGTATGAGAGACGTGGCATACAGCTTCTTCGTTGTTCCTCTGATCCCAGGGTTTAACAGCGACTGAGCCTTCCCTTGTGGCGTTGAGTGCGACGACGTTGGCGCGGTCGATGTGCGAGAAGAGGTTATCATTTGGGCCAAGGTCACTGGTTCCATGATCATGTTCATGGTCGTTGTCGTTACTCTCGTGGCTACAGTGTCCGTCGTGATGATTGTGTGACATGAGGAAACAATATCTTAGACAAGCGGTCATCGATAGTGTCATCGATCTCCTACTACAAATTGGCTACGTAAGCAAACCAAATAGATCTAAACAATGCTGCTGGACTTCGCTTTCTTTTGTCTATTTTCTTTCTCATCCTCCTGACGCAGGTATAACACCTGGTAAGTTTTCTAGTTCATTACTTTTTTCATGATGCTACTAGTAATTTGCGTTCGATCCACTCGTCTTACACCAAAAGGTTAGCTCGCCCGCCAGCCCTGAGGCGAGTGAGCTGAGACAATCTCTGCAGCCTCTGATTTTTTATCCTCTTTCATTGAGAAGAAATCTGGATACTGACCTTCCTTCTATTCACAGGTTTTTTTGTAAAACTTTCTGGCGTACCTGTAGATTGTAAGACTGCGAAACGTTTATTTATTGTTGTACAATGTACCAATACACATCTTTCCTTTGATCAGTCATCGATCATCTGCTACTTTGAACCCGACGTCCATGACTGAGAATTCACAATCATCTACGCCTACGCAGGATAGTGGCACATCTACACCGGGCTCCAGTAGTGCGGGAGATGCACCCGCAACTGAGTTTAAGGTGTACAAGCCTCCAAACTCATCAACCACCAGCGCTCCTCGTAGGTTACCACGTTTTGAAAATGTGACCCCGTAACTAATCGTAAGTTCTATAGTAGAAGAACTGCCAGACTCCTACTTCACCCCATCTCCTGCTGACCTGAAGGCTGCTCAAGCAACATTAAGCGCCCGGACACGATCACTAGTTGATGCACCGCTACAAGTACGAGCTCAGCGAGAGGCAGCAGAGAAGTCAAAGAGAGATCGATGGCCAAATGTGTGTCTCTTCAGTCCCAAGTCAGTTGAGTTAGGGCTGAATACATGCAGACAACGATACGTGTCAGGTTCTCTGATCGAACACAGCTGGAAAAGATTTTTCCCTCTACGGACAAAATTCGCTCCGTGTACGCATTTGTGCGCTCGTCCCTCCGAGATGATGTAAAGCCTATCAAGTTCATCCTATGTTTGTGTGCTAGCAGCTTTCAATGGGTCGGGCTTTGACATCATTCGTAGATCAATCTCCTCCCAAGCGCGACCTGAAGGTATCAGACCCAAATGTCCGCGATTTAAGCTTGGCACAACTGCAGCTTGCCCCATCATCAGTCCTCCTTCTGCGTTTCGAAGACGAATCTTTGAATGGTAGGTCCATTCGCGGTGAAGTCATGCATCGCTCCTCACGAGGCTCGCAGGCACGAATGTCCCCGCACCCCTATTGCCATCCATTGCAGAAAGTGCCATCGAGCTACCGAAACCCCCCAGTGCTGAAGCCGATCCTCGCAAGGTAGAGAAGTCTGCTACACCTCCCACAACGTCGACCACAAGTACCGGGAAAAAGATACCGAAGTGGTTGAAGGCAGGTCTAAGTACGCGGCTTGCTTTGTTGGCTTTCCGTTTCTCATATTCATTCCCAGGAAAGTGAAAAGGAAGATCAACACATGTATTATCTTGGGTCTCAATTCGAGGTCCACCTGTATAGTTGCCGGCTTCTACCATAGATCATCGCATGAAAGAGAAACAAATGTAATTTACCTCAATACACAGGAAATGTTGGATCTATCTCATTGGACCATGCACGTAAGCCTCCGATAACATCTTTTACAATCAGATTGGAGTCGATTGCCCTGATGGCGTCCGCAGCGATTTGAGAATCGTTGCCTAATCTGCATAGAACAAACACCCGACACGACTTGTCTGAGGGAAGATGAGGCGCTGGGTTAGCCAATAGGATATTGAGGGGGACACCTGAACACTAATAAGACGACTGTGCCTCTAGCCCGGAAATCACTTACTTGTAGACCTCGGAAGACGACATATACCAAACTCAGTTCTTGGCCGCACATCGATGATGGTATGATTTATGTTTGATTCGAAGACGGATTTCAGTTCTTTGACGTATATCCGCGATTCAGGCTCGCCATCTTTGAGACCACGCTCTAACCAATTTGGCCGTGCGCCACCACAAAATGCCACATAATCGGTTTCTTCGATGGTGCCAACTTTCTGGCCCTCGATCCCACACGCAGCGCAGGTAGGCTTCCTTGATCTGAGCTTCACGGTGCGAAACGGAGGGACAGATAGAGCGCTGAAAAGAAGTAGAGACGCTTTACCATCTTGGCAATCTTTCAGAAACTACAAGCCCCGCAACAGCTGGTACAACTCACCGTGGAGACCGGTAATGAGCTTCATCGCTTCAAGTGCCTGTAGATTTCCGATGATCCCTGTCACAGCGCCTAGTATACCTGTCTCCTCGCACGATCCTGCCATTTCTGGCGCAGGTGGCTTTGGAAATATACAACGATAGCAGGGGCCATCATCGCCTAGATTGTATATGCAAAGCTGCCCATCGAATTTCTGGGCGGCTCCACTGACGAGAGGCTTTTTGAGCCTTACGGCGCTATCAGAAAGGAGGTAGCGTGTGGGAGCATTGTCTGTGCAGTCGAGGATCACATCGTACGGGGCGAGAATAGAAAGAGCGTTGGATGAATCGAGAGCAGTGGGACATACGTCAATATTGACGCGTGGGTTCAGAGCAGCGATGGCTTGGGCTGCAGACACAGCTTTCGAGCTGCCGATCGTTTTATCCGTATGAAGTATCTGGCGTTGGAGATTGGACAGTTCAACCGTGTCATGGTCGATTACGCCTAGGCGACCTATCTAGCAAACGTGAGGTTCCTCCGGGTTGCATGGTTGTTTGAAAAACGGGCCTACGTACCTACACCGGCTGCAGCGAGATATTGTAATGCGGGGCAACCAAGTCCCCCTGCTCCGACAACCACTACAGATGAGTTCTGTAGTTTTAGCTGACCTGTTGGGTGGTTTGCGTGAGCGGTTGCAGATGGATCCAGATTTTGGCCCACCTTCCAATCCGAAGCCCTCAAGTATCATCTGTCTGCCATACCTTTGGTAATCATCTGGACGCGACAGTCGTGGAGGATCGTTGTCGACCATTTCCATATGGTGCTTTTAAAGACTCGGAGATGGCAAACGATAAACGATGTTAAATTGGCTATATAGTGATCTCATAATAAATTACATAATTAAAGCACTCCCGGGTTCAAGGAACGGTTGACGGCATCGCCGACGTGGATATATACCACGCCTATCACGACCGCGGCCGCCTTCCTTCTCTCATTGTCTTCATCACTCGATGTTGCTGCGGATCTTCCTTCAATGACTTGTTCTCCGTCTCTCATCATGTTTTGTCCCATCTCCTTGTAGCTCGTTTTCATCCGATTCAGTTCACAATCGTCCTCGCTCTTCGTGTTGTCTTTCAGTTCACAGTCGTTCACAGTCTTTTGGTCTTGTTGTCATTCCGTTTGTGGTATACTTCATGTTACCTTGTATCAATTCAATGGCTCTACGTGCAATATATGATTTTGTTCGTTCCTGCTGTGTGGCCTACAAGCATCTTTGTATTTTCGGAGCTTCCATCAAATTATCCCTCCACATTCAAACCCTAATCACTCTTTTTCTAGATATGGAAATCCGTCCTGGGATGGACCCTAAACCCTATTCAGCTTAGGGTTAGCTAAGTGCCTTTGTTCATTGCACGAGGTGCGAGACGAACGCAAATCTTGTCTGTAGTCTTTTTTTCAATGCATACACCCAATACTCACTCATCCTCTTTCAGATTCATCCCCACCTTTCAGCGCTCACTCGTCTTCCACGTGCATGGTCTGCAGGCCGCACCTATGATCTGAGCAAGCCCGGGCCTATCAAGCGAGTCGCAGCTGCAGGACGTTGATAGCTGTGATTATTGTCATCAAGGTATAGTCTCAACACTCAAGTTAAAACAAGCAGTTACATAGGAAACCGGCTTAAACGCTGTGGACCTGGTAAAGTGCGTGCATGGACGATTCGCAAGGGGATAAAGGCACCTCAGGTGGCCGGTATTATTCAGGACGCTCGTTGAAGTTGGACAAGCTTTACGAACATAGAAACATGTCTCCTTCATTTTTTGCTTGGAAATAAGGGCGCAGGTTGGAGGGTAGGTGTGAGACTACAGGTCGGGTGTGGTGGGCAGTAGTAGACGCGCGATGGGCGCGATGGCAAGGTGCTTAACCTTATACGTGAGCAGAAAATACTTTACCGAGCGATGGTCACCTCATGATATTCGAGAGGCCAGAACGATCACTGTATTTTTTGGTGTCAATATAGAGAACTATAACACGAGAGTCGATGACAAACGATCAATAAGAATCTATTGTAGCAACACAGCTAGCAACCGTACAGCAAGGATACATGAGGGGGTGAGCTCGCCTAGGTGATCCTCTTCATTCCCAAGTGGACTTCGCACATGTGGCGCCACATACAGTCGCGCCGCATAGAACGTACTGCCGAGTTCGAACGCTTTTTATAATCACAATGGTCCCAGCGGCACTCTATCTGTGCGTATGGGGGACCGACATTTAAGTGAGATTTACAGTGCGCTTTTAGTGTCTCTAATGTTCCCCAGAATCCGCAGATTTGGGATGCGTCGTCGTGTAGCCATTTGCAAGGCAAGAGAGGAGACGAGGAATGGCCATGAGGTGGGAGGAAATATGAATGGTTGGTGGGTGAATGTTCTGAGAGGTGATGTATATTTTCACCGCGAGGCTGCGATGAAAAGCGATATTCTGCAGCCAAATGCGGAGGTATAGTAGGTGAGAGTGGCCCGCTCGAAGGAGGGATGGCGAAAACCTGCCAGTGATACGACGGCTCGTTAAATGTGGTGGAATCGGTGGAATTCAAATGGTGGACTCGGACATCGGGCCACCTGCGTATAATGGTAATTATGAGAAAATCAAATCATGGGGCGCAAAGGACATACATCAGTAATGTGCTGCATGACGCAGGATCGTGGTGCCGGGCGCTGTGAAGGGTCACTGGGTGACTTTGCCAGGAGCCATAATTCGAGACACATGTAAGCGTATTGGTGGCGGTTGGTGGAAAGTTAGTGGATGAATTGGCAGGGGCGCAACAGACATGGACGTCAAGGACATCTTGATTGATTGGCAGGAACCGTCGGTCTAGCATGGTTTCACGGTCAAAGGACAAGAGCGAGCGCAGGGTATACAGTAGGGCCTAAACCTGAGACGCTAGTTGTTGCGAGAATTGGTTAAGATAGACACAGTTTTATATGCCCATCAGGACCGCAGGCAGTGTGCACATGAAGCTTGGCAAGCAGAACCAATGATGCCACACCACTGCGAGACTTACATATGGTCGAATCCCAAAAAAACAGATCGGCGGCATGATGAGAATAGGCTATGCAGTTTCTGTAATGGCTGCCACATGGCTCGAAGGTGAACACAATTTAGGTAAGTGCAACAAGCAATTTTGCGATGGGGAGCGAGGGTGGAGGCGAGATTTGGGAGCCCGGAGATCCCAGTCGTCGATCTCGGGAAAATCTTGTAAATTGTTTTCCATTGGATCTAGTTCGATTGATAAGCAGTGGTAACGAGGCTTGTCGCAACCAAGAACTTCTCTCATTAAGAGGACATGCACTTGTAGTGACTAGCGGAGTAGCGGAGAGTACAAATAAAGTGTTGGTATAAACCGAATAGAATCTTTGCGCCCACACACTCCTATTTTTTGTAATATCGGATTCCACGAATTAGGACTCAGACAAAAAAGAAGCAAGATACAAGGGCCACATCAAAAAATATTACATCTACTTAATACTGAAATTTTACTTCATGAGCCTCGTGTCCTTCCTTGCACGTAATTGACAAATACAACAAAAGTTATAATTGGGGCTGACACGTAAAAAGAACACCCAGAATTCTGTCATCCTTCCCACCCTGGCCTTCCTTCCACGTAGTTGACACTGACTCAGACACCCAAATTGTCCTTCCTCCCACATAAGTGACATGAAGAGCATCTAAAACGTAAATGGTTTTGGGGTGTTCTTCCTGTCAATTACGTGCAAGGAAGGACATACCAGTGCTCACCTTGACTTTATTACATTTCATACAGGGTGGCAAGAGTCCAATACTATGAGATCTGATATGTATTCATCAAGGGTATCCTTTCAGCTGCAATGGATGTTGCAATAGGTCAGACACCTGCTGCCATCAGCCAAATCACTAGTGATTGATTCTTAGTACGTCAGTCTTGTGATTATTATTCAAATATTGACCAAACAGGATTGTTACGTGTCTCACAGTGGAGCTTAACTATGAATCAGACAGTTGGGTTGTAAGCTAAACGATTTGCGCCACTTAATGCTAGACTAGCGCCAACCGTACCAAGTAGTTGTTCAGTCTTACGTTTTCGAGCATCTTGATCAATCATCTTCGAAATACAGCTTGGAACGGTGATGATAACATTCATGGCTGAAGCTGAAACGAGTGACTCTATCACCGCGCATCACACCCGCCGACTACTACTGTAAATCCATTTCGGTCACACAGGGTCCTTCACCATGGCTCCTCAAACCTGCTGGCTGGCAGCGCCTCTGTCCCCCTGCTCTTCTCTCAATGCCATCGCAAAGTATAATGAGTGCTTGTCAAACCAGTCGCTTTTGTCATTTGGTGAAGAAATCGACACGGAGAGTATTGCGAAGAGCCACGCCAAAAAATAACATCTGGGGAAACACCAGGGACTCGTTGACAAATGATAGATGCTAAATTGCGACCCAGACTGCAGGATGGAACGAGACAACTCTAGTTGGGTCATTACCATTGAGCGATGATTATCTCCAGAGACGACGTACAAACATGAAATTAAAGGACCATAATTTAGACTGTGACATTGAATGCTTTGGAGGCCGAACCAGTTATGAAAATGGCTCAAGCTCAAGGATGGGTGGACGATGACTCCGACTTGAACCTCATCGAGCGCAGAGGCGAACGTTGTAAGCGAATTTGAATTCCAGTGATGATGGTCCTGACCAAGCTGAACGCGCCAGCGCCAAGTTAGCGCGGCACTTTGTAACTTGGTTGTTTAGTAACTGTTCAATTTACGCTTTTGAGCCTCATCTGCTGTGTAATTGGTATCAACTGTGAATTGCACCTTACCTTCGATGGATGAAGCTGAAACGAGTAACATATTCTATGTCCCAACACCCAGTCTCCCCAGCATTACACCTCCCGACTCATATGATCGTTTTCGGTCTCAGTCTGTCCCTCTCATCATAGACAACGGCTCCTCAAACCTCCGTTTTGGCTTCAGCACGTCCGCTTCTCCCCAATCTTCTCCTAATGTCATCGCCAAGTACAAGGAGCGCAAGTTCAACCAGTCGTTGTTACTGTTTGGTGACGCAATTGACACGGAGAGTGGTGCCAAGAGCCAGGGCAAGACACCTTGGGAAGGTGATGTGTTGTTGAATTTCGATGCAATGGTGGGTTCCTACATTGCTGATCTGTGTGGGTGGCGCTGAGGATAGGTGAGTTAGGAACACGCGTTGGACTATGCGTTTGTGAGGTTGGGAATCGACGCAGAGGGCATCGACCACCCGGTGCTCATGACAGAAAGACTCTGTTCGCCACTGCATTCAAGAGCATGTACGTCCTTAAGCTCCTCGTGTTGACTGCCTCACCAAACCAAATGCATAGTGACCTCCGAGCTCATGTTTGAGCAATATTCGGTCCCTTCACTCACTTACTGCGTCGACTCTGTGATGTCGTTTTACCATAATAACAAGCCCATATCCGGCAGCACATTCAGTGCTGACGGCCTTGTCGTTTCATTCAACACGGCATCCACTTCTGTTATCCCCATTCTCAATGGGAAAGGCGTGCTCAGTCATGCAAAACGGTCCGTATTCCTTGAGCTGAGGGAACCGTGTGTTGATCGTACTTGGCAGAATACCGTGGGGTACACAGCAATCAACAGAGTATCTCCTGAAGCTCATCCAGCTGAAATACTCTAGCTTCCCGACGCGTGTGACATCTGTACAAGCAAGCGTACGTCCATATGCTAGCTAAATAGTTCCTTAGTTATTAACATCCTGCAGTGGATGTTGCACAATTTCTGCTCCTTCGCTACTGATTACCCTGCTGTCCTCCGTTCTCTCAAAATCCCCGTAAACATGCGCGCTGCAGAGCGCATCATCCAGTTCCCATTTGCAATCCCTGTCATTGAAGAAAAGACCGAAGAGGAACTCACGAGGATAGCAGAGAAACGAAAAGAACAAGGAAAGAAACTTCAAGAGTTGGCTGCAAAGAGCCGGATGGAGAAGGTGTGTCCCCTGTTCTCGCGACGAAAAATAAGGGTTTGATCAAGCTAATGATTTTTTCAGTTGGCGAAGAAGGAGAACGATCTACGGTACCTCACGGATTTGAAGGAAGGCAAGAGCGAAAACAAGCGCGAGTGGATGGTACGACAAACGTAGCACCTCGCCAGGCATGTTGCTTAATTTCCCTACAGCACGTTCTTCAAGTCGAGGGTTTTGACGATGATGCTGCCCTCGATGAAACCATCAGGAAACTCGAGGTCGACGTTAAACGCGCGCGCAAGAAGGACCTTGACGGGCAAGACGATGTCATTGTGAGCATCGTGCATCACTGCTAATTACTCCCTTTTGACTCGTGGCTGTAGGAAGAACCTTCGTTTCCTCTCATCGATGTTCCGGATGCGGACGTAAGTCTTGCGTTAATCCAAAGTGATGTATGGTTGAGTTTCCCTTCCACAGCTCGATGAAGAAGGGATAAAAGAAAAGAAGAAGCAGAAACTTATGAAAGCCGGTTTTGACGCAAGAGCGCGTGCGAGACGAGAGAAGGAGAAAGAACGAGAGGAGAAAGAAGCTGAAGAGAGACGAGAGGAGGGAGAGCGGGAGAATAACTTTGATGATTGGGCAGCTAGACTGCGCCGTGAACAAGAGGTGTGGTACTTGCCATCTGCTCGCTCAGATGCTCTTGCTGACCTTTGAGAGTAATAGACTATCATGAACAAGATCAAGGAACGGGGACGTCGGAAGGCTGCATTGTCTGATCGGAAAAGTGCAGCCGCGCAAGCTAGGATGAAGAACATTGCTTCTTTGGCAGCTGATGAACGCGTTTCGAAGAAGAAAAGGAAAGCAGGTGCAGGCAAGTTTCGCGATCCTTCTAATCAATTTCTTGTTCCCAACACTTGCAATTCAGAGGACATGTTCGGAGCGGATGACGAGGACTGGCAGATTTATCGCAAACTCGTTCGTCGTTCTTGCTTCCTAAGCGAATCATTCATTCTGACATCGTACAACAGAATGCTGCGGCTGTATCGTCAGATGAGGAGGATGAATTTAACCAACTTCGGATCATCGAGAGCAAGCTCCTCATGTATGACCCGACATTCACGGCTCAACACACGCATGCATCCATAACATCTCAGCGATCTGCACTTATATCTGCCTTTAGACCACAGTATGAAGAGGGAGACATCGAAGGTTGTATCGACTCTCTTTCCAACGAATGAATGCTTACAGGAACCAATAACAGGAAGCGCACGGATACATCTGAACACGGAACGATGGCGCGTGTGCGAAACATACTTTTCACCGGGAATGGCTGGTGTTGACTCCGCTGGCCTCGGTGAAGTTCTTCAAAGCATCCTGGCAAGGTTCACAGAAGCTGAGAAAGCCAGGCTTGTGAAGGTCTGTTTTGTGTTTCTCAGACCTTCAAGCTCCAACTCATGCAAAATACAGAATGTATTCATTACTGGCGGTCCATCGCAGTTTCCTGGTCTCCAAGAAAGACTTTATGGGACGCTTCGTCCGATTTTGCCGCCTGAGATGCATTTGGGTGATATTGTGCGTGCAGCAGATCCATCGCTTGATGCTTGGAAGGGTATGGCATCCTTTGCCAACACGGATGAGTTCCATCAAGTGGGTGTGACAGCAGAAGAGTATCAGGAGTGGGGAGCGGAGAGGATTAAGAGGTGGTGGGGAGGGAACTGTAACTCAGCGGTTTGATAGCGTCGTTTATCTCATTATGGTGATACAGTGTCATGATGTCCACCTTTCCCTCAAGAGAATCAAGTCGCGCATTGATATTGCAATCGAATACGCGTCCTATGTAGACCGTATCATAACGTCGCACGACCAGGAATGCTCTGAATGGCTATCCGAGATCAATCGCCACGCAGACTACAAACCAACTGCTCATTTTCTCCAGGAGACGGGCCGCCGGGTGAACGATCTGCAATGCTAGCTAGGAGATTCTGGTCCAAAGGAAGGACAAGCAAAGTATCTTGCAGAACAGGTGATTCCAGCGAGAATTCAAGCAGCTTATGTTGCATGACTCAGAAAGTTTGAGTTGTAATAGTCCTTGAGCTTTACATACACTGAATCAGCCCACAGGTAAGTACCTTGGGAAAAATGCACACGTTCTCATCAAACCGCTCTGAAACTGGAGGGAGTAAGAAAAGCTCAAGGGACAGGCAATCTAATGGTGCCTGGCAGACATAGAGACAGGGTACTGTAAGTAGTGGACATGATAGCTAGCACCCTACTTCAAGATGTGATCGACATAGAGAAAAAGTTGAGAAGTGCCATAAGAAAGGCATTCGTCAAGAAGACGATCTCTCCTACATGATTTCCTCCAGCTTGTACCTTCCAAAGGTACCATGTAATTTGATATACCCTTTGAAAAACGCGACATAGGAGTCATATGCCTCAGGACGCGGTCTCAGGAATTCGAGGATACCGTGATGTAGTTGTACAGTTTTCTCGATGAGTTTCCGGAGAGCGTCCTGTTTGTTAAGACCACGAGAGGCTGCCATGAGCGACAGGTAGTTTGCAGAGTCGCCTTCGATCTCCTCTTTGTAGTAGCCTGCGGCAAGATTGACATCGGTGCAGAATGATGGCAAGCGGCCTCCCGCAAGAGTCTATCAAGCGCATTCATAACCGGATGCTCCTGCGGCTCGCATTTCGCGAACAGCTCGTTGAAACGGTACACATGCACGAGATCTTTTCTCACTAGTCACCGTGTCGTCGATGCAGGTGCATACGGTGGTGAAGAGGGAGATCCACATCTTGGTTGGACGGTCCGAGAAGTGGCCGTAAGCGTTGGACATTACGGCCACGCCAACGGCCAGGTATAGGAGGATGGCGTCCATCAGATATCCTCGTTTGATGGCCTCCTTAAAGCATTCGGAGTACCATGCTTCGTCAAGCGGGACATTCTCATGTTGCAAGCCGCAACGCTGAAGAAATCCGGTGATGGACTGGCGGATGCTTGCTAGAATCTATATTCGACATCAAAATCGGGACATGGAAGGGTAGCAAAACGCAGGCACGTACTTCGCCATCAAGGGTGGATGTGGACAGGTTGTTCGTTGTCATTGTGAAAACTTGCAGAGAAATTGAATATTGGAGAGAGAATGGTGTCAAAGGGTTGCATGTACCATGCAGTACTTATACTCTATAATTTCGATTTATTGGGGAACGAGAGTCTTGTATGCTATGCAGGTTGTCCTAGCATGCCATGACTGGGGAGCGATCGTTAACGTTGATCTCGTGCAGATTGCGTCGTAAGTATCATCGGAGACCTCGCGCCTGATATTTAGTCCGTTCGGAGGGGGTAATCAGATCAGACGCTATCAGATAGACTGCCAATGAAGCGAGCGGACGTGGTCCTCTCGAAGCGGCAACATTGGGAGCTTGAAACCTAGGTAAGTATGCAAATAATGGTGTCTCTATCTCCAATATAACTTGGGGAGAGCGTAATTTTTTAGGGATTGCTGCATCGTAATGCTATCAGAGATCAAAAGACTATGCGCCCTCCGACTTGGAGTCCGTCGACCAAGGGGAACACAACTGCAGAAGTAATGGAAGTGAAATTAGTGGCCCACGGGCGTCGCGATCTGATACCATGCTACCCGTGCTAACCCGGCGGGTTCAGCAGATTAACCAGAAAAGTGTGCTGATAACTTGCTGATGACCTGCTACTACTATGCCTCGATCAACCATTAGTAGTGGCTACTCGAGACATGGTAGCAGGCGGCAGGATGGAAGAAGGAACCAGGGTTGGCTCAGGCTCCCGTCTGCTCTTCCCTCTAGCTCCTGTTTATCACCCTGACCAGTACTGTTCTCCTGCTAGTGAACGACGGTCATTAATCACTCTTCTGTTGAAGAAGCACTTCGATTTGTCAAGAGCGAGCTGCTAGTGGTCTGCTACGATTTAGTGAATGATACAAATTGCGATTCCATGCACCTGCATATTGTCCTTTTGTTGACTTTGGCCGCCCTTCCATACGCTTTGATTCACAGTACAAATGCACCATGACGCTAGCTTTTATTGTCGGAACTTGAGCTTGCAATTTACTGATGGTGTTGGTTGATATATTCAATTGTCTAGCAGCCAGAAGGGACCTCTGAGACGTGATTTGACCATGAGGAAAGAACGCCTATGCCAGTGGTCCGTGGGAGACCTCGGGAGACTACGCTACGCGTATTATTGACGAATCGGCAATCCCCGACCTCTCTTGCTTCCGCTTTCGGACCGCGCGACGGCAGTCCTAAATCTAGTTGTTTTTCATTTTCACTGCGATAAGGAATTTTTGAAGCCAATTAGTAGGTTGGCCTTTAGCTCATTCGATGTCGTCTTCAGCTTGGTCCTAATAGCTTTTGAGCACGTTCGATAAGCCGATTAAAACGTCGTAACAGTACGAAAAATGTCACAATAGGACGAAACGTCAACAAATCCAAATAGACCAATGCGGACACAAGCATTAGGGTTGCGCTCTATCATCTCACTATATCATCTTGGCATCTGCTGAAACGTTTTGTGCATGTAGCTCCACCCTGCCCGCTTAGTAACTGCCTTTGGTGTACCGGGTGGCGAACAGTGTAAATATGTGGAGCTCCAGCGTGTCCTATCTACCGTAGTCTCCACGACGTTGATATTATCTGTCTCACAATGTGTCTCCGCTAAAATATTGTAGGATCGACATCTTTCAATGACATCCCTCCCGTTCTATCTGATATTTCGTCGACCGGGGTCGGATTTCAGGTCCTGTACCGAACGGGCCGTTTAAGCATCACGAGGCTTGACTCTTGCTTGCAGTTTCCTTTTTCCTCTCTCGTCGGTCAAAAACTCAGTCCAGGATGAACGCACGGTTCTGCTCGCATTCCGAAGCATGCTGAGAAAGTTGTTTCTGGATATTGTAACTGTTTCCACAACCGATGCAGGTTGAAATATCCATGGGGCAGTGAAAATAGAGTCTGCGATGAAAACTTGAGAATTGAAAGCACGGGGAATGATCAAGTCGCAAATATATTACGCCAATGAGTCGAGGCCCTCGATCTTCTGCAGCGATAAGGTCAGAACACGAATGCATAGAGCTTATATATATCTGTAGACTGTGAGCAGTTATCTTTCTGAAGAAAGTAAAGTTAGTTCGCCATCTGTGGAGATAATATGACAGGAGTCACCTTGTCATTTGGAGGTGTAGTAGTAGTTGCTAGTCAAGTGCATTGGATCCTAGAATTTGCACAGACATCCTCGAACTCAGATATGAGACGAGAGGGCATGTCGTACGTTGTGTGACATGTTGGTCGTTCATAAACGTGACATATCTGGGCGGAACACCATCTGAACTTGATCTGAACTACTAATTACTGGCTGCTTTACCGTATCTAATTCCCCAGGCCCCACAACCAGACGAAACTGCCACACCCGAATCAAATACTATATATCAGGACGACTACATAGACAGGTATCACTGATATCATCTGAAGAGGACAAGTCACTCCATATACTTCAATGCTGGACATCAACAATGGCCACTACTAACTCGAACATTACCACAACCGCAACTGCAGAACCCCCGTCCGCAGCAACAGCGGTCGTACAAAGTGGTCCACAAATCCCAAAGGATGGTCTCCCTCTCATGCATTCAGGTTCGCTCTTTTCCTTTGATCGTGCTCAAACCAGCCTGTGAGTGAGTAATGCTCATCCAGCTTCCTGCAGCTCGCACGCCCCCCGTACTACCATGGCCAGATATTGGACACCTTGCCAAGTGGTCAGTTTCCTCATACAAATTTGGGTTTGGTGCAGAGTGCCTCAGAGACGGGGATCCCGATACGTTCTGGCAGTGAGCGTGATCTCATTCTGATGTGCTCGGCCTGACTGAGGAGGTTTTGTTCAGTTCTGACGGCCCCCAGCCTCATTTTATCACTGTGGAGTTCCCTCGCAAAGTGGCAATTCAGGTATAGGGACGAATTTGCATGTGCCACCAGTGTTGACTGAAGTCAACTCAGAAAATCAGTATCTACCTTAGTTGGCCACAGGATGACTCGTACACCCCATCAACTCTTGCTATCCGCGCAGGAACTGGTCCCAGCGACCTTCAAGATGTACGAGTCGCTACTTTGGAGAAACCGGACGGCTGGATAACGTTTGATGTTTCCTCAGAACCTGACGAAGATGGGAACTCATTGTGAATTCTTTTTGCAACGCTGTTCGATCTTCGTTGACCCTTCTCTAGTAAACCTGTACATGCGTACGTGCTGCAAGTTATCGTGGTGCAGAACCACATGAGCGGAAAGGATACCCACATACGAGGGCTGCGTGTCCTTGGTCCTCAGGAGTATGCACCTCGGACCTATATGCTGAGTGTGGCGCTGACCCAAAATTTAGAGAAGACGCCACTGATGGCGATCCTTTCCCCTGGAAGTCACAGGACTTCAAGATGTACGAAAGACTGCGGTGAACAGCATATATATACAAAATTGTATCACTGAACATTCTTTCCATGGAAAGTGGGTTAGGCTAGATCACCGTCCTTTATTGCTAAGGTCTGTGCCTTTTTTGACTTCCGCGCAACCATTGGCTAACTCTCCACGCGGAAAATGTGTGGTCGATGACTGACATGTGTTCAATTCTATGAGAATACAACAGAATAAAGATGTGACGCTGGTAAATGAAATTGTGCATGGTGGGCTCCAAGAAACAAGAGGTCGAGGGTGAAGAGAATAATCAATGACGATGAATGTCAAATATTAAATTAGCCAATCTCTGGGAGTGCCCATTACTGAAAAGTTTTCAGAACTAATTCATAGGTGCTCGATATCGTATTTTAGTTCTTTATGCTGCTCTTGTACCTACCCCGCTAACATGTACTCTAAGCGTTAGCCAACTTTGCGAACATCTCTCGGGATTGCTCGAGAGTTGTACATTCCGTCTCGAATGTTTTTCTCTGTTGTGGTTAAGAATCAAAGTTTAGCAACGTTCTGGATTTGGCGATCAAAAGAAAGCAATGTCACCTTCTCGTCATTTGTTATTTGCACGACAGACGGCACGGTCTCAGCGTAATCTGGTTGTGAGATGATCTTCATGATCTTTTCCAGATTGAGGCGCGCAAGCGTGAGTTTCTTGTCGCACTTGGCTATCTCAGCATCAAGGTCAACAAGTCCCTTATAATAGAACGACTTAGAGTCTATTCACAACACAAGGCTATTACAGACATACCTTGACTAACACGTGTGCTGTTATGGTGGAGCTTATGACGGCTGACCCACACCCCGGGGGAAGGGCTTTCACGTCCTCGATGACGTTCACAGCACTGCATCCCTTGATCAAGGTGATCATAGCTTGCGTCTGCAAGCGGAACAAATCGATCTCCTTGCCTGTCTGGGAATGAACAAATACTGGCAACATGTCAGTACTAACTGCAGTTAAAGTATAATAACTCACGTTGGATATTGGACTGGAGGTTGTAAGATGCAGCAAGCGACCTAGCTGCGCGCACGGCAGATAGCACTGTATCAAAGTCTTTTTCCTCTTCGGAACTGATAAAGTCAGGGTCCTGCATCGATTCAGTAAAAGTAAGTTTGAATGGCAGATGATCACCCACATTTATGGGGTAAGACGCGATCATGATGGAGGGGGTAGGGTCTGTCGGACGCCTTGGCAGTCGCTGCCATAGCTCCTCGGTAACAAAGGGCATAAATGGATGGAGTAGGCGCAGACCGTGATCCAGGCAAGTATACAATGTCTGTTGGGCTGACCTACGAGTCTGGAGGGGGACCGATGCGTCGGTCAAAGGTTTCATCGCCTCCTGTGAACAAAAATGAGATCGATACAAATTCAAATGCAAAGCAGCCGCACAATATAGACGTCGCAAAGCTCGTATAACCAGAAATTGTGAGCTGACGTGGTCGCAGCCATAAAATTGCGTTCTTGAAGCTGCGCGTTGATCTGTGTCGCAGCTATGTTGAGCTTGTGTAGGATCCAGCGTTCCACAAGACTTTCATTTCCGGTTGGCTTGAGAAGCAATGTAAACCAAAGAACTCATCATACAAGCGGCATACCTTTGCAGATGTCTCTGGCGAAAAACCGTCATCGAGTTTGAGCATTGCAAACTTCGTGGCATTGAAGATCTTGTTGCAAAACTTGCGGTATCCCTCCACCCGCAAGATTTCCAGGTTGATATCCCTGCCTAAAACGCAAACTCAGTTATGTGTAGTTCGCACCGTGATGATTACTTTACCGCCGCCTGAGTATGCGCAGAGAGCGAACCTTAACCCATCCGTACCACATTCCGGAATGCCTTTCGGGAAATCCTTCTTCTGACCAGCGATCGCCTTGAGAATCTCCTTCTCGTCGAGATTACCTTCATACAATTTCTGGTGGAGTTGCTCAAGTGGCAGGCCGTGGATGACGTCGATCGGGTCAATGACGTTACCGAGCGACTTGCTCATTTTGCGTCCATGAGCATCGCGAATCATCGCGTGGCAGAGTACTTCGGAAAATGGCATCTGACCGGTAAGATAGATGCCCATGAGAACCATGCGCGCCACCCAGAAGAAAAGGATATCCCAGCCTGTTTCTAGGATACTAGCAGGGTAATACTGAGAGAAGTCGACAGTCTGTTGGTAGACGATTAAAACCAGTCAGTTTACTATGTGTGAAACACCGTGCCTTTTCTGGCCATCCCAGGATTGAGAAGGGCCACAGCCCAGAAGAGAACCAAGTATCGAGGACATCTTCATCTTGCTCAAGTGTGAAATTCTTCCCATTTGCAAGTATTTTCGCTCGCTCGGTTGCTTCTTCCACAGACCGACCTACAACCCAGTTCTTTCCATCGTTTCTCTGCATTCAAGAGTAAGTGCGCAAGCGTTTAACTGATCGTTGAGATACGAACGTCGATATCTTCTCCCTCAATTTGAACGAAATAGGCTGGGCATCGGTGACCCCACCATAATTGCCGTGAGATACACCAGTCCTGTATGTTTTCAAGCCAGCGATACCAGTCTGCTTCACTCTGCTTGGGACCAATCGAAAGTTCGCCTGCCCTCGTACGCTGCAATGATCGTTGAAAGAAAGTCTAGTATGATATAGTGTGACCGACCTTGATTGCTTCTGCAGCAAGAGGTTGGCAATTCACCCACCACTGAGGCTTCAAGACAGGCTCAATGATGTCGCCTGATTTACTGTAAGAACACCTCGACTTCAGTCACCCATCGACTTAGAATCGACACAGGCGCGTACCTGCAAATAGGGATCTGCATGGAATTGTCCTTAGTCTCGACAAACAGGCCCAATTCTGTGAGCTTCTTTATGACCTCACGCCGAGCGTGGAAGCGTTTCATCCCCTGAATGATACATGTTGCTTAGATTAAGGTGTGGTTTTCGCACACAGACGCACCTTGAATTGCTCTCCAGCATTGTCATTGAACGTTCCATCATCATTCAAAATATTGATAAAATCAAGTCCATGGCGGACACCAACCTCATAATCATTCGGATCATGAGCCGGCGTAATCTTCACTGCACCAGTTCCAAACTCTTTGTCTACATGTTCATCAAAGATAATGGGAAGACGCCTGTTCAAGAAGGGATGAATGGCGAACTTGCCATGAAGGTGCTACAAACATATTTCAATATTGATTGTGATTTTTATCAATCATGAATGTTACCTTGTATCGATCATCGTCTTGATGTACTGCAATAGCTGTATCACCAAGCATTGTTTCCGGGCGGGTCGTAGCGACGATAATCCGCTCATCTATTGATGAAAATAAGAAAACGACGGCATAAATCTCAATTAGAACATACCTGATCCTTCGATATGATATGCAAACGAGGTAATGACACCAAATTCGAATTTTTCCTTCGGGTCGTAGCCTGGGACGTTAAGTAAGGTACGGCCAAGGAGTTGTTTTTGGTCCACCTGTGCAACACAACTTGTGTCAGTTGCCAACGAATGGATTCTTTGACTCACCTCAAGGTTCGAGAGAGTAGTATTCAACTGAACGCACCAATTAACAAGTCGATTGGCGCGGTAGATGATGCCATCCTCGTGGAGCCGACAAAACGTCTCAGTAACAGCTTTTGATAACGACTGGATAACAGTCGATTAGATATGTAAGAGATGCTCAAAATTACACCCACAGGACTCATGGTGAAGGCAACACGGTCCCAGTCACAACTTCCTCCAAGTCTCCTTAATTGATCGGTGATGCGTGCTTGGTAGCTAACACCAGGTAAGAGAATGTTCCGATTAGAAAGTAACCACTTACTCATTTTTCCACTCCATCACCTTGCCCAAAAACACCTCTCGACCGAGATCGTGTCGGGTCTTGCCTTCCGCTTTGTATAGCCGTTTTTCAACAACGGATTGTGTTGAGATTCCAGCATGATCAAAACCTGGGACAAAGAGGGTAGTCTTTCCAAGCATCCGATTCCTGTCGTCACTGTGAGCATAACGATCATATCAGATACGGACTCATATTTACCAGCGTATCAAGCAATCCTGAATGGCGATAGTCAGTGCGTGACCGATATGCAGGCTTCCGGTGACATTTGGGGGAGGCATCGGAACCACAAAGACACCCTCTGGTTTAGTATCCCCATTTTCCGTGGTCTGAGGCTTGAAGAAGCCTTGGGCCTCCCACCAATCGTACCAAGCAGATTCGACTGCGATAGGATTATACCCACTTGCCATCGGTTGAGACATATCTATACAGTGTCAAGAAAGAAAGAAAAAAAGAGTGAAGAAAAACGCACCTTTTTTCTCGCCCTTGGGAGTGGTGTTTACAAATGCAGGCTCCTGCTCCTTCTTCTCTCTGTCCGCCTTTGCCTTCTTTTCCCCAGCGGGAGTGTTAGTGGCTTGCTTGAGATGTTTAGCAGCAAGCTTCGCCTCTTTCTCTAGCCTCTTGGCCTCCTTTTTCGCTAGAACAGCCGATCAGATTGTCAAACTATCAGAGTAACAAAGGTCTGCTCACCTGCACTTTTCGAAGGACCATCAGACTCGGGGGTGACCAAGCCAGGATCGTTCGGAGTTGTTGCCATTGCTAAAGGTCGAATAGAATGTGATCGGTGTATTGAACGAAAAGAAAGGTTTCTGACTTTCTGAATGACTAGGTATCGATGCCTTGCTATAAACATCCACCTATAATCAGAATGACTCGAACAAGCTAATTCTTGATTGACATATTATGTAACAAAAGCATAATATTCGCCTGCCGCAATCGTGATTCTGAATCACTCAGATCCTCATGTTTATAGCATGAGGGAAGCTGAAGTGTTGATGAGTGAATTCGCATTCCCTCCCAACTGATCGACAAGCGGCGTCCCGTTGAGTTTGAGTTCTTAGATGAGACGTAACCAAAAGCGAACACGTTGTTTTCAATGTGTTTGGTGAAGAAATGGCAACAAAATCATGATTAAGAGGGATATGGGAGATATCTATGTTTCCAGACCAAGAAGTCGTCAAGCCTACCACCGATCTCTGCCGCCGCCATATTCACCATGACCACCACCACCACCTCCGCCGCCGCCACCGTATCTGCCGCCTCCACCGCGACCGCGGCCTCCGCCGCCATAACGACCTGGATGGCCAAATCAGCATACGAAACATATGGACATGATAAAAACTTACTGCGACCTCCCCCTCCTCCACTGTACATGGCCATTTCGTCTAGTTGTTGTGGTACATCGGCCTTCGCCTCACGCAAGATAGATATCAACTCGCGAGCAGACTTCGAGTTATCGGTAGTGAAGTACGTGTATGAGGTACCTTTCATGCCGGCACGCTAAGAAAAGTTAGACCAAGAATTGGTGGGCTGAGTGAGAGCAACTTACTCCCGTACGACCAATACGATGGATATAATCTTCACAGTTGTTTGGGAAGTCGTAGTTCTAGAGGGAAGTTAACAGCTGATCAGTAGCAATGGACCACTACAACACTCACAATTACATATCCGACATCCTTGACATCTGTGATGCCAGTAATGCAATGCAACCGCGTCACGTACAGAACAAGAGAATAACATAGGAACAGACAACATATAGCACATTGCACAATCAATAACATGACAACGATAAAGAGACACAAGCGCGTCCAACACAACAAGAAACAAGAATTGGACGACTTCATACAAACATCATTCATGGCACGTCACAAGATCGGGGGACGTGTAGCATGAACAAAGGGCATCGCGGTCCAGGAAGACAGGTACCAAGCGCGAAGCAGCGGACATATCGAGAGGAGATATAGCCAGGAAGTCCGTGACGAGGGCTCCACATCCGGGACCATAGCACTTTGAATCCCTTTGGCCCTCACTGACGGGAGGACACAGGATGCTTTGGCGGATGGAACCTTGACGACTTGGAATCCTCTCGTGATCACGCGGTTCTGCTATAGCACGTCTCGCTCGAGAAGAAATTTATCCCTCAAGCCTGGCTGTAAGCACGGAGGAAGAGCAGTGTAAACATGACTCATCCCGTCTTGCTACACGCGTTAGTGAACACCAGAGTCACGAGCAAACACTACCCAGATACAAAAACGGGTCATTGCTACTTTAACCTGAGTGCTCGGAAAGCCCTCCCATTTGTAGGAGTCCCTGATGGAGCGCTTGCAAGAAATGGCACACGTACCTAAACCACGGGACGCAACGTCCGTGGCAATCAATATGGGTGAGCGACCCGCCTTGAATTCCCCTAGAACCCAATCACGTTCCCGCCTGTGGGAATGTTGAATAGACATCGAGGGAGTGACAGATAAAACCTACTGTTCTTTGTCGCCATGGATGGCAAGAGCTGGCCAGCCGTCTTGGCGAAGGTATTTGGTGATGTCGTCCGCAACGCGTTTCGTCCCGACAAATATAAGTACCTTAGCGTTCTCAGAGCTGATCTGATCAAGATGCCTGATCAGCTTAGCACGCTTCTCGAAGTCGCTGCAGACTTCGACAATCTGCTGAATATTGTGGTTGGCAGTGAGCTCCATAGACCCAATGTTGACCTGAATCATGTCTTTTAAAAAGTCCTGTAAATAGTGAGATTAATCATGCAACCACAAAATATTGAATGTTTACATTTGCGAGTTTCTGCACATCCTTCGGCCACGTAGCACTAAACATCAGTGTCTGACGATCAGGGCGAATCTGAGATACAATCTTGCGTATCTGGGGCTCGAAGCCCATGTCCAACATACGATCGGCCTCATCCATGACTAAATATGTGACGCGACGAAGATTGGTCTTTGATGTCTCCAGCATATCAATGAGCCGTCCAGGAGTGGCGATCACAACCTCAACACCACGTTGCAGGTCACGGATTTGAGGACCTTTGGGAGCGCCACCGTAAATGGCAGTGTTACGGATGCGAGAGCTCGACCTATATACATCAGCAAAAGCCAACACAGTGAGGTGACAAACATACCCAAACTTCGTGCACTCCTGCTGAATTTGTACAGCAAGCTCACGGGTGGGCGCAAGGACAAGTGCGATGGGACCATCACCTGGCGCAAGTAAAGGTTGACTAATTCCCAGTGAGTAAAGAATCAGAAAGTGAGATAGATACATACGCATTGATGTGAAGCATGGCAGGCAGAGCAAAGGAAATCGTTTTCCCACTCCCTGTTTGAGCGATCGCAACCACATCTCTGCCACTCAGTGCCATAGGCCATGCTTGGCATTGAATGGGAGTTGGCGCGGCAAAGCCTTGTGCACGAATTGACGCCAAAATATATTCAGGAAACCCTGCCTCGTCAAAAGATGTGACAGGTCTGGGAACACCTCGTCCTTGAACCTTCAGGAAACCATCAGCGACTGTTGGCGTGCCACAAATTCTCACATACTTTTATTTCTTTGGTCTTCCGGAAGTCTTCCACCTCTCTGTCAGTCATAGCTGAAACACGCTTGTCCTCGACGTAAAAATTCTTCTCAAAACGCTCGAGCTTTTGCGACGCCCAATCAATCGTTCTCAGACCACCGCCCAAGCCACCCATTTTGTCTTCATAACCGCCGCCGCCGCCACCGCCCCATCCGCCGCCACCACCGTAGCCGCCGCCGCCGCCTCCACCATAGCCGCCATAATTACCGTGACTCTGGACAAAGACATCAGCGAAATGCATACTTTCTCCAGTGAGAAGTTCTACCATAATGTTGTCTATAGCAAGAACCAGAGAATTAGAAAACAGGGATGTTGCAGGGATCCGAAAGCGTGGTGGTTAAAGAGCAAGGAACAAAGAGCTGGAAAAAATGCGTTTGATTTGGAGTAAATAAACAACAATATGCTTACGTGATGTTCTTCTCAAAATTCTAACATAGCTAAGTACACAAGATACCGGGGCAATACATAAATCTGTGCTGGGTATATATGTGAAATGAATGCATAAACGGCATGAAAATAATCATAGTCGAAGTTCAGACCTGTAGTAACTTCGATGGGCATAATAAATCAAGAAGTTGTGAGTAACGTCACATATTCTGCATCCATCACATCACTATGCAGGCCCGAGGCTTGCGGTGTAACCGACGTGAAGCCTTCTTGAGGGGTGGTTCATCTGGGTAGTGCATAAGCATCTGCTTGACAAGTTCTTGGAAGACATCGTTAATGTGCCAATCGCGCTTGGCTGATGTTTCGTAAAATGGTATTTTCCAAAGCGCAACCAGGCATTGTATCGTGCTTCTTGCCACTTCTCGTTCCGTGACGAGGTCGAGTTTTGTCCCAACAACAACGATAGGAACATCCTGCGTATAATGGTAGTCGCTGTATTCGGTAATAATCAATGGAACTTACGCTGTCCATTCCCTTCACTCGGTGTATCTGCTGTCGAAGATTGTCCAGCTCCCTAAGACTTGCTTCTTGTGTGAGGCTGCAGTGACACCAGTAGGTCAGAAATAAATACAGTCATTTCTTGTGATGCTTACCTGAAGACTAACACGAATCCTTGGCCAGACTGTAGAGAACTGGTGTGAGTTTGATACCATATATCCCAAAATCATCAATATTTACTTTGATATAAAGTTCTTTCAGAGAAGTGAATTGCTCAGCACCAGCAGTATCTAATACATCTAGCTGCAAGGAAACAGATAGTCAGAAACGACTTTAACAAAAGGGTGGGGGAAGTAGGAACACACGGGATCTTACCGAAGTCTTTACACCATCAATATCGAGGATGCGCCGATAAGCTTCTGCAAAGACGATGTAGTAAGCTCCTCACATCACATTGAAACGGATTTATCACTGAAGATGCACCTTCGATCGTGGGGTCATAGTTCTCCAGGAAGACATCTTGAACAAATCGCACCGTCAACGCAGACTTCCCTACTCCTCCGGCTACGACACATGAAACAAGCAGTAGTCACAAATGAACGAATAACATACCTCCTAGGACGACGACGTTGAAGTGCCTCATATTTTGAGAGGTGGGATGAGATAAGGAGCTAAGGGATGCAAGCGCATTGCGCAAGTGATGCAACCTGTGCCAGTGTGTGGGAAGTAATGGAAAGCATGCACACTAAAATAGGTTCTCAGCGGCTGCAGGGACTTGAGATACGAGAATCGGGAGAGTAAGAGAAGCGAGAACACGGCAGCCGAGTGTAGTTAGGAACCATAAAAATTAATGAGATCAATGTTAATATCGATGTACTTCGGTAGGTTCTTCGGAGTAAAAGAACATCAGCAGTCGTGCCCTAAAAATTTCAACATGTGGGTCTCGTGAAACATGATGTGCAACGGAAGCAGAGCCGGTTGATCTATTTCAATTGGCTTACCATTAATTGAATGACACAACGGCCTAGTAGGCATACGCGTTCTTCCAAAGTTGTTATATTGTATAATACAATACAATGATAATATTTTCGAAACGAAGGAGTGACATATACGAGGCAAGAGTGCTTGTGCAAGAGGAATGAGGGGTAAGAGAGTGCAGTTCAACGTGGCAAGAAAATAGATGATGCGATAAGAATTATGGAGATATACATAATTTTGGACTGAATGGGGGTTCGCCCATCATAAAATTATGTCGGCCAGCCACCTGCGATCCTAGCAGCACCAAAACCAACACGCCCCATAATATTCCATACAGCAGAAGTGCCATCATAACCGAAGCCTTCCCCGGGTCCTTGCATGCTGTTAAAACTCGACCAGGCAGCGCGGTCGTATATTGTTGGGCCACCAACAACTGAATATTGCGCCCCGATAGCTGGCAGACGCGAAGTCATGCAGAGAAATACGAGCGCCATGGCCCCAGCACTGATGAGTGCCTGCCGAGCAGCTCCAGCAAGCCAAGCGTCGCCCTCCTCACCCCCTTCGTTTCCGCCCTTGCCGATGACATAGGTATTGTAGATTTTGTAGAAACGGTTCTGGCGGCGCGGCTGACGCTTAGTCGTCGAGCAGGCGATTAGCTCATCTATCATCTCGCATTCCACACCGAGTTCCTCCTTCAGCGCTTTCCACTCCTCGACGGCGTCTGCTGAGATTCCTCCAGGAATACCACGTATTGGTATAGTAATACCTTTGTGCCGTTCTATTAATGCATTGTTGACTTGCTCGAGCTCGGTCACGAAGTTGTAGGAAGGAGGTGCATCGTTCAGGTGAGGAGCGTCCAGGTGCCCCTTGGGCGTGGGAGGGAGGACAGTCGACGATGAAGAAGCGAGTGCCTCGTCGTCTTCTGGGGTGACCTGCGGTGAGGCCGACCGAGAAATTTCCGACTCTGGCCCATCTGTTTGGATTTCGATGCTTGATGTGATGCGTGGCAATTCTAGATCGGTTTGGACTGCGATCATACCACGGGGGACTTCTTCCGTTTGAATGGAGGACGAGGAAGTAAGAACCTTTGGCTCTGGATGCGTCTGCACTGCACACGCTGTTGTATGCTCCGCAGCGTCATGTTGCGTGAATGTATCAATGTACTTCTTGGTTTCTGAGAAAGTGACGATCTCGGCTTTGTTAATACGGCCAACTTTCTGTTTGGGGTGTCAGATGTGAGGCGCAATTGTGAAGATTACTTACCCTCTTCTTCCGAGTTATGATGGTTTGAATAACGTCCTCCTCCTCACCCTCTGTATCCTCATTCATATCCAGCTCTAATTCATCACTATCTCCATCATCCTCAAGTTCATCATCCTCGCCACCCCAACTGTCGCCCAACTTTCCCATGAGCTCAGCACCCAGACTCTTGCTCATAGTATTCGCCGCACTAGAGTGCCCGCTTCCTGCAGCAGCGTTTGTTGCAGCACTGCGCATCTCGTCCATATCAAATCGCATACGGTCGATCGTTTCCTTGAGCATGAGGTTTTCTTGCTTCTGTTCGTCGAGCTGGGCATGGGCTTGTTGCGCAATGGCTAGCTCCTCTTCAAGATGTGCGAGGCGATCTTCATAGGATGACGCTTCTTTAGCCCACTTCACAGCTTCGAGTGACTGGAGCGCGGCAGCATCTCGGTAATCTTTGATTTCTTGGTCTCGACGGCGGAGCTGGTTGCGATAGCGTTCAGATTCCGCTACAATGATGTGAGCCACACTTTTTTGATATCATGGAGTGAACCTACCACATTGCTCTTGATATTGTTTCTGTAAGCTTTGGTAAGACGAACGCGCGTTCTCCAAACTTTTCTCCAACTTTGCAATTTCAGACTCCAGTGCTGCAATTTGGGTTGAGTTGGTTCGCTAAATGACATCCATCAGACATTGTTCATGCACTTCATGCATTACGTACCTCCTTTGTTCGGAGCTCCTTCTCCTCCCGCTTGGTAGAGGTGAGTTCACTCTTGAGTTCTTCCAAGCGCCCCTGCATTTCATCCAAGTCCATGTCGTGCTCATTCAGCCTGTTCTCAAGTGTCCTCTCAGCCTCAATCAGCTTCCGCCCAAGCTCTGCGTTGGCCTTCTGCAATGCCTCCAGCCGCTCTGTGTGTTCAAGAGACACAGTTGACGACGTTGCTGACCGTTCGGTAACTAAGCCTAAGGACGACCCATGCTCGCCATCAGAGTCTGAGTCAGATGCTGAGCGTGGCATGGGCAACGAGGAAAGTTGGCGCGCAAAGCTGTCGCCTTTCTGTGGGTAATCAAAGGACGAGTCCATGTCAGGTGAATGCTCTCCCGAAGAGAGGTGATCTCTGTCCGGAGACAAGTAGTGGATCCCAATGCCAGTAAAGGGCTGTGACTGTGTACGGGAGTGCGGCCGCGCGAAAGGCGAAGAGCCCGTCGAGTTAGGGGAGAATAGTCCTATGGAAATGCTCGAAGGACTCGTTGGATTTGACGGCGTGCGCGTTCGACCGAACACACTGGGACTGGAGGAGAAAGACGACTAATTGCAGTTAAGTTCAACAGGTGAATATACGTAGAAGGAGTTGCGCACTTCTGAGTCACTAAGAGCAGGCTGAGATCCGCCATCAATGCTTTTGCGTCTGCTGGCAGGCACAGGACGCTTTGACCAGCTTGAAGGGGGCTGTACGTCCAACGGGGTTGTTCGCTGTCGTCGCGACGTATCAAATGCAGAGCTAATCCCAGTATTGGGCGTCTTGGGCGGCACAGACGGTGGCCGGCTTGTGACGCGTGAAGTTCCTACCGAGCCTCTGCTCCGTGATCGCGAGTGGTTGGGATTGGGAGAAAAAGGATTGCGCCCCCGATCATCAGGCAGCGTTACATCCTCTTCCAATGGCGAATCATTTGAGCTGTCTCGTGGACTGTGCCTGGCTCTCTCTGCGACGAGTTGGAGCAGAATCTGAGGTGTAACTTCAATTCCGGGACTGCTCGCGAGGATTTCCTTGAGCCCTTCCATCTCGCGATCGTTGAGCAGGTCGACACCATTATACGAGTCTGAAAATGCACTGAGTACATCTGGGAGTGCGTCTGAGGGTATCGCTGGTTCTCCTGATTGGACTGTACGCGAATCTGGGTGTCTGTTAAATATGTCGTAGAGTTCTTGTTCGAAGTTCGACTGGAAGCAGGTTTCGGGGTCAGAAATGAACTTCTTTGCGCAGAAAACACGTACCATGATGAGTAGATGATGAGAAAAGGGAAATATGGGTTTGTACAATGCACTTACTTTCCAGTACTTCAATGAAATCGCTCAAGCATGCTTTGGCTGCCACAGTAACCAAACATGACTTTGATCGTCCACAACACTTGCCAAATTCGGTCGTCAACAAATGAACAATACCACGTGACTGACAAAGCACAAAGAGACCAGTTGGCTCTGCTAAATAGCTTTGACAAAATGCAAGTGTCTACGTTTCTGGTATTACGTCCAACCTCTCTACACTTGTCCTCTCTCCTTCAACAACACATCTCTGAGGCGTTTCAACGCTTCATTCACTTGTTCTTCCGTACACAAAGAGAACGAGGCCCTCACAAATGCTGTCTTTCGTCCGTTGGGAAGGAAGACCGTGCCAGGGAGTGCGAGCACACCGTTCTCATATGCCTTTGTTCGTATAAGGTCTTCTGAGTCACCCTCATCTACACCAGGTGTATGATTTGGTGAGAGAAGCAGCTTGAACCTATTGTAATGTCATTTTTAACATATCATCTCGATCAGCGTTGAACAGAGGCACAGACCAGAAAAACATGCCCGCTTCAGGGGTGCACCATTCTGCAAGTCCACTGAGGTGCGCATTAAGAGCAGACTCGAACACGTCGCGTTTGTTGCGGTAGAACTCGGCAACGGCCTGTGTATGAGCGAAGAAATTGGCGTAACCCCATTCCTCAACCAGTGCGAGGGTGATCGCCTGAATGAGTGATGAGGATTGCAGATTGGCCGATGCAGTCTGATTGAATGTAAGGTACACAGCACATGCAAGTATATCTTGCACGTACATGCAAGTCTATAGCATCAATGATAGGCTTTGGGCCTGACGCAAAGCCCATGCGTATGCCTGCAGAAAGAATCTTGGAGAAGCTGTCGAACCGGATAACGCGGCCGACCTCCGGCTCGTCAAGTTCCAGCTGGAAGTACGACGGCGGCCGAGCGGCTTTTCCAAAGTACAGATAGAAGTAGGGATCATCTGTAGATAAAGGGACGATTCAATCTACTGCACCAAAAACAAGAAATGTGGCACACCTTCGAGAATCAAGAAGTTGTGTTCGCGTGCAAGTTGCAACACTTCTTTGCGACGCTCAACAGTTGCTGTCATACCGGTGGGGTTGCAGCCGTACTGCAATATGGTTATTTCCGTCCACAGATAGGACAAATATAACTTACGGGCACCGTATAAAATACCTTCGGCTTCGGCTTTCCGATAGGCCAATTCTCCAAAATATTGCGCAGCGAATGAGAGCATACCCCATTCGCATCTGTTTCTACCTCTGAAATTTACTGAGCATGAGAAGATTAAAACTAAAACATGACCAACCGATCTGCTCGCAGTGCAGACTTTTAAACATTGGGATGACACCGCTGAATAGATAGCAGTCAGCAAACTGCCGTCCTCCCTTCAGACTATTTTTAACACACGCATACACCGGAGACTCCACAAGAACAGCATCTCCAGGGTTCACTAAAGCATTGACCCCCTGCGGAAACATGAGAACCATCAATTGTTTTTAAAAAGCTCTTAACCTTATAAATTAAGTCCTGCGAACCACTGCCTATGGATAAACTCCATCCCTCGCCTGATCTGCGGCCATGAGAAAGCGTTTGCAATCCTATGAACCATTTCAGAAGACGAGGAAGACCGCCAGTGGGGCCGTACTGCAAGCCAGCCGAAAGATCCTTTGCGGATAGCGAGATCGACTGTTCCTGCGATGGGTCCGTAGGGGAGGTAATATTGAAAGATAATGATTTAAAGGGGAACATGGCATCGTTGGGTTTTCCCGCTAGAAGTGATATCACACCTGGCTTGTTTTCCAATGGGAACAGCCCGCGAACTGAAGTGGTACCATTAAAATACTACTGTGTGATGACTCACAAGATTAGAAACGAACTAGGACTGGGCTTTCGTATTTTGGCGGCGTCAGATAAAAACTCTGTGTAGAAGTCTACTGGAAGAGATTTGACGACCTTTTCGACAGCGTGCCCGTTGGTTTCAACAGGCCCGGGAGTGGTGACACCAGAAGCTGAGACAATAATTCCATCGGAGTGTGTGACCATCTTGAGATCGTCCTGCAGAGATAAAGCTCACGTCACAGTGAGGGTAGACATGACGGTACACAAATCCAACCTTTTTATAATCAAGAATCAAGATAACAGTGAAACTTTAATGAGCACAGCAACGTTGCCAGAAAGGCACCGATCGAGTCACATCCCGGATATTACTTACTCACACCTGCTGATCCATTGTAACTTACATAAATGTCTAACAAGGGCTGTCACGGCGCGGGAAGCTATCGTTTGATCCTTATTAATATTGGAGCTTCAGAAGAGATGATGGGAACGAGTAGGACGATAATTACGAGCGCCAATACGTACTTACTTAGTCAGATATTTTTAAATGAGTCGTGGGGCATGGCTTATTACGTGTAAGAACACCGGATAGATTTCGTGGTTTCCTTGCCGCCAGTAACATTTAGCAAGCTAACTAAATCTATGTTGCCTCTTGGAGGGGAAGCAAAAAAAGAGTATAAAATCACAGATGCAGTGGAAATACATAGGTCTAGAAGAAAAATTGGATGTGAGTTTAAGTCAGGAATGAGTGGAAACTGCAAGCGGCCATCCGCCGGTATGGTGCAGAGGGAGGATGAAGAGTCGTCTAGGTGACAGTCCGAGAGATATCATAATGTGTTGAAAGTGCTGTACAGAAAATTGCTTGCCTCGAGTTCAGTGGGCGTCATCTGAGAAGTCAGAAAGAGGTACGGGGGAAGCAGCCGTGAGGGAAACAGATGGACGCCGCCGCTTTACTTCAATAGGAACTGTCTCCTCATCGCTCTCATCCTCATCTACCTCCCCGTACATGAGGCTGGTGCTAGCCTGTAAAGCCTCCGATTCCGCTTGGCGATCTCTGTGAGTATCGCGAAAGAAACTAGAGTCGTCGTCGAGGTCGTCGTAGTCGTCCTCGCTCGTCGTACTGGATTCTGATTCGTATGCGACTTGCTGTAAGGGACTGGGGCTTTGAGTAGCAGACCGAACAGTTAGATGCCGGCTGTGCCCAGAGTCGTGCAAGGACGGTTCAGGAACAACTGAAGTCGGGGGAGCGATGTGGATGCGTTCAGGTTGTGGGTGTCGTAACACAGCGGGAGAGTGACAAATTGATTGATTGAGGCCTAAAGGCAAGTTTGACGAAATAAGGCTGCTCGGGTCATTGCACACGCCACCGGCACCCAAGAACATCGCATCATCTCGAAGGGAAGTATTGGCATTGTCTCTACCACGGCTGGTAGAGCCTTGAGAGTATGATGTACCAGGTTGACACTGATCAAGTGGAAGAAGGGTCTTGGATTCTCTCTGTCGTGAAGGAGGGCGACTGGAGTCACGCGCCCTGCTCCTGGATGCATTCCGGGCCCACCTCTCGATTGATTCTTCTCTCCTTCCCATGTTTGGCGTCGAGTCGTTACGCACAATGACAGAGCGTGCAATACCACGACGCTTGCCCTCCTCGTCGAATTCTGAACTTGACATTCGCCCACTAACGCTTTTGTGCCGCTCTACCGCAATGGTAGGCGAAGAACACACACCGAAGTCGTCTTCATCAGGACGTGATGACGTGGCACGCGAAGGACGAACGCCCTTGAATAACGAGGATAGGCGACGTGTGAGGCGCTTTGGCCAGCCCCAGCTGAAGCGGACGGTGGTCATCGCAGTGCGGGTCTCAGACTCCGAGACCTTCACCATGTCAGAGGGTGATGTTTGGCGAAGCCATTCTTGGTGATGTGGAATATCCCGCAGGAACCACACGTACCGCTACACGTAAAATGGGAGATATGGGGGCAAATACGCGCAGAATGAAAATTGACGAACCTTTGCTTGATCAAGAGTCATGCGTTTGTTGGGATCCTTTTCAAGCAGCTTGTCGAGAAGATTCATGACAACAAATCCCTCGGACTTTTTATCCTTAGGTTTCCGCCCGCCAGTTGGAAGACGATCATAACCCATGGTGTCTTCTGGCTCCCAGTCATTTTTGCATATGATATTGTAGAGCATGTATTCGCTCGAATCTGGGGGTCTGAATGGAATTTTACCGAAAAGAAGGCAGTACAGTGTGACACCAAGAGCCCACACATCAATGGCCTTCGTGATCTGCAGTCGCTGGGATGTGTTCGGGCGGACAGTAGAAGAGGAACCTATATGTGGTGCGGACCTCAAGGACGGCAGCGTGGTTGAGGTAGCAGAAGCCGATATGGATGGTGAAGGATCGCCATTATACTCAGCGATGACTTCAGGGGCAAGAAACGGTGGGGTTCCAGCACGCTTGGAAAGGTCCGAATCATCCAGCAAAATTGGGTCGTTAGCGTCATCTAGAGCATTTCCACGCCCTGCAGCCGCAAGGCGCTGCGCATATGAGAAATGCGAGACCCCAAAATCACTGATCTTGACCATTTGGCGATCCGCAGTCCAGAGAAGGTTAGCGGGCTTTATGTCACGGTGAATAATTCCCTGGTAATGAACTGCGTATTGAGAAGGCAAGGGAGTATCCAGATTAGCCTGTGGTAATGAGGATGTTATTAACCTTACGATATTCGAGGCCAAGGATAACATCGCGGCAAATTCGTCGACATTGGTCCACCTGCAGCACAGGCTCATTCTGCTCGTTGCGCCATTTGATTTCTCCACCGCTTAGATACTCCATGACTAGAAGTGAGGCTGTGAGCACATGGCTTCCTGACACAAATAAACCTTCCTATCATACTGTTTCCTAGACTGCAGCCACAAGGTCATAATTTCTCAGCTGAGACACTCACCCATGGCCTGTAGTCAGGAAGTAGATAGGCAGCACGATTCTCCGACTACACGGAAAATAGCGAGACTAAATGCTTACCCATGTATATCCGATCATTCAGCTTGTCGTCGATAACTTCCAACAAGCGAACTACATGCCCATGACGACATTTTTTCATTATCGCTATTTCTTTCCGTATTTTATGCTCAAGGCTTCCGAGTTTTTCTGTGAGTGGTGTGTGAGACGACGCAGGGATGTTTCGCCTGCGGAGCATGTTCATCTTCTCAGCGCGTGGGTTATTACGTTTGACAGCCTTTATGGCCTGATAGACGCGGTGTTAACAAGATCTTTTTAAAGGTGTGGACAAAGAATTGACAACTGACCAGCTCGCGACGATGATCATGCGACAAGTCCCAACACACCCATACTTCGCCATGCTGACCCTTTCCGACTCGGTGACCGCGCAGATACTGGTTCACTATAGGTCTGCGGTCGTCACTATATCTGTAGTGTAGTTCAGCTGTCATCCGAACGCTGCCAGGCGGATCGAATGGGAGTCCTGAGGGGTCTCCTGCAGCATGCGCACTGCTTGCTGAGTCTATGTCGGAAGACATGTTGTTTGAGGACTCATGAAGTCCTTTGCAAGGAAATAAACTGCGAATCAATGGAAGGGAAATAATTGTTGAATAGACTGGAAGACCCTGGAAGAGGAGGAAAGGGAAAGGAGATCAAACAGCGACGCTTCAAAGAAACTGCAATCTAAAGCAGCGTATAACGACCAATTTGAGATGCGGCTGACCCCGGACACTCCGTAATGCAACAGCCTTCACAGATTACAGATTTCACGGACTACGTCTATCACAAATTTGGATGGTGAACGTTTCAATTACATTAATGCAGCACTCCACAGCCCTGCCATCAAGGTACAGCCCTCGCTGCTGGCGTCTTCTTGCCGACCGCTTATCGTGTCTTCAACGAGGACAAACACATTTATTTTCCTCTTTGACGTCTTTCATGACCTGTACCATAAAAATATGTCAGTACAGGGTGTCACGGGTAGCAGAAGTTTCAAATTCGACCCTCCCTCCGCTCCCAAACGAACCCTCAAAGTTCAAGCAGAGATGCGAGGAGGCCGTGATGAGGTGTCTTCGAAAGGGACCACATCAAACGATAACGTGGAAATGACCCTCTTCTACAGATCATAATATCATGATTATCTCTTGTCATATCAATATCCAACGCCCGAACTTTACACCGAGGCAGTCTATACAGTTAAAAACAGGCTCTCACCTGTTCAACATGACGTCCGCAGCCCTGTTTGAAGGGACACGTCAGTTAGATTTCAGCCTATCATTGAAAGAGAGGGTATGTGTAAATAGACAAAGTTCGCGGGTCGGGCCAGCGTTCTCTTAATCCCATGATACTTCCGCCCTCAGCGTCCGCGGAAGCACCGTAAACCCTCTCTGTGTCAGCCAATCACCATGCACATCAGTACATCGTGCGTGCATGCGCTGCCGCCTCCAACCGGGATACAATGGATTACACAACATCGTCAAGGAGACAATTACTTACATTCCAGGTAGTTTTGCCGCATTTGTCACATTTGACTGCATAACACATATCGACGAGGACGGATGCTTCTTCGTGACCCATTGTTATCTGGATGGTTTACTGAAGAGGTAAGTTAAGGTAATAAAGTCACTGCTAGACGTGTGATAGACAAGTGACATTGGCGTGAGTTACATCATGATGTCGGTCAATCCCTTCTTACCTTTGATTTGACAGCAGAAGATACCACACGCGGTGCGGCGAAGCAGTGGCAGAAGTGTGAGAGTGATTCGCGGGAGCGTCTTGCGACTCTTATCGGTCTTCATCTTTATACTTGTTGAAGCTCCCTCGGATCCTGACATATTTGGCCATCTAGGCCAAATCTACGCTCACATGAGCAAAGATAGGCAAAGATACCTGTCTGAGCACGGTTCAGCCATTAGGCGTGCTCCCCGATATCGTCCTTCACTAAACTCAAGGGAAAACAACATAACGCGGGACGTAAAATTAAACGCGTCGCTTTCGCGGGGGTTTGTTGTTGACACTGGCAGGTCTTGATTTCCGCATTACTGCAGATTACTGCCCAGTGCTAGGTGCCCCATATACCCCAAGAAGGTCAATATATTTAATAATCCCACTCAGGGTCGTACTTATCGGCTGGGCCTGGAACCGCCGATATGAACTACACGCGCGAATCATCTAAGCGATCGCTTTGCTCGTACGTACCCGCCTGCTAGTAGCAGCATTGTACTAGTGTTATTAAGTAACAATACACAGCCGGATCTTTGCGGTGGTTTGTCTTAGCACGCACTCATAACCAACTTAGTGACTGTCCGAGTCGGGTTAATCAACCTGCCTAGTAGTACTCCATCCTCCTATCAATCAGCTCGGAATTCCAATCACCACTCTAGTATTGCCAGGGTCGTGGTAGGACTTCCTGGACCCTAACCAAATCGATCAGAAGGGGGGCTGTACCGGGGACACAAGGAACGACGTCTGGAGCGGTCATAATAGGTCCCAATTCGCTACCATTCAGCAGCTAGTATGAACGTTTTCCGCCGCCGATTAGTACACCCCAATGCGAGGTGCTCAATCTCAGCGGCATATGCATTCGTTCCCAGTGGTTGACGGCGTTTCGTTTAAAATACACACGTCGTGGTTTGAAGGTTTCAATTGCGCTATCGACCTGACTGGATGCAGCTGGCCCAGGTAGGCAAGAGTGGTTTTTCCGTGATTTGTTCGGATCAATATAATCAAATCGTGATCCATGTCCTCAGGAGCACAAGGCCTGGATAGCGCTATTTATGTGCACGGGGGATAATGAGCCATTGTTACAAAAAAAGAATTGAGATACGTACTGATCTCCCGACCATGGGACCATCTAGTGTGAATCGTGACTCACCGTCATACAAGGAACGTCGGCAACAATGGCCTAGTTGCGTCTACAGGTCAAAAATTTTAATTGCTCTTCGAGGAACCACCTACATGGAGCTTGGGTGGACTGGTCAAAATCATTTATGAACACGCAGGTGACACACCAAACTCGTCACACAAGCCTCTTTGTCCTGGGACGCTGAAAAATGTATTGCTATTGTAGTATTCATACAATACGATATGAGTAGAAATATCTTATTATATCGTCTTTCACGAACGTGCATACAAGAAAGGACGTTTACCGTCTTTCCTTTACGAAGAAATGCAGCATGAGGAAGCTCGCAGTCGTAAATACCACGAAGAAGATACCAAGCAGGGATATATTCGGCCACCAAAATGACTACCGGATCAGAACATCAGCACACAGTTTACGACAGTGTAAGCATCTATCACCCACCTGAGCTCTAAGACCAAATATCGAAAGTATGGTGGCCGCGGGAACGTCCAACTCAACACCATACTGAAGCGAACACGTTAGACGACAAAAAAATTTGGTCGCCGACATTACCTTAATCTCCTTCAATTGTAGATATCTCAGTTCATTCACGGCAAGCGCCTCGAAAGCAGCGTGGAAGAATGAGACGGTATGCAACCACTGGAAAGCGGGTGTGACAGTGTCCCTGTTGATCAGGAGGCCTGTGAACAGGAGGCTGTGGTGATTATCAATCAACACTGCCGGCATTTAGATACGTAGGATGGCTCACTTGAAAAGCATGACCAAGGTGCCAACTAAGCTCGCCACGCTGGTACTGGCAAATGCTATCGACAATAGAAGGATCACGCTTGCTGTTGTCAAATTGAATAGCACGAGCGTCAATATAAACTTCCAAAAAGCCGGAACTGTGGGCACGAGACCAACTAGGCCGTAAACAATGCCACCAAAGACAATTGGAGGCACCAAGCGGAGCGGCAGGATATCAAACAGAACCTGACCAAGGGCCAAATTAGAAAACAAATACAGTATGATCGAATTTATGTTACCTTTGAAGAGAAGTAAGTGAAGGTCGAATAGTAGCCGTTTGCTCTGATATATATAGAATGAGTGCGGGAAACATGTTTTGCAAGAATCTCCCTACCTTTCACGCATGAAAAGGACTCGCTCGTTCGCGAATAATCCAAGGCTGGATAAGCATGAGAAGCCGAAGAGCGACAATGTGAAGAAGAAAATGCCTGAATCCTATCAGTCAAATAAAACAAACTATCACAATACTGCTCACCAAGCCGGTTCTGGAAGCCTCCAATGTCATTGCTGACGTTGTGGAAAAAGAGGCCACAGATCACTGAGAAAAGGCATATGAATATATGAAATCACAAGAAAAGGCGAGGCTCACAAGCCAGCACGACGGAGGATAGATAGTGAGCTGCCAGTAATGCCGGATCACGGTAGAGATTCTTAAACGCCCGACCACTCAAAATCTTAAACTGCGTTCCCCAACTGGCTCTTTTCCGACCCCGCAGTAAAGAGTTTTCAACCACAACGTCTCGCAGTTCACCATCCGCATGTGACGCATCATCTCCACGCTGTGCAGTAGCAACCTCCTCTGTCTCGGCCTTGATCGACTGTGCAACTTCACTCGTAGAATACGCATCGATAAGCTGCGCAAGTTTGGGAGCAAGCGTGCTGTTACCAGATGGTGAGCTTCGGACAGCTTCCAGAAGCTGCGAGGTCTTGCGTTTGATTGAGGATGTGAAAGAGACCCCACGGGTTCGGAGCTCAGTTTCTTCCTCCACCGCAGTGGAAGAGCGACCTTGTGATCGTACAGACGACGCACCAAAAGCACGCTCCTCATCTAGAAGGTTGTCACCAGATGTCGATGATACCGCATCATTTGAAGGGGAATCCGGGCTTCGTGGTTCAAGTCCAGCATGCACCGTTAGGTCGACTATGACAGAGGTCAGTCGCGCAGTACCATAGAATCATAACACTACTCACTGAGATAATCCGCGATATTAAACCCTGGTGGACATGGCTGGTCGATGCTAGCGAAGTATTCTTGGCATTTGGCGAATTCTCCAGAATACACCATTTTCCCATGAGCGAGGAGGACAAGATGATCAAACAAGGCGACGATGTTACTGCGAGGCTGGTGAATGGTGAAGATAACGGTCCGATTGTAATCGCGTGCAAGGGTCACCAGGCTCTCAACAACATTAAAGGCATTATAAGAGTCCAATCCTGTACAATGTCAGCGTGTTATTGGGATTCATCAAAGCACAGTCTGACCACTTGTAGGCTCATCTAAGAACAATATCGAAGGGCTAGTGACCAATTCACAGGCTATCGAGACGCGTCTCTTTTCCCCTCCAGATATTGACCGGCGTCCTACGCAACAATTAGTATGCGCCTTTAACCCGAGCAGATATCAAGCGTACCAGAGTCACCAATTCTCGAGTCCTTGATACCCAGAATACCGAGTTCGTTCATTGTCTCAAGTGTCCTGTACTTCTTCGCCTCTAAGCTCATCTCTCGCGGGAGTCGCAATAGCGCAGAATACAACACGGTCTCATATACCGTCAACGTGCTCATTAATGTATCCTCCTGATCCACAAAACCCACCACCTTTTTAAACTCCGCGTCCGCGACCTCTCGCCCGTTGACGAGTGTCGTGCCGCTGACTTGGCCCATCTTGCGCTTGCGAGCGAGGATATCAAGGAAGGTAGATTTACCCGCGCCGGATGCACCCATGATGGCCATGACTTGACCCGGCTTGACGGCCCCAGAAATTTTGTCGAGGATAATGCGGTTGCCAAGAAAGTAAGATATATTCGAGAAATGGAGGGATGCGGGGACATGGTCTGTCATGAGCTTCGAAGCTTCGTTTTCCGGCAGCCTGATTTTTCCGAAGTCACCACCGTTGCGCGATCGACCGACGTACCAAAGAATTGCAACAGTCAGGACAACAATCAAACCTGCACCGGCAGAGCTCAGGGCAATCCATTTGGTGTTGTCAGGTGTGGGTATGGGCTATGAGATTGTGAGGACACGAACGCTTCAATTCAATCACTCTACGTACATGGAACCCTGGAACTTGAGAGTAATGCAAGCATTCTCCACCTGCACACTGGAGGGTAATGTACGCATCGCCGAAGATATCGTTGATTAGATTATTCATGGCGGGCTCCTCAAACCTACATCCAGTAGAAGTCTTACAGCTGAAAGTCGCGGGTCCACGAATTTCTTCTGTCAGGAAGTCGCTGATATCTATAACGGAATCTCATGAAAAGTTCAAAGTAAGTTACGGCACATCCTTACCAACACTTCCATCCTCTCCACAAAGGAACTTGTCAGGAATACACTTGCATCTGATATGTTCACATGCATAGATTGTAGTGTTCGTGTCGTATCCTGGTTGAGCCTCAGAGGAGCACGTGTCCAGCGCACAATAAAAGGATTCTTGTTGTGCGGTCCAGAACTGAAAGCTGCATGTCGCAGTGGAGTTGTCGCAACTGAATGTGACTTGCGGGGGACGATCTGGAAGCATGTCCAAGATCTTGCGGTCTACCAAGATTAGTATACGGCATGTCGATGCATTCCGAGGGCGTACTAGTAATGTCACACATTTGGTGATTGCTGAAAACAGTCTCGCCGCCAGTGTAACAAGTCATGTTTGCGACATTTTCATCATCTACCATATCGGTATGGATGCCGCCGGCTAATGGGAAACCAATGCAGGCATCGTTGGTCTTGCAAACTGACGGGAGTTGATTAGGTCGAATGGCAATGACATGTTAATATTATGATTCATACCATTGCAATTTATACCTCCCCAGCCATCCTTGCATTGACATGGATCATTTTCTCGGAGTGGCCTCTCAACGCCATCTGCTAGGGAACCGCACTCTAGAAAAGAATATACGTGAACCATCCAAACGGCGCTGAGCTGGTGACTTACGGGGAAGCAAACAATCTATCCCACCCCAGCCTGGAGGACATTTACACTGTCCATCGTATTCATCGCAGTGACCAAATTGTCCGCAGGTGAACGCTGGAAGAAGACAATTGAAACAAGGTGGACACTTGTCTAGGTGTGAGAGCACAAAATGGTCAACCAGCGATCCGAATAAATGCAAAAGACATACTTATTGAAGGAGAAGACGCGAGCGACTAAGAAAGAAGTAATATTTGAGCACCACAAGATACGACGTCATGAATGACTGGTACGTACGGATATCTCGTAGTTAGACATTCCGCTTGTTGGCCACGACGAGTTGTCTATCCGTCCAGAGACCAAAGGTATCAACACGAAGCCAAGTACAGATATTGGAAATCGTTTATGCATGATCGTTCGCATTAATGTTGTCCGCATCCTACTCTCCTTGCAGTAGGTAGCAGCGGTGCACACAGCACTGTTGCCAGCCAACACACTGCGGAACACCTACGTGAAACTCTTTCCATTTCTGGCGAGTCCCAGCCTAGAAGGGGCATTCGTTCCGACTAGTACTGTCGGGGAGACTAGCCTTGCTCCAGCCGCATCTATATAATGTATAGGTCGTGGTGCTTGTGATCAATAATGGGACAACGCATGTTATCATCCCTTCAAATGATGACGGATGTCATTTACTTCCACTATCCATATAATCATTCCTTGCTCATCCAGATTTTTCAGATTATCATATAGGTAGCAAGTGCGGTGAAGGGTCAGAAGACCTCAAGTCACTGTATCCCCACATTCCACTCCGCAACAGAAAGTTCTTATTGAAAGCGGAGCAACTTCAAAGTCGGCTCTCGCAGCATCCCTAGCTCCGATACCGGGCAGCTCCTGGTCAAGATCAACTCTGCTGCCCTGAACCTGGTTGACTACAAGATACAGCACACTGGGAAAGGGATGGGGACGTGGAACTGAGTGTGTGGCAGAGGAGGGCCAATACGAAATGGAGGTGAATTTGTTTTATACCCTCATAGTGGTGACAACGGGAACTTATGGTTTTTGATACACTAATCTGATCAGCCCCGTGCACTTCTTTCCCTCCTCCAACAGGCTATCCAGATGCATGCAAGGCGCACGATGGAAACCGCTATAGGTCGTGGAATCGACAGGCACTTATTAGGCCTGAAGTTGATGCTAGAAGAACTCCCTGTAGATGCGACCACATCTACTTCCTCCTCGGACTCTCCCTGAAATCTGGCCCACTGACCCCCCGCAAAAACCTACGCACCCTCTCTTCGCCGACCCTCTTTTCTCTCGCCCTCAGGAGTGGAAACTCAGCACTAGTGGCTTGAGCGCCGGTGACCAATTCAGAGGCACTGACTTTGGAGCTGGTTAGGAGGATGGTTATGGGATTAATTGTAAGTTTGATTCGTTGATTTCACAATTGTTTTGCGGGATTGTCGAACCTCAGTGAGGGATTCTTCGTCTGTAATAGTTTCCTATCTGCATTTGTTATTGTCGCCGACATCACCGTCGGTTGACCAGGTCGACTGAAGGTGTTTCGTTTCCGAATTTAATTGGCAATCCCGCTCACGCTTGCCACAAAACCAAGCTCATACTCTGTTCTCTCACAGATCTCATAGCACTCAATCGTATCAAATTCTGTGTCGAGTCCAAATTCTCATCCCCGCTCACCTCCACGAACAAGTTCAAGCAATATATCGCAGATGCGCTCCGGGATATGCGGGCGATTTTCGAGACTGGAGAGCTCGAGTTAAAAGACAAAAAGAAGAAATAAGTGGATGGGGCAGACGCGCGTACAGGCGCGGTTATAGGCCTGATGGCGTCGACCAAGGCTTGTGCCTTGGCTCGTTGAACACGAGGATCCGACACTGATGGAGAGATTATCGGACACCATACAGATTCAGTAGAAGCTTGGATACTTGATCAAGAATTCTACATGCATGAAACGGCCACCAGCGACCGTCCTCGCTTGTCGCTGCACAATACCTGCCCAGCTTGTGTTAGCGATCGCGAGGTCCAAAACTAGCCTATTCTTGTTTGCACAAAACTAAACTATGCCTCCTTATCGCTCGCTGTGCAATACACCACTCAGACGCAATTGAAATCAGAAACTTATTATTTATTCCAAGAAAAAAAAAAAATGCCCCTTATAAGGAGTCTCATGACCGCGCGAGCTGTCGTACAAACCAACTACATATCATACAACTAACCATCATTACGAAAGTAAACCGTGGTCGAGGCCGTCAACAACTAGCATGGTCGCGGGCCCACCTACAGCACAATTCTCTCCAAATCGTCCTTGTCGATCCAGCTGTGTTCATAATGTTCTAACAACCCGCCCACGAGTGACTTGCACCCTGCCCGCTTCATAAATTTCTGACTCGTGCAGATGATCATGCCTTTCTTGCATCGAGTAAGCATGACATTGGTCCGGCGTCGGTCGGTGAGGAATCCGAGCGCCGTGGATCGCACGAGTGAGATCACAATGTAATCTTCCTCGTTACCTGCCACGAACGAACCATAAATATGATGTTATGAATATATGTTGCGAGAACGAACCTTGAAACGAGTCAACATTGAAACATTTGTCCTCCCAATCAAGCTCATTGAGCTTTAAACACTCCTCGATCAAACTCCGCTGAGCGTCGTAGGGGGTGATGATGCGGAATTGCTTATTCTTTGCTTGCAGCATGGTAGCGATGTGGAGAATGGTTTGGCACTCTCCAACGTTCTGCGCATGACATTAGCCAACTGCGAGTGACCGAATTCAAGTGGCTTACCTTCCAACTAGTCCCATGTGACTGTTCCTGGCTGGGAATGTTGATAAAATGACAAGCCATCCTCTCGTTCGTGACGGAATGTTGCGGATCTGACTCGAGTAGGTCATCATACACAAATTTAGATATGAACTGTCCAATTTGAGGGGGCATCCTGTCTACAATAAAATGATAAAATTTGGCATACGGGAACATTAGGTAAAGGACTTACATTGGGTATCCAGGAAAATGGCACGGTCCTTGATGTGCTTGACCTCGAAGATGCTCTTGAGGTCCTGGATATCATCCTGACCATAGGGTGGCACTGAAGATATCAGAATATGTGATAGTATGCAGAAGAAAAACTTACATTGTTTATCATCACCAATGAAGCAAACCTTTCGGATGGAGGTGTGAGAGGTGAAGAGAGGTATGTAGTCACCGATCTCAATTTGGGATGCTTCGTCGATGACGAGGGTTCTAAGTGGCGCGGCTTTAAAACCTCCATGCATGCGAAGAGCAACAGATGAAAGCATAGAGAGGGTACAGAGAATAACCGGGCTGTTTCGTAGCTCCTGATAGAAATTTGGCGCCTTGAAGTCCTCCGATATGATGATATTGGCCCGAATGTTGGCATAGAGGTGCTCGTGCCTAGAGTATGTCAGTTTGCCTAAAGGGAAAAGAGTCAGCTAGTGAAAGGACGGACCAGTATTCAAAAAAATCCTTTGCGACGAGAAGCTTCCAATTGGTCAGGCCAAAGTCAGCGAGTTTCTCAGCAATGTTCTTGACGGCAACATTGGACTGAGCAATGAGCCAGATACCAGAGAGTCCACCGGCAAGGGCAGTCTGAACAAATGAAGCGATGACAGTGGTCTTACCGGTTCCAGGGGGCCCCTGGATGACAGTAAGACGCTTGTCATTTGACTGCTGGAGCATTTGCTTCACAGCTTTCGTCTGAGATGGATTGAGGGGGCGACTGACACGGTTGGCACAGTATTTGACAATATCCGTATCATTCGCCTCCTCCGTCCAGGCGGAGGGCCATTGGAAGTCGTCCCTGGGAGAGGAAAAGAATATGAGCTGAACCCATGGGTTGTCGTGCTCGAGGTTGATGAGACCTTGGAGGATCTCTAGAACCTTTTGAGCACGCTGGCTCTCAGCCTGAGTAGGGTCTTCACGACCGACAATCTTGATCGAGCCAATGCTCTTGCCAGCTAAACTGAGACTGTCGGTGGTGGCAAGTTTGGCGGTGCGACCCTGAGGAATGCCAACCTTCCCGTTGATAGTGAAGCCTCGCCCATCACGCCCGCCGATATCAATGAATGCACGCTGAGGTAATCACTTGTCAAGCAAGGCAGTGTGGACACGCGGACTACATGCCTGACGGTGGTTCTTGCGAATTTGGTTCTTGTATCTGTCAACTTGGGCATGGATGTGGTTGTTCGTATGATCGACAAAAGTAGCAAACTGGCGCGTGACCTCGAGCGGCTTCTTCTGCTCGAGCTGGAACGAATCCTTCGAGCTCTTCGCGAGAAACTCTAAGGCCTGTGATTACGATCAGCACCATTGATCGTCTAGAAAGCAGTGATCTACCTTGTCAGAGAGCAGGAAGGTGTCTACCGGGGGCACTTGCGCGAGGCGATCTTCTATGCTTGAAAGTTGCGATAGATAGTGTGCGATCCATGCACGTAGTGCAAGTGGAGTAATGCCATTATTAGCGGCAGGGGCCACAGGCAGATGATTGATAGTATCATCGCAGAATATTTTGTTGATGTTTACATCATGAACACAATGAAGATCACCAACGGCCTGTTTAACAATGGCGAGCGGGACACGTGTTTTCGATACGCTCTGCACATCGATCGCATTTGCGATTCGAAGATCAAGTGTTTGAAATAGAGCCAGAGCGATCGAAGCGACATCGAAAGCGTATAAGAATCCGGTTGTGCGACGAAGGAGGTTCTGAGTCAAAAACACCCGAGCGGCAGTGTTGCCTCTCTCACTGGCGGGTGTGACAGGGCGTTCATCGCGTTTGTTGTCCTTGCCCCTCTTCTTCTTTAACTCGAACTCGATAATGATAATAGTGGACGTGTCGGCGATTGCAAGCATCGCGAGCTCTCCAGTGGGCGCGAATCCACCAGCAAGGCCAAGGGCACGTCCCTCGTTCCTTTCTAACAGACTGCGCAACTGATGTTGCTCTTCGATTAAGTTGGATTCAGATATAATATGGGCCGACAGCTGTCCACTGTCGACTTCCATAAGATGTTGATAGAGCTGTCTTGTTGCTGTGGGCATGGTGGATGATGGTGGTGAGTGGGCAATGTCTAACGATGGAGTGCAACTCTATTTTAACTTGTCTGTAATGAGGACCCGGCGGGCCCGAAGCCTCATGACTAGGTGGGCGCTTGTTGAGTCCTGACTCCAGCTAGAATTCCGAGCAGTCCCCGTAGTTCCCAGCCCTTCAAGTTCAAGCGGCCTTCCGAGTCTTTCCATTGTCTACAGGTATCACAATCTCTCCGCAGCATTTGCCGCTTTGTCCAAAGTGTCGTCCTGACTCTTACCCGGCCAAGCTCTTTTTCTGGCTCCAGAACTCAATGGAAGGTTCTAAATGTATCTGTGATTATTCTCACAGACCAGCTGGTTGGCTAAGTATTACTGACCTGGACCACGACCGCGACTCGCCGAGTCCAAATTTACTCTGCAGTAGGCGCGCTATTTGGGGTCACCATCGATAAGAATGCTGATTGTTACCATTGTCCCTGTAACAAGGCGAATGGAAGGAAGATATAGTTAACCTATGCGGATTAGACCCTACTATTGCTACCCCTGATGTTGTGGAAGCCTAAAATGTCCTCATTCGCTGCTCTCGATGCCACTCAACGTATTCTGACGCCATTCATGGCGAACAGCTGTATAACATTATCATTGACTTCTTTCTGGTTTTCGTCACATTTTTGAGATGAAATGTAGATTAATGATGCATGCGCATCCTAGCCACGGCGACACCTCATCGCACTGAGTGCTGACTGCCCGAAATCTGTTACTGCTCCACAGCAAAATGTTCTGACAGCGAGAGTCCTGTAGTATGAAGCGTCAGCGGGTGGTGTACTACTGCATGAACCCTCTATGGTAGAACCCCACGCAGCAACGCTCAGAAGGTAGACAGAGCTAGCCAATGGCTTTAACGACTAGCGCTGCCACTAATCTGGGCACCATTATCGACCTGAGTATAACATTGCTGGACGTTCTTTACGTTGCATGTTGATGTCAGTAAATAGGTAGAACGCATGGAATCAATAGACTACCACAAAGCACAAAGGAATTAACGAACAAGTGGATACTGTCACTCCATACAAAAGATGGTTAGCAGCAGTGCTCTGGCAATCCCCATGCAATGTGCCAAAATTCCATTTCGAGAACATAGGCGTCATCCAGCACTGACATAAAAAACACATGGCGAAAACCTTTGGATATGCGAACAATCCTCGTCTGTAAGGGAAGAATGAGTTGGCCAACCCGAGTCTAAGGAAAGTACAGTCGTGGTCACCCCCGGGCCCGCTGATCTTTGAGGATGTGGGTAATAGACGTAGTAATGGCCGAGAGCTTCAGCTCCGCTTTCTTTTGTAACGGGGCCAGGATTTCAAAGCTTGGCGAGAGCGAAGAAAGCACATCATCTCTGAAAAGAACCTACGGAGGAACCTTGTGATGTCATCGAATCCTCTTAATGTAGTGAGACAGTGCCAGTCCAGCATTGGCTTATCCGGGTCGCGTTGCCAAGCTCTGTCTTCCAAAGTTTGCCGGTAAGCAGTTTCCAATATATCGCAATGCATCAGATAGACGAAGGTAGCCATTTTATTCTTTCTCATCTCATGGATGTAACGTGAGTAATCCCTGGACGCAAATCCATGCTGCCAAACTGGCTATCAGCAAGGCTAACATACACGTTAAGCAACTTACACCTCGGCGTCAGCAGTTTGGTTTCTTTTGCACCAGGATGCTCAACAAACTTTTTTCCGAAATCGTTATAGATGAAATTGGAATTCACCTATGTTATGATCCTGATCCTGTCTGAAGGGATGAATGCCGAAATGAAAGCAGTGAGAATAGATCTGACCGACTCCCATTCACGTGTGTACTTGATATCCTCAAGTCTTTCCTTGCGGTCATGCGCAGTTTCTATCTCCACGATTTCGCATGCGTTAGATATCAGCTGAATTACGGCCTCATACAACGATAACAAGATATGCACCTCTTCGATCACTCGACTTGACGCTTTAGCTTGCTGAAGGGTGTAAGCTGTCGGTCCTTTTTGTTCTTGCCGGAAAAATCGTGTTTGGGCGCCTCGGACTATGATCTCAAGCATAGCAGCACCAGTTTACCTGAAACCTGATGAATTCACCATAACATATACGAATCAAACTTAGCGCGCACGAGTGCTCATTTTGACATCTGCTGCTAGTATGGCGAACTACTTGCAATCATTTTTATACCTGAATTGTGAATTTCTGACGAAGTCATCGTCCTGAGAGCCCATCTATGTGAGCACAATAAATGAGTGATTGAGAATGGGGGTCTCTAGACGCGTACTTACCATATTTGCGGATGGCATGTACCTAACCCTAAGCGGCTAGATAACAGACAGACTTCTTTCCGCACTCCTCAAAAGTCGGTTAGCCCGAGTGTATGGAGTGTTATTCACGAAGCACATACATGGCAACGAAGATGAAATGTCAGATTTGCGTATTGAGGCTTGCTCGAATTAGTTGGGCAATATCAAGAAAGTTTGCAATCTGTCACTTCGACGAGCTTCTCGCCAGATGAATGCAGAGGACCTTCGCACGACTGAACTTCGACAGGCCTTGGTGATGCGTGAGAGATTCAGAAGGTCCATTGGACCCAGGAATAAACACTATAGTTCACGTATCGAGGACGGTAGTACCTGTATGACTTGACGAGTCGGATATAGGATAACTATTACTGCCTCTTGCTCACCTGGCATAACATAACCATGTTCATGGATGCTAACAACTCTCGAGTTTTCCCTTTCATCTTTCGCGGTGACAGTCACTTCCGAAGTCCCGAGTCGCCTTGGCTGGCATCTCAGTGACACGTCCGAATCAGATGCTGGCTAGTATCCGAATACTACCGCGCTTGAAGAGGTCCTGGTGAACATCGCCCACGTCTAAAGGAGGTCCTGGTCTGTACTACACTGGAGCTCTTGGACCGGGGACTCGGAGCAAGTCGGGCTTGTCGCGAAACGAATTAGAAGAACCTTTTATGGGAACATGTCTTTGATTCGTAAATGGGGAAATACCCATATGGGTCTTGAATACAGGATATGACTTAGTACTAAGAGAACGTATAGTAGTAGGCGTGGTCATGCTACACTGGAATTGCTTTGGAAAAAAAGTGAATAACATATGGCTACTGTATTAGAACTGCATATCTCAGAACCTAGTTCCCAGTGGTCCCCGAATATAGCCTGAGGTTTGCCCTGGGATACGTCGCTGAACAGTGATAGTAAGTTTCCCGTCAGGCGCGAACCGTGCACGGACACTAGGCATATCTGCGTCACCAGGTGCGAAATGTACTAGCCACTCGTAGTGACCTAAGATCCACGAGAAAGAGTTGAGATTCCACCATTTAATGGATGGGGCATAGTACTTACAATCATTCTCCATGTGCCATGCATCAGCCACGATATTCAACTTATCTCCCTTTTTGACAGAAACAGTCACCATTTCTGATTGTATGGCACGTGGAAGCACAACGGACAGAGAGTGCGTTGAAAGAGTGCTCTGGATGACCATTGTTGGTCGGGATTCTGGAGATGGAGAACGTCGCCACCGCGCTGTCGGTGACGATGAGCTCGAGTCGCTAGAGGACGAGATGCTCGCCTCGATGGATGGGCATGGTGAGATAGATGGGAAGCGTGGCTTTTCAATTGTTGTTTGGTCGGCCCCTTTTGATCCCACAGGGTTCGTAAGGGATTTCAAAGAGTGCCTATTTGTGCTGGTGTTTGTCATAACGAGGGGATAAGAATGCGAAATTTCGGCTGCTCTTGAAGTTTCGTCCTTAGCGTCTTTAGAGTAAGGGACGAATGGAGCGCCTGTATCTGAAGTGGGGGCTTTCCCCTTAAGTAGCGTGTCAAGTGCGCTGTAGGACAGGGATGAAGTCGGGCTAGTGATCTCGGGCATGGCAGTCATAGAGGAGATGTCGTGTGTTCCCCGAAAAGACAAGCTACATGTCAGGGCGCCCAGATTGTCCGCGTTGCAGGGTAGGGTAGATTCGTTGCCAGTGGGAAAACTTCTTGCTGCGCCACGGGACACGAACAGGCTGATGCTGCGACCGCGGTAGATATCTGGACAAATTGCAGACACGACCAAAAGTAAAGAAACCGCAGCCGGGAGCAGAAGCGAGAATGAATCTTTAGCTCATACACGATCAAGTAGCGCATGATACTTACCAGGGACAGCATGATCCGATAACCCGTGAGCGTGTCGGAGAGGAGAAGCAATCCCGATGTTAGTAAGTGATGTAAACTTTTCGGCCTCGCTGGAGCCATGAGGTGCCAGTTTGCGAAGGGGAACGGCTGATGGTGATTGGCATTTTCGTCCAACGGAAGAAGGCTTGCTATCTGCCAAAGAAAG